AAAAAAAGAGTTCAATAAGAAGAATTTAGACCTTAGTCTGGGTGCTAATATGGCGTGGAACGTACGAGGATATCAAAGCAAGAATCGGAAAAGCAAGACAAGCTTTCAATACTCTCAAGTCTGTGTGGAGGTCAACATCACTCAGCATCAAAAATAAGATCCGGATTTTCAACTCCAATGTGAAGTCAGTCAGTGCTACTATACGGATCAGAGACTTGCACTGCGCGTCATAAAGAGCATCTCAAACAAACTACAGACCTTCATTAATAGCTAACTGTCTTCGTTCAATACTCAAGATCAGATGGCCAGAAAAGATGAGCAACAAGCATCTCTGGGAGCGAACCAACCAGGAAACGATTGTGAAACAAATAGGCAGGAAGAAATGGAGATGGATTGGCTGGCCATACTCTGAGGAAACCATCAAGTGACATCACTAGACAAGCCATTGCTCGAGTGGAACCCGGCCGAAAGGGAAGCGGCGAGTTGGTCGTCAGTGCAAGGGTGACTTGTAGGAAGTCATGTGAAGAGGAGATGAAAACGTGTGGGCAGACTTGGAACCAGGCGAAGACTCTAACAGAGAACCGAACGCAATGGAGCCGCACGGCTGAAGCCCTATGTTCCTGTAGGAATTAAAGGAAACAATAATATAATAATAATAATGTGGCGTGTGTTATGTATTGATGCAGATTGATAGAAGAGGCCAAAAATTTTAATCAACACTTTAGGTCAGTGGCTGCATAGGAGGTCATATGCACCGATCTCCTCCTTTCATCAACTGGTACTGCAGAAATCCCGACACAATCTGCAACGCCTTCTTCGTTAGTGGATATAATGGGAGCTTCTCCTCATCCAGTGACAAACAGTACCCCCCGCCCTGGTGATGACGGAACACGCCACACAGCAGCAGGTAGACACCATTGCGATCCAGGATCAACGCAGTCACAAAAGCTGTGACTGATGCAATAGTTCAACATATTGTTGCAAACCAAGCTGTACCACAGAAGATACTGACAAATCAAGGTACTTCTTTTGAAAGTCAAACAGTTACATCCCAGACACGTACACAGAGCAGAAGTGTTCAAAAACAGAGGAAGAATGTTTAGCAAAAGTATGGGGGGTAGGAAAATTGAGACCTTATTTACTCAGCCAATGATTCTACATCGAAACTGATCACCTACCACTACAGTTTCTAAGGACAGTGAGAGACCCACGACGGAAAATTGTCGCGATGGATATTGTGCCTGCAAGAGTATGACATCATGATCTCACAGGTTCCTGGGAAATTTTTTATCCATGCCGGAATACGAAGTTAAGTTGCCAGAGATTGCGCGTGGAGTGGATGCACTAGAACAAGACCTATTAACACTTGCTTGCCTCCAGTCAGAAATCGGAGCCTACCCTTAATACGATAATACAGGTGATCGCCAACGAAATAGAAGTGAATCAATCTACGGCGAGTAAGGAGTTAACCACGTTACCCACGTTACCCAGAGAGAAAGTGCGATTAGGAGTGAACGTCTACGGAACTCTGACCTAGCGGGAGAAGGATGGAAGCTGGAGGGCGGTAGCACCTCACTCTCTATGCCATGAGATGATACAAGAATGTCACCAGCTAGAACAAACGGAGTAGCCAGAACAACTGACCTCTTCAAACCAAGCATGTAATGGCCAAGTATGAGAAAACATGCGGCGAAATATGTAACTGGATATCCGCAGTGCCAGTTGATGAAAGCATATCGGTGCATACGACAGTCCCTGCAATCTATTCTAATTACGGCAGTTGGTGACTTATGGCCCGTAGATGTAACAGGATCTTTTCCGTAGACATCCAGTGGCAATCAGTAAGCTACACGATGGGTAGATGCCATCGCGACCCCGGATCAACGCGCGAAAACTGCAACTGATACATTAGTTCAATATATCGCTGCTAACTATGGTGTGCCAAAGACGATACTGACAGGGTCCTTGTTTTGAAAGTGAAGAAGTTACATCCTGTTTCCAGTAGTTAGGTATCAAGAAGATTAGCACAACGCCATGTCATCCACAAACGAATGATCTAACAGAGGTAAATAACCGAACACTGAAGGAGTGGCTGACCTCAAAAGGAAGTAACTAGGAGACAGAGCTTCCATTGATTCTGCTAGCATATCGTGCTTCCGCCAAGGAAACAACAAAGAGGTCACCGTTTCAGCTGATCTATGGTAGTAAACCACGATTACCAATACACAACACGATCTGGCCTCTTCACCAAGAGTGGAGTATGACGAGATTGTGAACGGAAGGGAAAGAAGTAGTCAAGAAAGTAAAGCATAAACAGAAGATGTCGCAAAGTATGTACTGGGATGTCCTCAGTGCCAGTTGGTGAAAGGAGATCGATGCATATGACCGCCTCTGTAGCCGTTGACTTAAAGTGTTGACTACAATTTTTCGCCACTTTCTATCAATGTAGATTTATATAGCACACTCGATACTGAGTAATACTAACGGCTATTGCGTAATTGTTTAACGATATATATTGGATCGGATTTTCATTACATTGAGTAATTAACTTTAGATTGTCGTTATATTGATGGTACTACATGAAAGGAGCCTAATGTATTAATCATACCACACGTTGTTTTTTAAATCCCTTTACGTTCCCAGTGGAACATAGGACACCTTCAAGCTAGAGGCTTGAAGTTTCCGTAGCAGTGGTGATTATTTTTACAGGATGTGGTTGCTAGCCAGTCTCATGCCCACCAAGCTTCCGTCTTTACCAGTCTTACTACTGGCTTAGCGAGGTGAAGGAGTGCGTCGGCTGGGGATCGAACCCCGGACCACCAACGTGGTCGGCGAGTACTTTACCGCTGTACCATCGACGCACCATACCATACTTATTATATTAAAAAGACGGTTGCAGAGAAGACAGTTTTCTTGTAGACGAAGTCATCAACTAAGCTGTACATTCATATGTGTATATATGGTAAATGAGTGAGCCTAGTTCGCAAATGGAGAAAGTAGGCGTGTGTAAAATAGCTCGATCACAGGGCATCTGGAGAACTCAGGACGTCAGTGTCACCATCTGAAAAGTACTTCAAAGTTATATACAAGATCCCATTTCACTCAAACCTCTCAATAGGAGTGCTAAGTCATTAGCGATCCAAAAGTTCAAGCCCACGCTATGTATTCACAAGAAATGCGTCAAACAATCAATTCTCTCAATATGGATTCTCCTGTTATCTTTCTTATCTAAACTTCCTATTTATTAATATAATTTTTTACGTTTTTTTAAATCCCTATTCAAATTACTATGATATTTTGAATCCGAACTTACTGTCTATTTTGTTAATACTACATTTTTATTCCCTAAAAAGAAGACTGATGCTTGTGAAGGCTTCGTGTGCTCTTGGAAGTGTGTGAACGGTTGTTACTTCCCGGCTGCTACACCATGGAAGTTGATTGATTCTTTGGGTACCTGAAACAGAAAGAGGGTTAGTGTTGCATGACCGCAGAGCCCAGAGGACAACTGCTTGAGACCGGTCACACACAGCATGTATGAACTGGTTTATTGGTTTGGTTCCGTATTAGTAAACTTATCGGACCACTGTAGGTGCGGTGGCTTGGACATATGCTGCGAATGTCATCCCACAGGCTTCCGTACAGGTCTCTGTTTGCTAGCCCTGAGATGGGATGGAAAAGGCGGAGGGGTGGTCAGTCCATGACGTGGCGTCGTGGGATGAAGGATATTTGTGCTAGATTAGCATCGGTTGGTGTGTCACCACTCCCTGGTAGGGGTCAGAGAGATAGCTCGAATCGATGGCTCGAAACGTTATCGGATATGGCCAAGAATCGTAATCAATGGCGAACGTGTTGCAATTTCCTTCTTTCATCCCTTCCTGATGACGAATACTGTTTGAAATTGTTAAGTATGACTGTTTTCCTTCCAGATGAAGTTCTTTATCCGTTTTCTACTTATATTTTTACTTTTAATCTATGTTGTTTTATTATTATTATTGTTTGGCGCATCTTTCTTGGTGCCATATTGTACCAAGTTTTTCTGCGTTTAAATAAATAATAATAATAATGTAGGTGCGGTAATTCGGTATGTACAATTGTTGGGGTCAACCTTTTCTAGCCCCCTGCCTCCAGAGTGGAGAGACAGCACAGCTGGAATGCTGGTCATCTGAGGAAAAGACCTCACTGTTGTTACATCCCTGTTCGCCAACAGTACGACTTCACCCACAGACTCCCAGCATAGTGTAAAAAATGCTTACACTATGCCGGTAAGTGCTTTTAGTCTAATCGCTATCCTAACAACCTTCCTGGCATGGTAGGACCTGCAGGAACAATAGTTCCAGCCAGTGTAGCTTGCTCGATCATTGCGATACGCGAGCCCGATCACCACGTCAAGGTGGTGGAACAAGTAAATTTCCTCAATAATTATGATCCCACTACGCATTAATCCAACCTTCCCATTTATCGTATTAGTATTATTATTACATTTTAATCCCTATTTACAATTATACCTAATTTGCCCCTTGACCGGAAACTATTCTGGAACTTTTCCACCCCTATACTACATATATACATGAATGTACAAAGCTACCTAGTTGATGACTTCGTAGAAAAGAAAATTTTCTTCGCTTCAACCGCTTCTTTGGTATCTCTTCATCAATAATCAGTTTATGTATTCTAGCGAGTGGTTAGCCTCTCATGTACGACACTGGAACGACTTTATAGACTGCTGTGAAGCAAATCACAGTTCGAAAGATGCTCACAGATAGAACAACTGTTGATATTTTTCTCCTTACCCTCCCACTCCCACCCTACGTAATGCCAAGCTGAACAGTGTTACATAAAATACGTTCCCACCGACTGATGTACTTTGCTCTAACAGCAAAAGACAAAAACACAGAACAACGTTAAGACTTAATCAATATCAGGGAATTTCCCCATCATCCAATCAGAGAAATCAGCATTAAGGATAAAATAAACTAAAGTAATAGTAAAACTGATCATACCTGAATCAAGCATTACGTCATCACTGAACGTATCAATCCGTTCTGCACAGTATAATGAAACTTCATATAAATCCATAGATATTTGATCAATTAAAAGATGTTGTTGTGGAGTAGAATCTGAAATAGTTTTTAAAAAAATGTTCACTATTATTGTTACGATTATGATTAATTAAGAATAAAACAAGAAATTACAGTTTTTAGAGTTTTACTATTCCTTCGGGTTCCGAATGGAATATAGGGGGATCCAACATCAAATCTCCATTCCACCCTATTCTCTACACGCCCCTTCAACTAGCGCCGGATTGCCCACAAGCTTCCATCTCATCCTCACAAGATCTTCTCCAGCTCACCCTCGAAATGACGTACAAATCGTTATTTCCCAATCGGGTTATACTCAAGCGATGGCCCGGCGCTAGATAAAAAAGAAGACTTGTCTGACCTAATGTTGCTGTTGAACATGCGAATTTTGTTCTTTATTCTGAATAAAGCACATTCCCACAGTGTTTTTGGAAGGGATGGTCTGTCTTCACTTTCTAATTCTGGTTTTGACATCCTTATCCATGTCTACGCCTGTAGTTGAAACAATGGTGCCTACATAAGTAAAGCAAGTGATCTCTTTCAAATCTCTCCCGGTGATGGCGGTTGGTGCTTGCTGTTGTTGTTGGTGGTTGGGTATCTTCATCAGTGTAGTCTATATCCGAGGCTGGTTGGCTGGTTTCAACATAGAACTTTGCACCGATGTGCAGCGGCTCGAGTCGCCACACTCGCCATACAGCAGGAGAAAGTAAAAAGAAATGCAAAATGGTCGGGGTTGCACATCACAATGACCCAATAAGCTACACTGGCTGGAACTATTGTTCCTGCAGGTCCTACCATGCCAGGAAGGTTGTTAGGATAGCGATAAGACTAAAAGCAGTTACTGGCATAGTGTAGAAATTTTTCTTTTTTACACTATACTGGGGAACAGGGATGTAATAGCAGTGAGGTGTTTCCCTCAGATGACCAGCATTTCAGCTATGCTATCTATCCACTCTGGAGACAGGGAGTTAGAAAAGGTCGAACCCATCAATTGTATATCCCGACTTACCCTACGATGGTCTTTAACCGATGGTAAGTTTACTAATATGGATCCAATCCAAGAAAGCAGTTCATGCAGGCTGTGTGTGACCAGCTGACCTCAAGCAGTTGTTCCTGGGCATTAGAGGTGGTAGGTTAGAAGATTAGAAACTACACACCATCTCCCTTCACCAAATATCGGCAAGATCGTCCTACTCAAAATCACATGTTAATGCACTTAGACAATGCTTTACGGATGCGCCAGCACCTGTAAAGTTTACAAAAACCATCCCACACACACTGAGGATTGAAGAGTTTCCACAGAAGGTGCTATTATTACATACAGTTTGGTGAGAAAGCTTGACAATATAGTTACAACAGGAGACGAGCATAAGGTTAGCGACCCCTTAATACGTAATCTCTTGTTTATTGTTTGAAATGTCCACTTATGCTTTAACGGTGAGAAAACGTTGTGAATGTGTTGTTTCCGTTGACACAGGGGAATCATCTTCTGTAATCCTCATGGGGTTGTTACAGCAACTAAAAGAAAACGATAATCCTCTCTTCAAAAAAACAGGGATCAATTGCAACACCTAATAAGGCAGCCAATGCAGTTAGTCTACTAGTTTTTATATATAAGGATTAGCTTTGCTTTTCGAGTTTGACGACGAAGTGATATCAGTTAGAGAACCATTGAAAACCAGATAGGGAGTACTGGACTGCTGTTTCATCCTAGTTTGTGTATCATCGGCAGTTCACACCCACCTCTTGGGTTCGAACCCACGACCTTACGGTTACAAGGAAAGCTCATATGCCACTGGGACTCGATTCAATAACCCATGGTAGAAGTTAGAATTCATGGGCCATTAAATTGAGTCCCAGTGGTTGAATGGCATACTACCTTGCCTTGTAACTGGAAGGTCCTGGGTTCGAACCCAAGTGGGTGCGTATATATAAATATATGTTACATTAACCCACAAAGTAATCACACTCACCTTGTGTATTGAAATTAGAACATTCTAGAAGTCCCGTTGAATTACTTTTGTTCAACGATCTGCATAACGAAGATACAGAAAGACACGAGAATAAAGGACACAGAAAAAAAGCAAATAGGAAATCACTTCTGAAAGCAATATTCACCTAAACCATCTTTTTTTTATATTCAATATACGCGTATGCGAATCAATCATCGAACGGTTAACCGATGTGACTATCTAACCGCCTTAAGGAACTCAATCTAAGGTCCACAACAAATCCTTTCAGCTGGCTCCATTTTAGATAAGATTTTATTTTGATAAATCACACAGTGTTATACAGTAAGTAATATTTACTGATGACCGCCTTTCGAGCACAAATTATTACTCCTCATAATGATATCAAGGTACTCACTCATAACTTTTTTGCTTCCCTTATATACATGAGTAGAAATGATTAGGAAGGGACTTCTGAGACCCTATGTAGGATTCTCAACGTAGCAGGAATTAGGATGGTGGCATTCAAACCTACAAACTCACTCAGTGAGGACAAACTCTGTAGAGTAAAGGAACCGGTGGACCCAATTACTCAAAATAATATAATTTACAAAATAACTTGCAATAACTGTGAGTTAGGTCAGCTACATTGGTCAAACTAGTGGATCACTAATAGTGAGATTGCCTGTCAAAACATAATAATTTAGCTAAGTTTAGAATGATTGATCCCACCCGAAAAGATAAGTAATCTAAAAAAAAAGCTCAGCAATCGCACTGCATGCATTAACACACAACCACACAATACGGTGGATGGGACAGAGTCAAAATTCTGTGAAGTAATATAGGTAGGTGGAAAACGAGAGAGATTAATTACTGAATCCTGTCTGGTTCATCGAGTCTACACCCAACACATGTGCAACAGAAATGACTGAACGCAGACACCAGAGATATGGAAGATACTATTACCCGTCAAATAAGAGAATAATTAGAACAATCGTTGTATTACCCATCTGATTGTATTTGATTGATAACACTCATATTATTATTCCTGAATGTAATTTATCTTATACTGATTTTATTCAAATGTCTAATCATCAATTTTTACTCATGTATATAAATGAAGCAAGAAAGTTGTGTGAGTAATGCCTTGATATGATTATGAGCAGGAATAATTTGTGCTTGAAACGTACTCATAAGTAAATATTACTTACTGTATAACACTGTGTGATTTTATCAAAATAAAATCTTATTCACAATTGTGTTATACTCTACCACAGTGTCCAAGTTTTATACTTATATTGATTCAGCTAAGTTGCGTCAGTTCCCAAGTGGACTGACTGATCGGTGACGAAATTTCACCACGGATACAAGAAGACTATGTATCATTCGACAACTTACGCCATCCCGAGCGTACACGTGATATGCAACTGGCTATCGATCAAACGACTGGTGTACTGTACATCAATTCGCTCTGTCCTTCCCCTTACGGCTGAGATATGATCGTCAAAAGTAGAAGAGATAAAAAGGTTAGTTGGCTTCGTTGATCCAGGTAAGGATGTGTAGACTATTTGGTTGGCGTCTTCCTCCGGATGATAAGAATGAATAACTGGAGACAACTGGTGATATGACTCAAAACTATTCTCAAGGAAGAAGATACATTATTCACTCTTTATGATTTCTGATATCCATCGAACCCCGCTTGTTCTTTTTAATTACAATTCCAATTAAAATTTACACCCCGATACCATAGAAGACGAACTGGACAATCTCAAGAGAATCCTCGTCAAGAATTGTTATCCAGAACGATGATTTATTGCAAAATCCATGAATCCTACACCTCAGAAGCCACCGAAGCTCAACGTCTCGAAAAAACTCCTCTACATGAACCTTCAATTCAATGGAGATTTATCAGCGGAAACATTGAAAAATCGACTGTAGCGTTCACTCGAGAAAACCTTCTTCGCAGCTGAACTACGATTAACCTTCTCCACGAAACCTATGATCCGTATGAACGTGAAGGATAAGCTACCGTGGCTGGCCTCATCAATGTGTATCTACCAATTCACCTGTTCGTGTGGAGTCAGGTATGTCAGTCGCACCCACAGTTCGCTATCCAAACGTATCACCGAACACTTACCCATATGGTTTTACAATGCAAAAAAAACGATGTCCCCGTAGCTCTATCTTAGAACATCTAATAGATTCCGGACATCAAGCTACACCCCACACAAACTTCACAGTCGTCTATAGAATACGAAGCAGTCTTCCTAAAAGTGTACGAGTCTAACCTCTCCAAACTACAGAAGCAATGGCAATTCAATTTGCTCAACTTTACTCGTAACTTACTTAGTCGCTCTACCTGTAATTACCTGTGATGCTATCCTGACCTAAGTTGAAACATTATAGTCAATTATATTACGTCATCTAACTTACTAACTAACTCAATCTTACTTAAGTTGCTGTCTGATTAACCTGGTTTCTATATTAGGTCATTCTTGTATTACCTAATTAGTTATCTAAACGTGACAAGCCTCATGTACATATACACAAACAAATAATTTTACATATAAATGCAATTGTGCTGGCTGGGTGGCTGGATTCAACACAGAACTTGGCACCGAAGTGCAGCAGTTCGAGTTCCAGCGTGCCAAATAGCACACAAAGGTAGACAAGAAAATCAGTCAAGAGAATCAATAGAGTGAAACAGAAGGAGTAATGGTAGAAAGGAATATGAAAGATTACAGAGACTGAATACATCTGCGTAAGCCATTGACAACGATTTTGAGCCATGTCACCTATTGTCTCCAGCCACTGATTCTTAGAGTCCTGAGGGCGGGCCCCAACCCAGAAGTCTGCATCTCCCTACCTGACTCAGTTTAACTGTCAGGGATTTCATGGATTGATGAGGCCATGTTTTTGTTTGGTCACCGGTTACTCTTTTCCAGCCTGGCCCAGCTGATATAGGTGCAGGTTGGAAAAGAGTAAGCGGTGACCAAACAAAAACATGGCCTCATCAATCCATGAAATCCTTGACAGTTAAACTGAGTCAGGTAGGAAGATGTAGACTTCCTGGTTGGGGTCCTCGGGACGGTAAAAACCAATGGCTGGAAACAATTGGTGACATGGCTCAAAATCGTTCTCAGTGGCGCAGATGCATCCACTCCTTGTGACTTATGATTTCCAATAAAACTATATTGTTCTTCGTTATTACTATTCCTTTGTCTCACACCTCTGTTTACTGTCTATATTATGCATTTCTGCTACTTTCTTCTCTTGCTTTGTGTGCTACATGGAGGGAGTGTGGCGACTTGAACTGGCGCACATATGTGCAAAGTTCTATGTCGAAAACCGACCGACCGACCTATATCAGCTAGTAATGCCCGTCCATCGGGGGAGGCGATGGTTAGGCATGCGCAGCACGTGACCTAGCCATCTCAATCTATGTAACTTTATTGCCTCTTCAATTGATTTTCCGTCTTTGCCCAACACTCTATGCCTAACGTCAACATTACTTACCTTATTATACCATCTAACGTGAGAAAGAGACCGTAGACATCGACGATCAAAAACAGAAAAATGCAATTTTACAGCTATGTGAATGAATTCGCCGTCGAAAAGAGTCTCTTCACTGAACGTCTTCTCTTTTTCATACGACTCAATGGGAATTTTTAAGCTACAATTCCTTCTGCTTATCATAGTCTTTTTCAACCCCTGTTTTCTATCTATCTATCTCTCAATTTTATACCCTTGTATGGTACATGGAAGGCGTGTGGCAACTCGAACTGGTACACTTCTATGCATAGTTCTATGTTGAAACCAGTCAGTCATTTAGTAAACGACATAACGTTATATCTCCAACTGAATGAAAAGTTACAATTCAAGTTGTTATTGACTGTCAGCCAACTCAGGTGGATGCATTGTAGTGAGAGCTGTCCGCAAGCCAAAATTGTAGACACCAATTTACGTCAATGTTTACGACTCGAAACGAGGTCACGAGATAAAAAAATAACAAAGCTTAACCTTGAGGAACTCAACAACCAATCACAGCAGACTTAGCGTGGGCGGACATGATTCGCAGATATTTGGTCTGACCTTCAAAGAAACGCCCATAAAGCGATGACAGCATAACTTTCAGTCAGAAAAACAACCAATCAGAAGACGCTGTTTCTCTGCTAATAATAACGAATAATGATAATAATATACATAAAAATCTATAAATATCTCAATAAATTTTCTCAATGAAGGATCTGTTGCCTGGCCATTGTCTTCTGTCGTTACAATATTACCTGAAACGGCTTTTGGGTGTACTACAGTGATATCGATTTACCATGAAATCAACCAACAATCTTCTTTTTTACATTAGTAGTAAACTTACCGAATATTTGAGTAGAAATATCGATTATCACCTCTAGGAACATTATTGTTATCATTATTATTATTACCATTAGTGTGAGATGATGTCGATTGTAGAGTTTCCATAGATCCAGAGTTGACTCCCACCGTATCACCACCACCACCACCACCAATAGTATTATTCCATAGAAATGTATTATCGATTTTCATTCCATTCATATTGATGATTAGGACTTTTGAACTAGTACAACAAACCGGGATGATCAGATTCAATGGGCGATGAGCAGAAATATTCAAATGTAGACAAGACAATGCAGTGATATCCACCGTTGTTGGCATCTGGAAAGAAATGAAAATAAAAGAACTATTAATGTGAATGTTTCAATACAATTTGAATAACAATGCAAGAAGGAAATGGAACAGTGATCATTTAAACGCCTCTACAAGCAGCTTTACACACACACACACACACACACACACTAAAGACTGGAATGTAGCCTTGTAAGCTTAGGTACCCAATTTTAAGTCATCACCTCCAAGGTTCGAATCCCATTTCACCTTCTTTATTAAAATGAATGTGACTGGGTACTAATTTCAACCATCAATCACTAATGATGTTCTTAATTGTAGTGGAGTGGATTATGCTACTGATTAATTGATGTAAGTAGTCTGGATACTAACACTCACATCACTATCGTCTTCCTCGACGGCCGATATTAATTAATATATGAACAGGTTGCAAAGAGGCTAGTGGCAGTGAAACTAAAATTTGAGATAAGTAATGTTTCCCATTCATTTTTAGGCATTGAACGGTATTTTTGAACCCCTTTTTTCTGCCTCCTACCAAATGTACGACGATGATGCTACAGGAATGGACTGGACTACATTGACTCCTAGCTTAGAAATAGAGAGTGAAGTGGTTGGTGGAGCGTGTTAACCAATTCACTTATTTAGGAAGTTGCGTCAGCCAACTGTAAAACGGGTTGATCGCTGACGAAATCTCAACATGGATACAGTAGGCTCGTTTCTCATATGCTAACTTACGCCATCTCTGTCTTAGTAGACGTGATATTCGGCTGGCTATCGACTAAAAGGCGTGTATACTGCTCATCAATCCGCCCGGTCCTTCTCTATGGCTGTGAGTGAGACCTGGTCATTGAGACTGGAAGAAATGAAACGGCCGCCTATCTGTCTTTGACCATGGTTGTGTCTGCGTTCTATATCCCGTGTGAAGTGTTAAAGTAGGGTGAGCAAAATAGAGGTTAGGCGTCAAGCGCAAGGTAAGCAGGAGAGATCAGTAGACGAGGCTGTGAAGTTCCATCGACTGATATGGTTAGGACATGTGCTACGCCTTCCTCGAGTAACGGGCAATGTTAGCTGACATAGGATTCATCAGGTTAGAAAACAGATAGCGAGTGGTGGTCAAACCACAACATGGCTTCATCAGTCATTGAAATCCACAATAGTTAGTTTAAGCTAGCCAGCTAGTCACGTAGGAATGTGTAGACTTCCTGACTGACTGGTTGAGGTCCTCGGGACGGTAAACACCAATGAAGGCTGGAGACAATCGGTGATATGTCTGGCTCAAATGTATCGTTCTCAATGGCTGACTCAGATGCATCCAATCCTTGTGACTTATATTACCCAATGAAACTATATTGTTCTTCGTTATTACTATTCCTTTTGTTTCATATCCCTGTCTACTGTCTCTATTTTACATTTCTTGTACCTTCTTCTCTAGCTTTTTGTGCTACATGGAGTGCGGCGACATGAAGTGCTGGACATCGGTGCAAAGTTCTATGTTGAAGCCAGTCAGTCAGTCAACCAGTCAGAATGTGGTAAAACTACTCAGCGACTCAATACACAGGGTTCATTGAGGCACACTGAATATACATATGAAGGCTAAGATAGATGAATATATTACTTAATTTTTGTCAAAACAGTAGTAATATAGTTTTCTACTCACCTGTAAACCTTTAACACAATATCTTGTTTGCTTTAACGAAGTGTATTGTTCTATAGCGTTCTGTAAGGTATTAATAACACTCATTAAGAAGGAATGCGTGTGTATATATGATACACCGGATAAATGTATCCGAAGATTGGCATTATGGTTGACTGACGCCTGTTTCAGGATTTTGTCATTGGAATTGATACATCGGTTAGTGCTGGTTGTTGTTGCTGGTGGTGGTGGGGGTGGTGAAGATGATAATTTCTTAGCTTTATTAAACTGAAAGACTAAAAATGGCAGTTGAGTATTGTTCATGACACTGTCAACACTTAAAGGCAGTGATTGTGTTGGCGCAGACATTAAACGAACTCCATATAAGGAAGCATATTGTCTGGGTAAAGCGATTAACTACACAAAGAAAGGAGAGAGAGAGAGAATATGACAAATTGGAAAAATGAATTAAGAGAGTAAAAGTGTGTAGTGTGTACTGCTATAATGCGATGCAATGCAATGTAATAGAACACAAGTAATCTCCTTTATATCACCACCTTTGGACCGAACTCCAACTAAACTAGTAGTCACTATCCATTTGCATTCGCACTTGACGGCAGTCTGAGTTGCACGTAATGTTGTCATTCAACAGTTCTCTCCCAACGCTGTGTAGTACCCGATCCATCCATCTATCTCCACTTCCTTCAGTATAGGTTGTCGCATAGTACACCGCCAGAATTCCTCACTGCTCATTCGTAAAAGCCGGCCATTGGATTTTAAGAATGCTGTCAGCAAGGAGATGGCTGATGATTAAAGTCTCCAGTAGCTCAGCAATCGCACTACGTGCATTAACACACAACCACACAATAGGGTGGCAGAGGGTTAAGATTTTAAGAGGTAATCTATGTAGTTGGAGCGAGAGATTGATTACTGAATCCTGCCTGGTTCATTGAGTCTACACCCAACGCATGCAACAGAAATGACTCAATGCAAATACCACAAATATGGAAGATATTATTACCACCAGTCAGTCAAATCAGAGGAGGATAATAAATAATCTCAAAATTCTATTTCAATTCACGTACATCACAACATTCTAACAAATGACTTATTATGACTATAAAAACACTCGTCTTATTTCCCATTAGACTGTAATTGATCAATAACACTCGTATTATTTCTGAATGTACATTATCCCACATTGATTTTTATCTAAATATCTAGTCAATTCCACACAGGTATATAAATGAAGGAAAAAGTTGTGTGAGTAACTTGATATGATTATGAGCAATAGTTTGTGCTCGAAACATGGTCATCAGTAAATATTACTGTATAACACTGTGTGATTTCAGTAAAACGTTTGAGCATTGTGGATTAGATCAAATAAAGTTTAATTATATGTCAATAGTTTACACACAATGATAAGTTTTGTTATTGGTAATATTTCGAGCAAAATTACTGCCCATGTTCACACCACTGTTATTATTATTATTATTATTATATCCTTTAATTCCTAGAGGAACATAGGGCTTTATCCATGTGTCTCCATTGCGTTCGGTTCTCTGCTAGAGTCCTCACCTGGCTCCAAGTCTGCCCACACGCTTTCATCCCCTCTTCACATGACCTCCTTCAAGTTACCTTTGCACTGACGACCAACTCGCCGCTTCCCTATCGGGTTCCACTCGAGGGCTTGTCTAGTGATGTCACTTGATGGTTTCCTCAGAGTATGGAATTGCTTTATTCGATTATTAGTTTAGTTGGACTTGGTTCCAAAGGTGGTAATATAAAGGAGATGAGTTGTGTCGGAATAAAACAACTCCAACAGTGGCGTGAACATGGGCAGTAATTTTGCTCGAATAATACCAATAACAAAATTTATTATCGTATGTAAACTATTGAAATATAATTATACTTTACTGTGTGATTTATCAAAATAAAATCTTATGTATAATGGAGTTTCCAGTAGCCTGTTCAAAATGCTATTTGTGACGCTCCTCAAACTCTTTGAATTATAATAGAAGCATTGATACTAGTGTTGAAAATCCAAATGTTGTTTTCCATTCTGAATTCAGAAGATTTCTAAACTGATTTCAAAGTGACAAAGGCCAGTCTGACCTTCTTGAACCTAACTAGTTTTGACATTCTCCTCCGTCCTCACCATCTGTAGCTGAAAGAGCCTGCCTGGATATGTGAAGGAAGGGATCTCCTACGAATTCCCCCCAGTTGCTAAATTGATTATCTTCATCACTTCCATCTTCTTTATGTTCACTTGAAGTCCTATCTTTCTCTGCCTACTTGTCCTTTCAACTTATTGATTTTCGCCAGTACAACTTCGAGTTTACATGACATCAGATATAAATCATCCAAAAAGTGCTTTTCCATAGTCTTCTTGTCGGTCTAACGCATGCCTGTCTTCTGACTCTCCTGACGGTCTGTGGCACAATCAAGTTCACCACAATTAGGAATATCCTTATCGGTGATACTAGGCAGATGCCTTGTCTTACTCTTGTCTTCATTTCAAACGTCTTGCTGAGCTTTTGGTTGTGGATCACTTGATATATATATCACTGTCGTATAGTTGTTCAACGAGGTTGATAAAAATTTGGAGCACTCCAAAGTATTGAAGTAGGTTTCCAATTCCTTCATTGTCAACGCTGTCGAAGGTTTTTTCAGGCAAAATGATATTGAGGTAAAGACCTGACTGCCATACTACACTCTGTTACACGATGATGCGTAGCATTGCAATTTGATCCACGCATGACTTGCTTTTCTTGATTTCAGTTTGCTTCGGTCAGAATTCTTCACCTAATGTATCTTTCAGTTTCTCCAGAATGATGTGACTTAATATTTTGCCTGGCGTGGACAACATTATGATTCTGCGTCAGTTCTTGCAGTAGCCTTTCTTCCAGTCAGTAGGTACCTTTCCTTCCTTCCTTCCAAATCTATTGCAGCAGCGATGTTTCTGAATCCATTTTGAGTGCTTCAGGAGGGATTCCATCTGGTAACGACTTTCAGTAACTTGATTGTACTCAAGACTTCCGAAGGTGAGGCAATAACTCATCGAAGAAGACATTGCGAAGTGGTTGCGTTATATTATGAATTGGCAGAAGTTAGAATTCATGCACTGGCCATTGGATCGGGCTTCAGTGACTTAATGGTCTACGAGTTAGCTCACCTTGTAACCAGAAGGTCCTGGGTTGGAACCCTGGAGGTGGGCGCGTACTGTTGAAGAGTCCCAAACTAGGATAAAACAAATGTCCAGTACTCTCAACTGGTTTTCCAAAGGTTCTCTAACTGATGTCAGCTCATGATGAAATCCTCCATCTTCTGTTTTTTTTTGAAAGATTGTTGATCATCGACATTTCTACGGTCTTTAGTGGAAGAGGGGTGAGGGGGAAAATCTTTGGATAATGCTTAGAAGTTAAAAGAAAATTATGTACAATACAACATAACAACTTACTTTAATGCTGTACATATGACCTTCCATTTGAAGACAAGAATTCGTCAGAAAATCGTCATCATCATCACCATCGTTAATGTCATCACGATGCTCACCACCAACATCAACACTACGATAACTGGCAGCAGTCGCAGTAGTAGCATCAACACCAGGTGTATAACTGACTTGAAGCTTTATCCCACTAGAAGACAACACAGCCAAATCTGTATCCAAATTTACACACGTCAATAATGACTGAACTTTATCAGGGGAATCACTATTGGACAATGATTCTTCAGCGGTTTTACTGGGTTCAGTAACTATGCAATTCACTGAACTGATGTCTAGCAGCAGACATAACTTTGGATCATTATTTATCGGAATGGGGATTGATTTCGTCGCCGCAGGAGCGGAGTTGGAGTAACATGAAGGAATTGTGTCTATAAAAATGTAGAATATGACAATAGACATTTAAAAAATAACAACACCAGGAGTGACAAATTAACAATTCAGCCAAAAACAAACAAACACAAGAACGTTTTAATCCAGCGTGGTTAAGTAAAGGACAAACAAAATCTATTCGCATAGCGCTATTCTATCTCATCTTGTGGAGACAGAACACGAGATTGACGTTAATCATGCTTTCAGGGTCATTTACCGCATACCTACGAATCTCAATTTTGACTTAAGAGTTCGTCTACTACCTATTGCAGAGGCTGGCTGTTGGGATCCACATTAAGAAACCTAATTTATGTGTCCAAAAGAAGTTGGTTGGTTCAGACATCGTTCTTATCTTGGCCATCTAGGTTTGAATGATCCTCAATTTTAGTGGAAATTTCCCTAATTTTAGTTGATATTCTATTTGCTATAATATTTTTATTATTATTATTATAATTTAAGCATCTTTATTGAACTGTAATTCCATTGTGATCTTAATTAACAAGTCGATATTATTCAAAAAACACTAATATTGTTATTGACTACTATTCTAGAATAAGGAACAAGATCCGCATTTTCAACACCAATATCAAGTCGATCCTACTATAAGGGTCAGAAACTTGCACTGAGTGTCAGTCAAGAAAAGCATTTCCAACAGGTTGCAGACTTTCATCAACAGCTACCACCTTTGCTGGCTCCATACTGAAGATCAAATGGCCAGCGAGTAACAATAAGCAACAAGAAACTCCGGCTGTGAACAAAACAAACAACCAACCAAGAGCTGATCGCTTAACAAATATGTAGGAGAAAGTGGAAATGGATCGGGCAGACGTTGAGGAGGCCGTCGAATGACATCGCGCTCAGTGAAGGCCATCTCCCGATGGAAAGCGACAATTGGGTCTTCAGTGTGAGGGTGACATAGAGAAAATCGTGTGAGGAAGAGATGAGAGAGTCTGTGCAATCGTGAACCCAGTCTGCTGAAGAGGACAGCATCAAATAGAACGAAGCGGAGATGTGTTGTTGAAGCCCCATGTTCCAATCGGAACCTAAGAGAACAATAATGGTAGTAATTCTAGAATATTCTATGTATGTAAACATATATATATATATATAATTGAACAGCCAGAAGAGGAAACTATGGAAAAGGATATTCTTTGCTCAATTTTTGTTTTTCTAATAAGAAAAAGTAGATTTGCATGAAACGATATACTACTGACTGGCTGACTGAAATGAGTAGTAGTGTATCATTCATGTCAACCAGTAGTGTGATTGCTAGAATTGATAATCTATATGCATATATATGGGCATGCAAAGATGTGTGGCTCATAGACTCAATCACTCAGCTGAGAGCAATGATGGATATCAGGTTATAATTTAGCCTTTGTTTGAGTTATGTCGGTCAACTGGGATGCATCATTAATCTGAATATAAATAGACTGTGAACCCAATAATCCTAATGAACAACAGACCCTTCATACACCGGGCTAAGAAACATTATGTTCTTGTGTTATAGGCGACGCTACTATCCTCCTTCCCCTCCAATTGTTCAGGCTGAAATAGGTCCACCGGAACTCAAAATTCATCACCAATAACTGACTGGAAACCAAGTGTGATTAAGCGACACACAGTTTAGTTTGAACAACATATAGTCAACATACTACCAACAGAACATGAGATATATCTCGAAAAAACGTTGTCATGACGACCGCGAACTAATTTGGAAACAAATTCAACACAATCAACAACTCTGTATGACAGTGCCACATGTCAAGTGATCCATAGGGGAATTGAAGGAAGCACTAAGACAAGGCTGCCTACTATCACCCACAATGACATTCTTAACTGTGGTTGACTGAATAACGCGGGAGACAATGAAAACAGAGTGAGAAAACAGGCATAAGTAGGGCTGATAGGAGGACCAGAAGATCTGAACTTAGCTGACTATTTATATTGAATGTCACATAAAACTCGAAGATATTCAGGTGGAAACCAACATGTAACAAGAAAAAGAAGAGGCAGTCAGTGAAGACACGATTTCGAGTGAACATAGAAAAGTCGGGGGTGATAAAGATAACCAGCCAACCAACTAGTTACAAGCATCAATCCCTATTAACAGCAGAAATTTGAAAGAGCTCACTTCCTTCACTTATCTAAGCACCAGCCTTTCAACTACAGGCAGTCGGAATGGATCAAGATTTTAAAGCTAGTCAGGATCAGAAAGGCAAGTCATATATTCATCATTTTCAAATCAATGTGGAAATCTTCCGAAATAAGAAGAAACAACAAGATTGGAATTTTCAACACTAGTGCATAGCCAGTCACAATCAGTTTTTCTATATGGGACAGGAACTTGGAACACGAGTTACGAAAATTATTTCAAACAGGCTACAGCAGACTTCTAAGCACACATGTTGTCCGGAGCTCGATCCCTTGCCACAGATGCACTCCTTTACCTCGCTAAGCCAGTAATAATACTGATAGAGAGGGAAGGTTGGGGATGAGGCTAGCAACGCCATCCCGTAAAAATAAACACCACTGCTACCGAAACTTCAAGCGTCTAGCTTGAAGGCACCCTATGTTCCACTGGGAACGTAAAGGAATAAAAAAACTGCAGACATTTATCAACAGCTGCCACCTTCACCGGCTTCATACTGAAGATCAATTAGGCGATCGACCAGAAATAATTAACAGCCAGAAACTAGGAGGACAAACCAATCAAGAAATAGTCGCTCAAGAAATATGCCGAAGGAATATAGCGATGGATGGATTGGACACACTCTGTGGAGACTGTCAGGTGGCATCAAGCACCAGACCATCAGTCATGTGGAAGGCGTCGCTTCGAGGATGACATAGAGGAGATCGTGCAAGGAGGAGATGAGAGCAAATGAACGGTCGTGGGGGGAGATGAGGAGGACTGTAGAAAACAGGACAGAGTCAAATGGAAATGTCTCGCTGAAGCCCTATGTTCCACCACTCAGAAACTAAAGGAATAATAATGATAATAATAATCATAATAGCATATATATATATATATATATATATATATGAAACTATAATTGTAATTTACTTTGATTTAATTTTCCAACAGTTTTTTTCAAAGCCTCCTCTTTATCATCATCGCACAAATTCAAAAAATCTAAAAGTAACACCCATGGTTCAGATAGTAATCGAAAATCCAATGTGTCCATGCTTAACTTGACAAAATATTTAGTCTGTAACAGAGACAAAAAGGAAACAACAGAAGTGTGAAAAGAGCAATTAAATGCACACACACAAATTATAAATACTTTCAAGACAATTTTGATTATTCCATTGACTACTTGCATTAAAATATGTTCAGCCCCTGTCCAGATGACGAGTCCTGAATAAGACGAAATGCGGGGTGTTCATCCACTTTCCAACAAATCATACTTCGAGTTAGTTGCCAGACACATCACTGAAGCATCTGTTCTTACTTAGAGCCGACATGTCGACTCACAATCAAATCAACGGGGAAAAAACAGAAATTGAATTAGAACGAGATAATAATAACGGATGTCTGTCTGAGTGCACAGGAAGGTGGCTGTCATCCTGACTCAAATGGTTTAGTGGACAATGCTTTGGCATCTGAAACGATGGGTACTGGCTGGGTTCACTCACTCACCCATTCACTTCCTGGAGAATACATGTACATCCAGTTGATGAGTTCCCGAATGGGACAAAGTGAGCATACTGGATTGCACTGGGCTAATCACCATTCACCCACTCGTGTCTTTACCAACAGCTACAGGCCCATCAACACAGGATAAGTTTGGATACAAGAGCTTCTACTACCCCGCCCAACTCCCCAGAGCAGTAAGAGGTAACATAGCTGACTCACTGGTCGTTTAAAAGAAACAGATTGCTGATGTTGCACACCCTTATTCATCATCATCAATAAGAGTACAACTTTGGTCTTAGACAGCACCTGGAGTAACATTCATTGAAGGCAGTGTGCAACACACTTGTTAGGTTATCATGATATGTAGAAAGGTTTAACAAAGATGGACACTTTATATTTTTTTTCAAAAAGGGGAGGGGAGAACACTACCTACCTGACAGAATGATTCATGCTGATCCGATAGAAGAATGACACGTACAGATATCGGAGACACCTAAAGAAATTTCAAGAAATAAAACAAAAAGGAGTATTAAGTGTAAGTGTAGAACTTGGGCACTGTGTTGCATAATGTATGTGATTTTATTTTAGATAAGTTTATTTTCAAATATCACACTGTGTGTTATGCAATATTAACAACTGGATGACAACGTTTCGAGCATAAATTATTGAAAGGCATAGTTGTATCAATATAGTCACACGGCTTCATGATTTATCTGATATATATATTTTCTCTCTCCGTCTTCCCCTTGTTATTTGTTGCCATCATCCGTATCTCCGGCATCATAGGAGTTGCGTCATTTCCATTGCACGTGTGAGGTGTTGAATCGATAAACAAAGACTCAGTCAGTGATTAACCTCTCTGTCTCTCCACAACCTATTTTGCGATCACATGCAAGTGAATGCAATGCAGTGGCCTAACTCTTTTCTATGTTATTTAACTTAGCAAGGTCAATCAATTTAGATCTAGCTAAAAATTTTATGTTCCAATAATCTAGCTGACCCTGATCTACCAGTTTGATGGTGTACGTAATTGACCTCACTGTAATCGGAATGACGCAACTCCTATGATACCAGAGATATGGAAAGTGGTAACAAATAGCGAATGGAAGTTAAAGAGGGAGAAGTTATATATATATATATATATATACATAAGAGAAATCGTGAAGCTGTGTGCCTGAATTGATATGATTATGAGCAGCAATAATTTATGCTCGAAACCTTGTCATCAAGCTGTTAATACGGCATCATTGTGTGATATTTGAAAATAAAATTATCTAGCATGGAAGAAAAAGGATATGTCCACGAGGAAAGATATTCATGTCCATTCAATAAATGAAGTGGGTCAGGGGGAGGGTTCAGACATTCCACACGTGGCCCAGGTTCTATTTCCAGCTAAAGTACTCGTAAACCTCACTGATTAGCTGTCAGTAAAACCACGAAAGACGGATATGTGGGAGTGAGACGAATAGCAAATCCACCTTGTGAAAACAATACCATCAAAGCTATCGAAATTCTAAAGCTCAAAGCTTTTGAAACCCTATGATAAAAAATTCGGGACACAAAAGGAAAGAAGAAATAAATGAAGAATTCTCCCGCTCAACTTTCACTCTTTTCCGAGAAAGCATACTACCACCAGCTAGGAGAGGTTTAAGAGTGTGCATCAGTCGAGAATTAAACCCTCGACCACTTGTGTGGCTGGATGGAGAGCATTCTACTCCTGAACCACCGAGGGAAAAGTATTGAAGATATAAAAAGACGCCAATCTTTGACAGAGGATATAGCAAAACTGCCTGAGAATTTCTTAGAGCCTAGCTGGTATTCAGGTGAATCGGCAATCAACAGACACATTGACAGAGGAACGGTTTGTTGGAGGATTCCATCATGAACTTACATCACTTACATGACCTTTGTTAAACCTGCAATGAGTACTGGAGAGCAGTTTCGTCCTAGTTTGGGACTCTTCAGATCCTTGGTTCGAACTCTTGTGGGTGCGTACTGCTAGAGAATGTCAGACTAGGACGAATCAGCAGGCTTATGATGAAATCCCCCAATCAATCAAACAAAATCCGCACAAAACCAATACTTGAAAATAGACATGATCTATCGATCTATAATGAGGGTATCACATGAGCGAAAAGTCAACTTTCAGGTCAAGGAAGCAATTAATACCATTACAAGTGGAATATAAAGTGAGAAGACTTACAAAAACAGACAATCACATCCAAGGTTACTAGGACAGAGAGATGACTAATAAACTCATGGGGAATTTTAAGAGCTTGCTTCAAAGTCAAATATGCACTGAGGTTATTACCTAGTAAGACAATGAAGGCCTCACAACTCAACCATCAAACTCAGACAATACAAATACACCAATAAAACAAATGATTTCTTCGACTTTCATAGTGACTAAAGACGCGTTTTCCCAGTACTGTCACCGCAAGTGGATTCATCTTCACAACCGATAAATTGAGAAAATGTTCTTCTCCTTTACTCATTATAACACCATCATCATAAAAGGTCCTATTAGTCGGGGAGAAATAACACTGCTTAAAATACAGAAAGATAGCAATCACCAAATATTTCATTAAAAAAATACTGACCTGATGTAATAAACCAACGATATCATTATCATCATGATTCCACACATTGGATAAATAATCCTTTCCGCAAGTTGAATGATTTCCAGAACACCAATTCCCCTCTGTATAATAGATTTTGTCATAATCCTCAGTCGAGCATGAATTTATCCTTTTACGTCTTAAATATTTATTATCCTTATGAGTATGACCATAACTGCCTTCCGCTGAAGAAAAATCTTTACAGACAAGTAGAAACTGTTGCTGCTGCTTTTTTATTCCACCACCACGTTGTGTTGTTGAAGTCTTCCTTTCCTTTCCCTTCTCTTTATCATAATCATGTTTCGATGGTGGTAATCGATTTTGTAAATATGCACCGCCAACATTCAACTGGAGACATGTAGGCAGTGTAATACCACCACCACCACCACCTTTAGAGATATGAACACTTGATGATGATGCCTCTAATGATTCGATAGTTAATGAAGCTAATGGAATCGGTGTGATATCTAAATCGCCTAACATTAAAATATGAATTTGTGAACAATTGACGCGTATACCGAATTCCAGAGAACCGCATTGAATACTATTCAGTCCGATAGGAATTGAATTCAGATCAGAGTAGGAAGGCTGTTTAAAAAAGAGATAATAATAATAATAAACAAAGCAAAAGTAGTATAATTTGCTCTAAAATCGAATCATCAGCATTGATAAATATCCACACAGAAGTACAACGTACTTTCGTTACAAGATTGTCAGCAGGAGTCTGCATCCTACACTCAGTCTTGCAGTTGAACCCTTTACAAGTAACCTATATAAGTGTTCATGTATAGCTAGGTGGTCGCTCTGTCCTCCTTTATGGCTGTAAGTGAGACATGGCCATTGAGAGTGAAAGACATGAAAAGGCTAGACAGTTAACTGTCTTTGATCATAGGTGCCTGGGTTCTATCACCCATAAGAAGTGGTATAATAGAGTGAGCAAAATTGATGTTGGGCGTCGAGTAGTAGGTAAGGAGGGGACATCAATAGACGAGGCTGTGGAGCTACATCAACTGATATGATTAGGACATGTGCTACGCATGCATCTCCAGACATCCCCTTCCTCGACTGACGGCCAATGTTAGATGATATAGGGTCAGGTTGGAAAAGAGTTAGCAAGTGGTGGTCAAACTAAAACATGGCTTCGTCAGTCAATGAAATCCACAACAGTTAGTTTAAGCTAGCCAGCCAGCCATATAGGAAGGTGTAGACTAGCTTCCTGAGTGGTATGGGTCCTCAGAACGGTAAACACTAATGAAGGCTGGAGACAATTGGTGATATGGCTCGAAATTGTTCTAAATGGCTGGTGAAGATGCATCCACTTCTTGTAACTTATAATATCCAATAAAACTACATTGTTTTTCCCGATTGTTTTCACCAGCCCGCTGTGTCATTTCGCCTCTCCGATTCGAGCGAACAATAAGATTGTTGTTATTTGAATTTCTTGTATTTTCAAAATATATTTTCTGTGTGTTGAATTTTCTCTAGCAGTTTAAAAGATTTAGTGGTGAGAGGTTGCTAGTCCCACACCCAACCCTCCTCCTTTACCCGCGCTTAGGACCGGTTAGAAAACTAGAGAGCTAGTTAACTATGCGAGGTTTTTAAAAATTCATGTAACCTCCTAATTTTGAATGAAGATGTATGCAGGACTATGGTTAGTTGTTGTTGTTGTTGTTGTACGCGTAATTATTGATCAGATCAATGGTAAACAGACAAATAAATAATGAGTACATAATTACTGTATTATTACTTAATGATATGAATTATTGGAAATCAATGATGACAAACAATCAATAATGCTAAATATTTACACTTTGAACAAAACAAAACACTAATCGATTGTTCTACACCTACGTATTGCTGTTGTGTCAGATTGGAGTATTCAGACTATCTGAATTCTCAACTACATATAATTAAATAAAATGTTCACCATTCCAGGAGAACACCTACTTAACAATTCATGGTGTCAAGGCTGCCTACTATCACCGATGACATCCCCTAATTGTGGTAGACTGGATGTTGAGGGAGACAAAGCGCGAGAAGTGACCCGACAAAAAGGCTCTAGAAAATGTGGACTTCGCGAATGACCTACGTCTACACATCACATAAACTTGAGCATACATACATAGGCGAGAATCAACAAGTTGGCAGAAGAAGCAATAAAGACATGACTTCAAGAGAACATAGAAAAGATTAAGGTGATGAATATGCACAACCAACAACGCGAATAACAACAATCACTTCATTCGATATTGTCCAGACTGAAAGATCCAACAGAAAAGGAAGATAAAATTAATGCCATTTACAAAATTAATTGTATGAACAGTAATCCACATTACATAGGTCAAAGTGAGTGTCGTCTTCGAATCAGAATCCAAGATCACAAATTGTCTGTCTGTCTGTCTGTTCTCGACATAGAACTTTGCACATAAGTGCGGTAGCTCGAAAAGAATAGTAATATAGAAGAACAATAGAGTTTCATTGGATATTATAAGTCACAAGAAGTAGACGCATCTGCGCCAGCCGTTGAGAACGATGAGGTTGAGCCAGCCATATCACCCATTGTCTCCAGCCTTCATTGGTGTTTACCGTCCCGAGGACCCCAACCAGTCACTTAGGAAGTTTACACCTTCCTATATAGCTGGCTGGCTTAAACTAACTGTTGTAGATTTCATTGACTGGTGAAGCCATATTTTGGTTTGACCACCACTTGCTAGCTCTTTTCTAACCTGACCCATCCCATGCCAGTCAGCATTGGCCGTCACTCGAGGAAGGCATTGATGGATAGGGATGCAAGCGTGATACAAGTCCTAACTATCTCAGTCGATGTAACTTCACAGCCTCGTCGTAAACTAGCATATGCGAAACAAGCCCTCTGTATTCGTGCTGAGATTTTGTCGGAGATCAACCCGTTAGTTAAGTTTAAGCCAGCCAGCTAGTCACGTAGGAAGGTGTAGACATCCTGACTATCTGACTGGTTGGGACCCTCCGGACGGTAAACAACAATGAAGGTTGAGGACAATTGGTGATATTGCTCAAAATGGTTCTCGATGATGACACAGATGCATCCACTCCTTGTGACTTATGATTTCCAATGAAACTGTTTTGTTCTTCGTTATTACTATTCCTTTGTCTCACACCTCTGTTTACTGTCTCTATTATGCATTTCTTTTACTTTTTTCTTCTTCTTTGGCTTTGTGTGTTGAGTGAAGTGTGGCGACTCGAACTGCTGCACATCGGTGCAAAGTTCTATGCTGAAATGAATCAATCATTCAGACAGTGACATCAGTTAGACAACCATATGAAAGCCACAGAGTATTGAACAGCCCAGCTGGTATGGCCTAGTTTGACACTTATCATCAATAAGCACCCAATAGGGTTGGAATCTAGGTCGCCCCAGTTGCAGGGCGAGCTCGTTAACCCTTCAGTCACTGGGACATTTGCTGGTGGTTGGTCATGCTAAAATCACGAACTGATAGCGGCTAAAATCCATAGATCTTTGAATCAGGTCCCAGTCATCAAATGGTTTACGAACTTGCCCTGTAACCCGAGAAATCTGACTTCGAACCATGGTGTGTGAGTACAACCAAAGAGTCCTAAACAAGGACGAAACAGCTGGTTGTCCAGGACTCCAAGGTGATTCTCCAATCCTTCTCTAAGTGACATCAATTCACGATCAAACTTGAATTAATTAATTAATTGATTAATTACAATAGCTAAATAAATGCCTATGAGAAACACTTACTTGTTGTATCGCTGCTGGCTGATCAGTTTGTAACGCTTCCTCATTATTCACACCATCCGATTGATTTTCTTCGAATTGTTTCAATAAATAACTGTCGAATAAATCCTTGACTAAATCACAATTCATCTTAGTCAGATTGAAACGCATTGTGTGAATGTAGATGACAACAGTTAACTGGGTAGTTATTGGTTCAGAGAATAGGAGTAGATTAACACATGGGTGGGAACATGTTACTCCCTCCGCTGACCTATTTGTAGAAGGCGGCGGCGCATTCATCTCATCGTTATTCTCAGGAACAACAACAACAACATGATGATATTTTGTAAACTGATTCAACTTTGCTGTTTGCATGAAAGATAAATCAGAGAAATTGAAACGAACTGTCTGTAACCACCAGTTGGAGGGCGAAGATGATGAGTAACTTTTTCTGGCTGGATTCAACTTTATGTAGTTTATCTAAAAATTGAATGTCAAAATAAAAATAATTAATAATAATAATAATCTACTTTATTCCAAAAACAGCACTACTTATAATACAGAATGGAATTCTCCTAACATTTGTCACAATATCTTGCATCTGATTTACTTAATATATAAATAAAATTAAAACAAAATTAAGCAGAGGAATTTGTCCACATTTACGATATAAAGTCAAAGATATTCGAAGCACGAATTGAGAATAATAATAATAATAGTGAGTTTGTTTCAAACAGTGTTGTCGATTCTGTTTGGAAATTTTAGCATGTTATAGATTATTGAATCTAATGTTCTGTTGATATAGCAGCATGGTGAGGGAAAAGACAAAATTAACAGTTATAATACAGCTTAAAATTATGTCCACACTTATGAAAAAAAATAAACAAAAACTAAAAATTGAGAGGATTGTAAGTATAAGAAGTACAATAACAATAAAGTATGATGCTTTAAAAGTGAAGGAAATGGTTTATTTAGTGGTGCTATGAAGGTTAGTTAGTTCATTTCTGACACTATTTTCACCACATAAAGTACGTGCTAAATATGATATAGTGGAATTTTTATACTTAGACATACGTGCATAAATTCTTCTGAAAAGATTTCTTGTTTTACCTGAGGTGGAGACACAAGGTTGGAGCTGCGGGTGCTGCGGTGGATGCTCAGAGTCTGACAAAATTCCTTTAGCAAATTTGTTGCATGACATCAAATGCCTATCAATAATGACGATGTCAACGATATGGCTCAATGGGATACCACTCGCCCTACTGACTGATAGTCTTCAGAGTTCTACGAAGTATGACATAGTCATTTTTTAAGCAATCCAGGAAGGAATAAGGGTGAACAGTAAAGAAGAATAGGTAAAATACACGAGTTGACAAATTGTACGAGGAGGAGTGGTTGGTTGAGTTATGCCTGAGTGCCTTAACTTCTTAATGTAAAAAGTCAGACGAAATGTTCTTTTAGAAATCGCTAAGACATGGGAAGACCAGGATAGGTCAGTAGAAAGAATTAATCCAAGATACTTAACTTCAGACTTGGTTTCTATATCAGTAAATAAGGACGAAGGGGCGTGATATGAAGGACGGGGTTATACGGAAACAAAATAAACAGAAATGCTACTTTGAATTAAATCCACAATTTGTAATGCACACAGATCGATGGATGAAATTTTCATCATAGTGTCCTTTGGAAATCGATAATATAAATGGTGAGACAGTATACTACTGATTAATTGAGATGAGTAGTTGAATACCCCCCACTCAAATCAACCGGTAGTACTTGCTAACTAGCCAGATTGAAGTGACCTGAAAACACCGGACTGCAGTTTCGCCTCATTTACAGTCGAGTACGTCGGTGTTGTGCACTCGGTTTGACTCAGCTCTCAGACAGTCGAATTACGTCAAACCACCTGATTTCCTGGCTACCTACCTACCTACCTAACACTGGACGAACTGGTGTTACCATAAATCGAATTCCCTATGAATTAACAACGGAAATTATTCACATTACAAAGTATGAGATCAAGAAAGCAAGTGTATTTACATTAAAGCTATCTACTTATATATGCATGTATATACTATAATATACATGAGTTCCTTCAAGGTTTCAGATACGCCTTGCTGACTTGTGAGTGCCAAATAGCACAAAACCTAGGCCCAAGTCACACTAGTTACTTACTAGTGTCCAATCAAAGTATCCACTACAGTCCTACAGGAGGTCAATCGCTAGGCCGAATACCTTCTCAGTAGTAACGTCTCTGACTGCAGGCCGGCACTGGGTGACGCGGGTTCGAACCTCAGAAGGGACATGACTTCCTTCAAGGTTGCAAATTCATCTTGCTGACGAGTGCCAACTAGCACGAAAACTAGGTTGCGTCCAAGGCTTCCTGTCGATTACCCCCAACCATCTAATATCGTCAAAGTCAGTCAGTTGGTTGGTTGGTTGGATTCAACATAGAACTTGGCACAGAAGTGCAGCAGTTCCAGTTGCCACGTTCCAAAAACCGCACAAAAGTAGACAAGAAAATGAGTGAAGAGAATCAATAGAGTTTTGACAAGTATAAGAGTGAAACAGAATGAGTAATGGTAGAAAGGAATATGAAAGATTACAGAGACTGAATACATCTGCGTAAGCCGTTGACAACGATTTTGAGCTATGTCACCTATTGTCTCCAGCCATTGATTGATTCTTAGAGTCCCGAGGGCTGGCCCCAACCCAGAAGTCTGCATCTCCCAGCCTACCTGACTCAGTTTAACTGTCAGGGATTTCATGGATTGATAAGGCCATGTTTTTGTTTGGCATGGCACCACTTACTCTTTTCCAACCCGTACCTATATCAGCTAGTAATGCCCGTCAGTCGGGGGAGGCGATGGTTAGGCATGCACAGCACGTGACCATCTCAATCTATGTAGCTTTATAGCCTCTTCGATTGATTTTCCCTCTTCGCCCAACACTCTACGCCTAACGTCAACATTACTTACCTTATTATACCACCTAACGTGAGAAAGAGATCGTAAACATCTGTGGTCAAAAACACTCAAACTTTTCATGTCTTCCGCTCTCAATGGCCACGTCTCACCACCATAGAGAAGGACGGAGCGAACTGATGAGCAGTACACACGTCCCTTGGTTGATAGCCGGATGTCACGCCTACGCCAGAGACGGTGTAAGTTAGCAAAAGAAGCCCGAGCTTTTTGGATCCGTGTTGAGATTTCGTTGGTGATGATACAACTTCCCAAAAAGGTGAAGTGGTCAACATGTTCTATCACTTCACTCCCTATCACGAAGCTAGGAGTTGACGTAGTCCAGTCCTGTAGCAGCATCTTACATTTTACAGCGGTGAATCGCATGCCAAACATGCGAATATTGCTGCTCAAGGTGTTCAGAAGACTCTGCATTTTGTCAGCATCCTCCCCTAACAGGACTATGTCGTCTGCATATTCTAAGTCCATAAGACTATTCCCTGGTAACAAGTCGATTCCTAAGTCGTTAAGTTCAGTTAGGGATACTTCCATTAGCATATCTATGAGAGTCAGTCAGTATTGCTTGTTAGTCACATCCAAGTGATTCAAACGAAATGGGGTCAAGCTCATCATCTGTGAGGAATGCGAATTAATTTGGCAATTTTGAATTTGATTCAGTTCGCCTAAGAAGTTAGCCAGAATTCAGCAGAGGGTAGTTGATATGAACGACTAATTCGGCTCTCTGAGTTGACTCGAACGTGGCCCCTAAAGAGCGAAACAGCCGCCCGTTCGATGTTTAGATGAGTTCGATAATCTTGTTAGCTGGCAAGCACTACTGGTTGATGTGAGTGTTGATAGACAACTCACACCAATCAATCAGCTGTAGTATGTTGAGCTGTACATAAAAATAAATTATATTTTTTTCATCATCGAATTTTAATGCTATTTTATTTGTTGCTTAGCAATTTAACATTGTTATCTGAAGAAATATAGAGTTATAATTCACTGGTCCTTACACGGTACTTGACTACTGCTCGCTCATTGATTGACGGATTCAATTAATACCATCTACAAAATAAATTCTATGAACTGTAACAAGCATTACATCGGCCAAAGTGGGCGTCCCCTTCGAATCAGAATCCAAGAACATAAATCAGCCGTGAAAAGACATGATATGAATTCTTTAGTATCAATGCATGCAGACAACTATGGTCATCAGTTTGATTGGGATCATGTCAAAATCTTAAACAGAGGAAACACCAAAAGTGCAATCACGGAATTCCTAGAAGCCTGGTACTCAAGCGAAAATGCAATTAACAAACACGTTAATATAGATGAAATATACCAATTAATAAAAAGTAAATCAGGTGACCAAAAAGTTTAAAATCCTAGTCAATAGAAAAAATGGTCAATACATATGTGAAAATAGTAACCAGGAGACGCAATTACATCACGCATGAAGAAATTTAAATCATTTCACTTCGTGCTAAATATGGCGCTGAAGATGTCGTCCGGAAGGACGACGAAAGCTTCGCGACTAAACCAATCAGCTCAGCGAACGCTTTTAATTGTAGAACTGTAATTCCATTGTGATCTTACTTAACAAACCGATATTATTTAAAAAGCACACTAATATTGTTATTGACTACTATTCTAGAATACTCTGTGTGTGTAAACATATACGTATATATAATTGTAGAGCCAGAAGAGGAGGAAATTATCGCAAAGGATATTCCTCTTTACTCAATTATTTCGTGTTTTATAGATGTCTGAATGAATACTTTCCCAATACATATATAGCTGATGGAAAAAGATCGAAGGTGAAGGGGAAATCAGAGTCGAGGAGGCAGCATTCAAACCAGTAAGCTGTCATTCATCTAATAACCCAGTCAGTCAGTGTTCTATCACAATCACAGTATTGACATGATGAACAATTTAGAAAACTGGAGTTTTCAGATCAACCGGATCATTATTCTGATCTATTCATAACTGGCCACTCACTCACTGGTTCGAATTCTTGCTTCTACTCAGATAAATAACACTCAGCTAATTGGCGGCACCCATCATACCAAATCAAACCAGAAAACTCATCAGAAACTTACATAGACTGAAAAATCCATTGGGAATACAATCACTCGATGACATAACTCATACTTCAATGGATCATTACACCATACCATTTGTTGACACCAAAATTCATACAACAAGCGGAAATTCAAATGAAATAATTTTTTTCTCTCCATCGGTGGTGATGATCTCAGTAAAAATTGATCTGCTACTTTCCCTGCTTCATTAACATAATGCATAATACTAAATTGTTCAATAGAAAATGATACAGACTTGTTATCATTTGAATTACTATAATTGAACATTGAATTCAACAAATTGTGGTTAATTTGAATTTGTTTAAAACCAACTAGGGAGAAATGCGCGCATGGATTAAAACTACTTGGGATTAAGATGATTGAATTGTTGATTTTCATTGAAAATTGAACAGAGAGTGATGATAATAATAATAATAATTTATCAAGTCGGCTGGATATTTCATTTCCGCTATCACTATCAATATGCGCATTGCGTGAGGATTGAATTACTGTCTTGTTGAGCCGTAGATATGGTATAATACATTGAAACCATTGAATAATTTCAAGGACATCACTATGTGAATGAATATAAACAAGGTTGGAGAGGGTAATTTGAATTTGTGGCTGTTGAATCTCAACAGGCGGATAACTGTTGTGTTGAGTATACCATTGAACATTGATATGCATTAGATCAGAATGTTGTTCCGCGGTAGTAGAAAAGGAGACTGGTGAAAATATTGATCCAAATAAATATTGATCACTTTGAATTTGTGAATTGCATAAAGGATGGAGTTGAAAAGTTTTTAGTTTTACTGATAAAGAATTTAGTAAGCCTGAAATAAGAGAATACAAACAATAAAAAATTAATGTGATGTGATGTAATTGCACAATATACATTTCGAACAACAATCTGAGCCCTCACACATACATTTACTTGTCAAGTCAATTTATATGTGAAAAATAATGACCAATTAAAGTACACAAAGTGACAAAAAAAGATTTAAGAATAAGAATAGTTAGAATAATTAACACCACGTTTGGTTATGTAATCTGATAACGATTACCAAGGTAGCAGGTTAAGAGTAATAATAAATAGTTTTTGAGCACACAAGGTGGGCGGCGATGGTGGGGGGGCTTAAGTTGACGAATAGCTATCCACCTCAATGTATTTCAATAAGCGCCCTTAACCGTTCTTATAGATGATCTTAAAAATTGTTTTGATATCAATCTTGTGGTGGTTCATATCGATTAGATGTTTAGGTATAGACGAAGTTGGCAGTCTGCCACTTGTGGTCTATTGATTTTCCAAAGTTCATCTATTTTTCCAACGAATGTGGAATATGCTTTCCCACCCTCATATGCCAAGCACGACCACTCTTCCATATATATATATATATATATATATATATATATATATGCACACGTAAATTGGTATATAGTGTCGGATGTAACATAATCTTTCGAGCATTTTGAATTTTGCAGTGGAGTATATTGTTGGCTTTTACAATAATTATAAGCCGGACTGCATAAAAGGTTCTACATATGACAGGGTTTAGCCTCTGTCTCAAAATCCTACTATTTATTTCCCCATTGTATGTTAATTTGATGAAGACATCTTTCTAAGGGACAGAATAGATTATATGTTTTAAAACTAATTGACTACTAAATGGGTTTAAAATATTTTAGAGGATATCCGTTTTCATCAAGAGTATCAGTCAGTATTTTATTTTCATCGGACAGACAGCGGGTAATGACGAGACAGGCATAAAATAACCCTACACAAAAAACTTGGAGGATCTGGACTTCGCCGATAATATTAGTCTGATTTCCCACAAACTGGAAGATATGCAAGTGAAAATCAACAAGCTGGCAAAAGAAACATCCAGAGAAGATAGGACTTCAGGTGAACATAGAGAAAGCAGAGGTGATGAAGACTCCTGGCCAACAGCAACAGCAACTACAACAACAGACAACAATCAGCATAAACGGGAGAAATCTGAAAGAACGTCCTTCACCTACTCACCTACCTACCTGGGAAGCATCGTTTGAATTACAGGCGGATGGAACTCATGAGGACATCAAAGCGAGGATCGAGAAAGCAAGGCAAGCTTTCATTACTCTCAAGTCGGTGTGGACAACAACAGCATTCAACACTGAGTATGGAAAATAACATCCCTATCTCCAAATCCAATGTCAAGTCAGTCAGTGCCACCTACTATACGGATCAGAGACTTGACTTGGCACCGCGTCACGAAGGCCACTTTGAACAAACTACACACCTTCATCAACAGCTAGCTGTCTTCGCTCAATACTACTCAAGAATAGATGGCCAGCCAGAAAACATCAGCAGCAGGGAGGGATCTCTGGCAATGAATGAACCAACCAAGCAGGAACCAATTGTGCAACAAATATGCAGGAAGAAATGGAGGTGGATTGGATTGTGGCCATACTTTGAGGAAACAAACCATCATCAAGTGAGTGACAACACACTCCAGACCATCGCTCGAGTGGAACCGGAGTGGGAAGTGACGAGTTGGTTATCAGTGCGACGGTGGCCTGGAGGAGGATGTGAAATGAGAGCATGTGGGGAGACGTTGGCGGAGAACCGAACGCAATGGAGACGTACGGCTGACTCCCTATGTTCCTCAAGGAAATAAAGGAGACAATAATAATAATACAACTGTGGAAACGTACCAACTAGGAATCTGTCGTCCACTAAGTATGCATATAGAAGTCGAGATGACTTCAGCACACATGCTAAGGAGACTGTTAAGTGACAACAAATGCCAGGCAGGCCATCGCTCGAGTGGAACTCAAATAGGAAACAATGAGTTGAGTGTCACTGCAAGGGTGACATGGAGGAAATTGTGTCAAGAGGAGGAGACGAGAGAACATGAACAACCATAGGTCAAGCTGAAGAGGACAGGCAGAGAATAGGAAAAAGCGGAGGCGTTCTGTTGAAGCCCTACGTTTTACTCGGAACTCAAGAGAATAATAGTAGTAATAAGGTGTATATATACATACAGGATATGATATGAATATTCTATGTTCCTTATTCAGTCTCCTTTGATATTTTCATCATAGCTGATTATTTTAAGGATGGTAGGTCTCTGCGGTTTTAACACGCAATGTAAATGTGCCGCCACTTTGGCACTATATGCTCGAAACATCACTCTCCCACTTATTTTAACACCATATATCAAACGTGTGACCCAAGGGTTCAAAAACTGAACTCCTAGAAATTCCATATAAGTTTGTTTATTAGATGAATATATCACACAGTGAGTGAAACAGTATTATTATTCACTGGATGACACAGTTTCGAACACAATTTATTACTGTTTATAATCACTTCGTCATTTATAATCATATAACTTCAAAACTTGAGTTTTGTAGTTTTCTTTGTTCTCGCCTATTTGTCATCGTAGGGGCATCAGAATTTTCCAGATGTAATGATGATAATAATAACGACGACGACATGCATGTAAATATACACAAGACAACATCAACAATAAGGAATCTAAATCATCAGTAGTAATTCCATACAAGGAAGGAACCTCGTAAAACACCTTACAGAGAATTCTTAACAAGGTACGCAGGAATATAAGTGGCTGGTATTCAAACTCCCCACAAACTAAATTAGAAACAAGCCTTGTCGGTTTAAGGATCAATCCTGTGGAGCCTTTAAAACAAAACAATTTACTTTATCTAATACCCTGCCTGCAATGATTGTCAGGTCAAATACATAGGTCAAACTAGTAGAACAGGGGCAATCAGACTAGCCGAACATAAAAACCTAGCAGCAAAATCTAGATTAGTTGACCCGAATAAGATAAGAAATCTAGAGAATAGTTCAGCTATAGCACTCACTATATGCAATTACACACAACCATACAATAGGATGGGATGAGATGACAGTTTTAAAATCTAATATGACGGGGTGGAAGGAGAGATTGATAACGGAGGCTTTGTTTATAGAATCAACTGCAAATACATGTAATAGGAATGATTTAACACCTGTCCACCCAGATATCTAGAAAATTCTACTACCCCTACGACGACAAGTAGGAGAGGATAAAGAAAACTATAAAACTCAAGTTTCGAAGTCATGTGATTATAAATGACGATGTGATTATGAACAATAAATTTTGTTTGAAACTGTGTCATCCAGTAAATAGCAATACTGTTACACTCACTGTGTGATACATCTAATAAACAAACTAATATGAACTCCCAGAACAGTGAAAGTCACACTATAGTTCTAGAATGTGGAGAGTTAACTCAACATACTACTACTACTTAAAGCGGGCAAATATTTATCATCACAATTACTATCAATCACTAATCAATTTCACTGACCTGAAGTCTGTAATTCCAAACGAAGATTGGAAAATGTCATCTGAACAATTTCTTTAACTGATCCCGTCAATGAATTGTACTCATTACTGTTATTATTATTATTATTACTATCGACAGGATGATTAATCAATAATATGTCTAAATTAGCCAATGATATTTGCCAATTATAATCAATAAAAGGAGACAACGATGTATCATCCGCTTCTTCAGCAAAGGAGTCATACGGGAAATATTGATGACTGAATGAGGATTGTGATGATGACGATTCTTCATCCAACCGATGATGATGATGGCGATGATGATCAGATGAAGTCAATTGGTTCCTGGAATAATAATGATCCTTTAAAGATAAGTTGAGATCAGTGATAAATTCGTTGATAATTTTCATTGTAATTGGATTACCTAGAATGAGATATAATAATAGAATAAAAGATATACAGAAATTAATTCAACAAAGCATTATACTACTTAATTATTACTTACTAATATTCCATTTGAATCTGAGTGGAACAACATACAGGAGGGCTTCTGTAGACCATCTTCATTTCATCCTGTTCTCTGCAGACCTCTTTAGCTGCCTGAACAATTGTCTCTAGACCTTCATCTCCTCCTTCTCATCCTCCTCAGATGAAAATCCCTCGCCATTACCATCTTGGCGATGTCGCAGGGGTGGACAGCTGAAAACATGGCTTGGTACAGTCAAGGCTGATATGGAGTGCCTGGGGCTACAAACCGTCTACGGACTCCGTCTGTGGAAGAAGAATTGGATAACCCTGTCGCAAAACCTTGCATCAGATCGCCGCGCCTGGGCAGCGATGATTCGAGATGTTCATGAAGCCGGCTCATCCTCTCGTAGGAGATAGCCGAAGTAAAGTAAAGTAAGTAAGTCCTCAGATGATCTATTCCACGTCCCTCTCCCACCTTTATGGCTGTGAGACCTGGCCATTGAGAGTGAAAGGCATGAAAAGACTAGCTAGCTGTCTATGATCATAGGCGCCTGTGTTCTATCTCCCGTGTTAAGGGTTATAATAAGGGGAGAAATACTGAGGTAAGGCATCAGTCGAATGGTAGATAAGGAGGGGAAATCAATCGATGAGGCTGTGAAGCCACATCAACTGAGATGATTGGGACATGTGTTACGCATGCCTAGTCATCGGATTCCTCAACACGGGAAAATGTTAGTTGACATAGGGTCAGGCTGGAAAAGAGCTAGAGGCGGTCAAACGAAAACATGGCACCAGTCAATGAAATCTACAATAGTTAGTCTAAGCCACGTAGGAAGGTGTAGACATCCTGGTTGGGGTCCTCGGGACGGTAAAAACCAATGGTTGGAAACAATTGGTGACATGGCTCAAAATCGTTCTCAATGGCAGGCTCAGATGCATACACCCCTAGTGACTTATGATTTCCAATGAAACTGTTTTGTTCTTCGTTATTACTATACCTTTTGTCTCACACCTCTGTTTACTGTCTCTAATATGCATTTCTTCTACTTTCTTCTCTTGCTTTGTGTGCTACATGGAGTGTGGAGCGACTTGAACTGCTGCACATCTGTGCAAAGTTCCATGTCGAAAACAGACAGAACAGACAGACCCAGGGCCAACTCGTCGCTTCTTATTTCGGTTGGGTGCGTGGCGTCATTTAACGATCTCCTCAGTGTGTGTCCGATCCCTTGGTCACCATTTCTTTGGGGATATTATTTGGGCAATAAGTTGTTGGATGATTCCTTCCCAGAGTCCTTTGATGCTTGATCCTTTCCGACCATCTACTATTCAGTATGAAACGTAGGTAGTTGTTAATGAAATTCCACAGTAGCCTGTTGGAAATGCTTTTGGATGAGTCGCACTGCAAGTCTCTGAACCATAAAAGCAAGCACTGATTTGATATTGCGGTTGAAGATCCAACAACTGCGCATTTTGCTGAGTTCATCAGATTTCTAAACTGATTTCAGATTGAAGAAAGTCTGACTATTTAACTGGTGGATAGTGACTAGTAGTGGAATCCAGGGTGCGCATTTCGTCCTATTTTGGACTCGTTGGTGGCTGGATGTACCTGCATTTCTCAGTGAGTGATGATGTTCCCACCAAGGCCCGAACCCAGTGGCCATAGTTTCAAACGCCAAAGCGTTATCCACGGTGGGGGGGGGCTCCCCCTCCCGACTGTGATTTGGTTGACATTTTAGCCTTGACATCTTTCATAATTGGTCTGGCTCTGTAAAAAAGAGTTTTAGCTAATGCTCGTTTTTATAGCTAATTGAAGATAAAATAATGAATATCCCCTGATTATTGTTGTTCGTTGAGCATTAAAGATAATTCCTCTTCAGAAATCAATCACATTGAATTCCGCCAGTTAGTCACAGTATTATTGATATAAGTATAAAACTTGGGCACTGTGGTGGTAGAGTATAACTCCATTGTGGATAACATTTTGTATTTCGATAAATCACACAGTGTTTGTCATTCAGTAATATTTACTGATGACCACCTTTCAAGCACAAATTATTGTTGCTCATAAACATATCAAGGCCTTACTCACACAACTGTCTTGCTTCATTGGCATACATGAGTAAAAATTGATTAAACATAATAATCTCATTTACAAAATACCTTGCAATGACTGTGAGTTAAATCAACTGCATAGGTCAAACTAGTAGATCAGGAGTAGTGAGATTATCAGAACATAAGAATTTAGCTAAGGTTAGAATGATTGATCCCACCCGAGGAGATAAGTAATCTAGAAAACAGCTCAGCAATCGCATTGCATGCATTAACACACAACCATACAATAGGGTAAAACATATTTGAAATAGTAAAAAGTAATATAAGTAGCTGGATAGAGAGAGATTGATTACTGAATCCTGCCTGGTTCATCGAGTGGTCTACACCCAACACATGCAACAGAAGTGACTCAATGCAAATACCAGAGATATGCATGGAAGATATTATTACCACCAGTCAGTCAAATCAGAGGAGGATAAAAAATAATCTTAAAATTCTATTTCAATTCACGTACGTTATAACATTCTAACAAGTTATTTATTATTTTGACTATAAAAACACTCGTCTTATTTCCCATCTGATTGCATTTGGTTGATAACACTCATATTATTATTATTTCTAAATGTACATTATCCCATATTGATTTTTACTCAAATGTCTAATCACCATTTTTTACTCATTTATATAAATGAAGAAAAAAAGTTGCGAGTGTAACTTGATATGATTATGAACAGCAATAATTTGTGCTCAAAAGGTGGTCATCAGTAAAAATTACTGCACAACAAACACTGTGTGATTTATCGAGATAAAAATCTTAACCATAATAGAATTAGTCATGGCATCATATTTCTTTATGTGTATTATGTTTTGTTTAAATTTGTTCTACAATAACGTTTTGAAATGTGAAACTAATTGTCCTTAATATAATAATAATAATTATTATTATTATAAGTGCCTGTATTCTACTTCCCGTGTTAGGTGGTATAATAGGGTGAGTAATATTGAGGTGAGGCATCAGTCGAGTGCTAGGTAAGGAGGAAAAATCAATTGACGACGTCATGAAGTTACATCGATTCAGATGGTTAGGACATGTGTTATGCATACCACCGAGATATCGCCTACCTCGATGGATGGGCGATGTCAGCTGATTCATATAGTATGGATCAGGTTGGTCGAACCGCAACTTGGCTTCATCTGTCAATCAAATCCACAACAGTTAGTGTAAGCCAGCCACCTACCCACCCACACACGTAGGGGGGTGCTGATGTCGTCACTGACTGACAGGGTGGGGTTCTAGGGATGGTAAGAACCAATGAAGGCTGGAGACAATTAGTGATATGGCTCAAAATCCTCGTTGTCAATGGCTGGTGCAGATACATTTACTCTTTGTGATTTGCCAGCCATATCCAATCAAAGTACTCTATTGTTCTTTCACCATATTTACTATTCTTTATCCCCAACTCACACTTCTGTTTATTATCTGTCTCTCTTTTGATGAATCTCCATTTACTGTCTTCTCTTGCTTTGTGTGCTACATGGAAGGAGCGTAGCAACTCGAAGTGCTGCACATCTGTGCCATGTAGTTCTATGTTGAAACCAGTTAGTCGGTCAGTCATTGTATCCAATCATTCAATCTTTGTTTAAACCTGATCTTTCTGGGTAGAAGTTATATAAGTGTAATTTCTGAGCACTATTTATTACATTTGCAGTATCCTGTCATCAACTGACATCATGAAACACATTTGTATGTTAAAATTGCTGTGGACATAATCTAGTTTCGTAGACCCTAATATCACAAGAAATCTAGAAAATAAGTCAGCTATAGCACTCACTACATACAATTCTACACACAATCATACAACAGGATGGGACAAGATGACAGTCTTAAAATCTAATATAAAAGGATGGGGCATGGTGGGGTGGGGTGAGACTGTGATAACGGAAGCATTACTTATCGAATCAACTGAGAATGCGTACAATAGAAATGATTCAACGCTTTAAACACACATTGAGTCTTTATCTTCTGATATTTTCTTGGCTTAGTAAACCTGGGGGATGGTGTGTGTGTGTGTGTCAAGGAGAGAATAGTTATATTCAGTGTCCATACAGAGGGGATGCCGCCTACTCCGGCCATTTATCGGTATACCTCTTATGTTCAGTCGGATACACTTTCGTAACTACACAGTAAGAAACCTTTTATTATTATTTTTATTTCCTTACGTTCCAATTGGAACAACGGGGGCTTCAAGCTAGAGATTTCAGGTCTCAGTAGCAGTGGTGCTTCAATTTCCAGGAGGTGGGACTGCTGACCTCACACGTCAGCCCAGCTTTCCCTGTCTTTACCGGTCTTACTACCGGCTTCGTGAGGTTCAGGAGTGTGTGTGTGTGTGGATTGGCGGACGAGGATCGAACCCCGGAATATATGAGGCACGGTTGGTTGGCGCGAGTTCTGCCGCTGCAAAAACCGACAGACGCTAAGAAACCTCCAATATCATGCATTTATTCCCCTTGATGAATTTGAATAAAGCAAGAACAACAGTGGTGGTTTGTGCAGAATAAGAAGATGGGAACATCAATGCTTATTTCGTTGGCTTCTCATCAGTTCAACTGCTGCTTACAGTCTAAATAAATTATGAGGTTTGCGTACAGAAAAAATTTAACATACTTCCAAATTTTACATGTTGTCAGTTGACAAAAAGTTTCACGGTAAGTGAACAGTGCTCAGAAAATTGCGCTTATAGAGTTTCTACACAGGCAATTCAAGTTTAAACAAAATAGATTTATGGTAAGAGTTACGTAATAAAGACGAAATATGCGTTAGATACAGAGTGACTAATAAATTAGGTAACAATGTACTGAGTTCAACTCAAATAATAGAAACAATAGACAAGCGAGATTACACCATGTCAAAGGAGTGAGGTAATAGCGCTGCTTCTCGACACGGGTCATGAGGTAGAAATCGAGAAATCTTCTAAAATTATCAATAGACAAAGGGGTTCCATTCTCCTCAAGTTTGCCAAAGCAATCTCTATCAAACGCTTGAAACCAGATTTATGTGTTCAGAAAGAAGCAGTTATTAGCCTTTCCTTGCCCTGGTAGCTGAATGTCTTTATTCTCTCATCTGATTACGTAATCTTTGTCTTTAACCTCAGCCCCTTTTATAATCTGTAATTTTGCTTGTCTCTTGTTTCTATTATTTGAGTTGAACTCAGTACATTATTACATAATTTATTAGTCACTCTGCATCTTACGCATCTCTCGTCTTTCTATTACGTAACTCATTTACTCTTGTATGCATACATTTATTTTGTCTAAACTTGAACTGCCGGTGTAAAAACTACATAAGCGCAATTTTCTGAGCACTGTTCACTAATTGTGGAACTTTGTGCCAACTGACATCATCGAAAAGAAAAAAAATTGCAAGTGTGTTAAAACTTTTCTGTACATAAACTTCATAATTTATTTAGGCTGTAAGCAGCTGATGAGAAGCCTACGAAATAAATGATGGTAGCATATTATTCTGCACAAACCACTGTTGTTTTTGCTTTATTCAGAACCTCTAATAAAAGATGATTTATTATAACAGTATGTGTAAAGAAATTTCCACTAACCAGTAATCTTTAAATACCCCATGGATAATTCAATGAAATACGAACCAATTGAATCAACCGCCGTTGTTTTATTTGTTCGATATAATTTAGAAGAACCAGAAGAAGATGGACACCATGTTAAACATGCCATAAGAAATGTATCACTTTGTTCAATCTGTGAATTGAATGCTGAAATATTTAAAACAAAAAAAATAAAATTTAAAAAATTTAGAACAAAGTACAAACAAGAAATGACTGAAAATAAAACTTGATATATAAGATTGGGATTTCTGTCCATAACGTTCATAGACTTGGTTTGGTGAGTGAGTACCAGCCACAAACGCAGAAAGCATTTCCAACAATCTACCCCTCACACTTTCCATCCTTCAGTACTGAAGATCAGATGAGGGGCTGGTCAGGAAGAATAAGTGCTAGCGACAAGAAACTCTGACACTCAATGAACTTATCCGATTACATAATACCCAAGGAATATGCCAGAGGGAAATGCAGGTGGATGGGTTGGACAACACACGCCGAGGAGATCATTGGATGACAATGAGTGCCAGACAAGCCCTCTCTAGTGGGACAGAAATAGGAAACGATGAGAGCGTTGAGTGTGGGTCTAAGTGTGACATTCAGGAGATCATGAGAAAAAGAAACGAAACTTTCTAGGAAATTGTGTAATTAGTGTTAAAAAGAACTGCAGTGAACCGAGTGAAATGTCGATATGCTGCTAAAGCCTTATATTCCACTAGGAATGGAAGAGCATCTTAACAATATTAATAATAATAGTGGGGGGAGGGTGAAGAAAATACTTCGATGATGACAGACAACCAAATATTGTGCTAATTGAGTTTAATTCACCACTGCGTCGGTAGCACAGTGGTTAGGACTCCCGCCGACCATGCACATGGTCCGGGGTTCGATTACCTGCCGACGCACACCCGATATCTATGGTCGGCCTGTAAAATTTGGGCTACCGATATCCATGCTGAAAATTGCATACTTCTACCAAAAGTACTGTGTGGAATCAAGCTGTAAACGAAAATAAAAAAAATAAAATAAAAAAATACCAGGTTCTGGTTTGACCATAACTAACCCTTTTCCAGTCTGATTCCAGCAAGGAAGAGGATGGCTAGTTATGCGTAACACACATTGTAAGATGAATTCAATTCCCATCCTTGAATCAAGTCAACCTGTCCTGGATCAGCCTAGCGTCGTTGCAACCCAATTATCCATGCCCAGCGTGTCTATCTCACTTTGTTTAATGAGCTGTGTGTGTGTTTTTACTTTGATTTGTTTAGTCAGACCATTGAACTCATGACCCAATCAGAGTATTTTTGTGAACTGTTATTTTGCTGACCCATGTCTTACTTTGTGCTATTCTGTCGAGTTTATCTTATTTATTGATTGGTTAAGTAGCCAATTAAATTCTATCTTTGTGCCTATGCTCTGTCTACCTCTTAATTGGGTTCATTCTTCTACTGACTGCTTACCTGAACGGTCGTGTCTGATTCCGGCTAGTTCGAAATTTTGGCTTTAACGTTATTCCGCTCTGATAGCGGTGCCTTGCTTTCTGTTAAGCGTTAAGCTTTGTACTCTTGAAAACTCTAAGGTTTGTTGTATATATAATTATTGATTTGTTTATTAATAGTACCGTAGAAACAGTGAACGACTTCTTGTTTGTTCTGGACCGGGATAGCCTTTATCTACGCGTGGCTTAATTTCAAGCGATATTGCGCTTACACACATCCTACCCATGTTGACTGATGTGGCTTCGTAACATCATCGACTGACTTATCCTCCTTACCAAACACTCAGTTGACCGCTAACGTCAATATTGCTCAGCCTATTAGATAACCTGATACGGGACACAGAACGGAGATCAAACACAGCTAGCATTTGCATATCTTCCATCTTTAATGACCATGTCTCACAGCTAGAGGCTTGAAGTTTCTGCAGTAGTGGTGATTATTTTAACAGGATAAGGTTGCTAGTATCATGCCCAACCTTCCTTCTTTGCCTGTCTTATTACTGGCTTAACGAGGTAAAGGAGTGCGTCGGTGGCCGGGGACACCTGTGTGGTCGGCAAGCACTCTACCGCTGTGCCACCGACGCACTGGTGTTACGTAGTACATATGTCCTTTGATCGACAGAAAACAGGACACTTGATGGGTAATGGTGGCTAACAGCGGAATCCAGGATGCACGTTCTGTCGTGTTTACGACTTATCCGCTGTATTTATGACTGGTGCTTAGTTGGGGGTCTAGTATGCAGATACATAGAGCTGAAAAATCTCGAATACGACAAATCTCACATTCGCGATTCCACTGGTGGCGATCAACATAAGGTATCATCGAAGCAACCGTAATAGCAACTGGTATACTAAGACCGAGAAGTTCAGTCCAGTAGAATCAAAATGAGGTTTCAGGAGATAACACAGCAAGAAGCAGCAACCACAGGACACTAAGTGAACATAGAGAAGACGGAGGTGATAAAGATAACCAACAATAACAACAACAAAAACCTGTCTGTCTGGATTCAACATAGAACTTGGCACCAAAGTGCAGCAGTTCCACCTGCCACGTACCAAATAGCACACAAAGGTAGACAAGAAAATCAGTGAAGAGAATCAACAGAGTTTTGACAAGTACAAGAGTGAAACAGAATGAGTAATGGTAGAAAGGAATATGAAAGATTACAGAGACTGAATACACCTGCGTAAGCCATTGACAACGATTTTGAGCCATGTCACCTATTGTCTCCAGCCTTCATTGATTCTTAGAGTCCCGAGGGCGGGCCCTAACCCGGAAGTCTGCATCTCCCTCCCTACCTGACTCAGTTTAACTGTCAAGGATTTCATGGATTGATGAGGCCATGTTTTTGTTTGGCATGGCACCACTTACTCTTTTCCAACCCGTACCTATATCAGCTAGTAATGCCCGTCCGTCGGGGGAGGCGATGGCTAAGCATGCGCAGCACGTGACCTAGCTTAATGTAACTTTATAGCCTCGTTGATTGATTTTCCCTCTTTGCCCAACATTATACGCCTAACGTCGACATTACTTACATTACAAAAACCAGTCACCATCAACTGGAGAAATCGGAAAGAGGTCATTTCCTTCCTTCACTTATCTAGGCACCATCTTTTCAACCACAGGCAATAAGGATGGATAAGGATATCAAAGCTAGCCAGACAGAATCGGAATAGCAAAACAGACCCTTTTTAATCTGATGAATTCCGTTTGGAAATCTTCTGAGCTCAGAATAAAGAACAAAACTGGGATTTTCAGCACCGGCGTTAAGTCAGTTAGTCTGTCTGTCTGACGGTTTTCGACATAGAAATTTGCACCGATGTGCAGCAGTTCAAGCTGCTACACTCCCTCCATGTAGCACACAAAGCAAGAGAAGAAAGTTGGAGAAATGTATTATAGAGACAGTAAACAGAGATGTGAGTCAAAGGAATAGTAATAACGAAGAGCAAAACAGTTTAATTGGAAATCATAAGTCACAAGGAGTGGATGCATCTGCGCCAGTCATTGAGAACGATTTTGAGCCATATCACCAATTGCCTCCAGCCTTAATTGTTGTAAACCGTCACGACGACCCCAACCAGCTAGTTAAAAAGTCTACACCTTCCTACGCGGCTGGCTGGCTGGCTTAAACTAACTGTTGTGGATTTCATTGACTGGTGCCATGCTTTGGTTTGACCACCAATAGCTAGCTCTTCTCCAGCCTGATCCTATGTCAACTAGCATTGCCCATTGTCGAGGAAGGCGATGACTAGGCATACGTAACACATGTCCTCACCATCTCCGTCGATGTAATTTCACAGCTTCGTCGATTGATCTTCCCTCCTTACCTAGCACTCGACCAATGCCTAACCTCAATATTGCTCACCTTATTATACCACTTCACACTGGAGATGGAACGCAGACACCTATGATCGAACACAGCTAATCTTTTCATGTCTTCTGCTCTCAATGGCCAGGTCTCACAGCCATAAAGGAGGAAAGAGCGGAGTGATGAGCAGTACACACGCCCTTCTGTCGATAGTCGGATATCACGTCTACGCCAAAGACGGCGTAAACTGGCATATGCGAAACTAGCCCTCTGTATCCGTGCTTAGATTTCGTCAGAGATCAACCCGTTGGGGCTGACGGTACTTCCCAAATAAGTGAAGTGGTCAACGTGCTTTGATATGAGGCAGAAACTTGGGGTTCATCTGACAAGATTTCCAACAGCTTGCTACAAACCTTTATCACAACACTTGCCTCCGTTCGATACTCAAACATCAGATGGCTAGCCAGAAAGGAGAAACAACCAGGAACTCTGACAATGAACTAACCAACCAACTGAAAACTTATTACCCGGCAAGTATGCACAGGGAAATTGAGATGGATCAGACACATGATGAGGAAACTGCTGGAGAACATTGCACGCTAGCTAGACCATTGCCTGATTGGTATCAGAAAGAGAAACGATGAGTTGGACGTGAGTCCGCATTTGACCTGGAGGAGATCGTGCGTGGAGGAAATAAGAGTCTATGGACGATAATAGGACCGACTAAAGAGGATTGCCCGAAACACGATGAAATGGAACCAAATGGAATAAAAGTAATAATAATTAAACAATGAGAGAAAAACGTGTCGAGTTTTTACAGCACAAGTTTTCTGTACACTGTCGATATATCAAAATGAGAAAACAGTTCAGTATTGAGCTTGAGGTGATGAAGATTCCTGGGCAACACCACCAACAGCAACAACAACAACAACAACAGACAACAATCAGCATAAATGGAAGGAACCTGAAAGAAACAACCTTTTACCTATCTTGGAAGCATCGTTTCAACTACAGGCAGATGGAACTGACGAGGATATCAAAGCAAGAATCGAAAAAGCAAGGCAAGCTTTCACTACTCTCAAGTCTGTGTGGAGGTCAACAGCACTCAGCATCAAAAATAACATCCGGATTTTCAACTCCAATGTGAAGTCAGCCAGTGCTACTATACGGATCAGAGACTTGGCCAGCGCAACATAAAGAGCATCTCAAACAAACTACAGACCTTCATCAACAGCTAACTGTCTTCACTCAATACTCAAGATCAGATGGCCGGAAAGGAAAGATCAGCAACAGAGATCTCTGGCAATGAACGAACCAACCAGGATCCGATTGTGAAACTAATAGGAAGGAGGAAATGGAGATGGATTGGCCATACTCTGAGGAAACCATCAAGTGAGTGACATCACTAGACAAGCCATGACTCGAGTGGAACCCGAAAGGGAAGCGGCGAGTTGGTCGTCATTGCAAAGGTGACATGGAGGAGGTCATGTGAAAAGGAGATGAAAACGTGTGAGCAGACTTGGAGCCAGGTGAAAACGTTGGCAGAGAACCGAACTCAATGGAGACGCACGGCTGAAGCCCTAAGTTTCTCTGGGAATTAAAGTAAACAATAATAAATAATAATAATAATAATTGAGCTTGAGAGATGGGAATAAGTTGACAATGTGACTTCAGAGGAATAAACCTTTAAACCCACTAGAAACTTACGCTTAAATTCATCTAACGGGTTGATATGATCTGGTAAAGGAGATGAATACTTCTTCCACAGTGAAAATGGTAACCGTGAATTGAATACCACCGACGTTCGGCCGCCTCCATCATCATAGTTATGACTGGTGTCATTCTGATTATTATTTTCCGTGATCATTGAGTCGATTGCGTCAGTTCTAAGAAGACGTAAAGAAAGGTGATATAATTAATTCAGCTCAGTCACATTCTGAAAGGCAAAAAAGGAGGTCGCCCTGTAGCATATTCGCTACTGATTACGATTCTTCACCATATCTGACAACGTTTTGAGCCACCGGTTCGAATTATATGTCGTATCCTATACATGGAGGGGGTTCAGGGTATGCCGAAGAATGCTAACTTAACACAAATAGCCTTCAGTCCACAGTGACAAGTTATAAACTGACCACTACCTCTCCACTTTTCCTACCCAGTCCCAAAAATTAATGAACAGCGAGTGGTAAGGAAGTCTCTGAAATAATGACATTCGCTGTAGAAACAGATGTTCCAAGGTGACAACATTCACTAAAGGAAGACTGCCCCCATGATATCTAAATACACGCTACCGAACCTTAGAGTTACTTATACAATGACAATAAAATCGCATGCAAGTAGTTCTGTAACAACAGAAGACAAGGGCCAGGCATCAGATCGTTTATTACGGAAAATCAACACGTATTTATAGATTTTGATGTACATTATTGTAGGTTAATGTTAGTAGAAAATACAGTCTGTTGATTGGTTGTTTCTCACACAAAGTTAACCTTGCATCTCTTGTGGCTGTTTCAGTTCATCTGTATGTTAACCGCATCCGCCTGTCCATCTTGACCTTGTTTTCACATGACTAACATTGACCTCAATTACTGTCAACCAATTTGGCTAGCAACCATCTCTTACCACAGTTCTAAGGAGGCAGCGATGATCGAAGAGTCGCCAGACATTCTTAGCTCGGAGATACCAGGTTTCAAAAACATTTTGTAAGCCCAACCTCTAACAGATAGGCTGACGTCAAGACAGTGAGGAGTTCACAGTGTGAGTAAATACATCTGTGTCATTTAAGCACGATTCGGCACCATAGCACCAACAGTCTGTCTGTATAACCAGGCAGTCTGTGTCCCTCCTCCTGTCGACTATAACTCTGCCCTAACAGAATCCTACTATGACAGCTAACACTGTTCACAACCAAAACAGGTATGCTCAGTTACCGTTGAAACCATTTAACCAGAACATATTTCTCATGTACTACGCAATCCATGCACAACACTAACTGAGAGTGAGATAGGAAAGAAAGCGGAGTCGGGTTTGAATCCCGAATAAACGAGTTGAAAGTCATTTGATAATAAAAACACGAAAAACAACAAAAAGAGATGCAAAAAATTGAACTAACCTTTTCACTTTATCTGAATTCAATATCACATCATATAAACCGCCAACATTGCTTACAGCATCCACAATAGATATACTGCCTAATTTAAATTGTACGCTGTAATCAGCTTGACAATCACGATAAACAGACCAATTGAAAACAGCTCCGTCTAAACGACATTCGGCCAATGGACGATCTATAATATAATATAATATTGAGATAATAATGTAATAATAATATTAGTTTTATTCCGGACAGTGTTTATCTAATGGACAAATTGTTTGGAAAATTCCTCCGAGACGATCGATTTACGACATATCTGTCTGTCTGTCTGTTTTCGACATAGAACTTTGCACCGATGTGCAGTAGTTCAAGTCGCCACACCTCACTCAGCACACAAGTTAAACAAGAAAGTAAAAAGAAATGCAAAATATAGACAGTAAACAGAGATATGAGGCAAACAGAATAGTAAAATCAAAGAACAATATAATTTTATTGGTTGTTATAACTCACAAGGAGTGGATGCATCTTCGCCATCATCAAGAACGATGATTTTGAGCCATATCACAAATTGTCTCCAGCCTTCATTGGTGTTTACCGTCTCGAGGACCCCAATCAGGAAGTTTACACCTTCCTACGTGGCTGGCTGGCTTAAACTATCTGTTGTAGATTTCATTGACTGGTGCTATGTTTTGGTTTGACCACCGCTAGCTCTTTTCCAGCCTGACTCTATGTCAGCTAACATTGCCGACTGTCAAGGAAGGAGATGGCTAGGCATGCGTAACACATGTTCTATCCATCTCAGTCGATGTAGCTACACAGCCTCGTCGATTGATTTCCCCTTTTTATCTAACACTCAACGCTTAACCTCAATACTGCCTACTTTACCATACTATACTATAATATACTTATTTAGACATCAACTAACTTTCTAATTATCACACGTTTTTCCCCTAGACTGATTATTATTATTATTGTATCCTTTAATTCCTACAGGAACATAGGGCTTTAACCGCACTTCTCCATTGCATTCGGTTGTCTGCTAAAGTTTTCACCTGGCTCCATGTCTGCCCACACGTTTTCATCTCCTCTTCACATGACCTCCTCCAAGTCACCCTCACACTGACGACCAACTCGCCGCTTCCCTTTCCACTGGGCTCCACTCGACCAATGGCTTGTCTAGTGATGTCACTCACTTGATGGTTTCCTCAGAGTATGGCCAGCCAATCCATCTCCATTTATTCCTGCCTATTTGCTTCACAATTGATTCCTGGTTGATTCGCTCCCAGAGATCCCTGTTGCTGATCTTTTCTGGCCGGCCATCTGATCTTGAGTATTGAGCGACGACAACTGTTAATGAAGGTCTGTAGTTTGTTTGAGACGCTCTTTATGACACGCTGGCCAAGTCTTTGATCCGTATAGTAAGTAGGACTGAGTGACTTCACATTGGAGTTGAAAATCCGGATGTTATTTTTGATGCTGAGTGCTGTTGACCTCCACACAGACTTGAGAGTAGTGAAAGCTTGTCTTGCTTTCCCGATTGTTGCTTTCATATCCTCGTCAGTTCCATCCGCCTGTAGCTGAAACGATGCTTCCCAGGTAGGTAGGTGAAGGAGGTTGTTTATTTCTTGTTCCTCCCATTTATGCTGATCGTTGTCTGTTGTTGTTGTTCTTGCCCAGGAATCTTCATCACCTCTGTTTTCTCTATGTTCACCTGTGGAAAGTCCTATCTTTGATGCTTCTTCTGCTAACTTGTTGCTATTCGCTTGCATGTTTTCCAGTTTGTGGGAAATCAGACATATATCATCGGCGAAGTCCATATCCTCCAAGTCTTTTGTGTGTGTCCATTTTATGCCTGTTTCCTCACTGCCCACTGTTTGTCGCATTATCCAGTCTACTGCAATCAAGAAAATCATTGGCGATAGTAGGCAGCCAGCTTGTCTTACTCTTGTCCTGATTGTGTACCGGTAATTTGATATTTGCATATCACACGTCGATTTTTGACCTTTATTATTGATTACCTTTGTCCTGAATTGTTTCACCTTCAATTGTAATACTTCTCTTTATGGTTGCTTGTACATTGACAATGTGTTGTTTAACGATATAAAAATTGTTTGAGCTAGGAATCAAGGGGAATCTGACTCTAACTGACTGTCTGAAGCAGGAAGTCTTGGTGTATGATTCTTGTGGACAACAGAGCTTTTGATCTCACCTTGCGAGTCTTTTATTGATCTTATAGAAAACATCTTAAACCATTTCTCCATGAATGAATAGTAAAACTCAGAGAGAACACAACCATATCGACAACATAAAGAAGTGCAGCAGTTCCAAATGCAGCACTCCATGTAGCACACAAAGGTAGAGAAAAGATTTAAAAGGACAGTAATAAAGAGAAAGGTGAGGGACAGAGAATATCAACATGCAAAAACATTAGGGTTTAGAGGATACGAGGATATACTGAATACATCTGATGCATTGACGACAATTTTGAGTCACATCACAAACAGTCTCCGGCCACTGACACTTTTAGAATCCTGAGAACGTCAACCAGTGAGCCTACACCTCCCTCTGTGGCTCAAACTAACTGTTAGGGGATTTTATGAACTGTTGTCAGATTTTGGTTTGATCACCTCTAACCCTTTTCCAACCGTATTCTATGTCAGTAAACATTTCTCGTCCAGAAAGACAATGACTCAACACGCACAACATGTGACTTAGCCGTCTCATTCAACGACACTTTATAACCTTGATTAATTGGTTTTCTGCAATTAATAGTGTTCTTTGAGCTGGTTGGTTGAGTTGCGAAGCTTTCGTCGTCCTTCTGGACAACATCTTCAGCGCTATATTTAGCACAAAGTGAAATGATTTAAATTTCTTCATGAGTGATGTAATTGCGTCTCCTGGTGACTGTCTTTACATATGTATTGACCATTTTCTATTGACTTGGATTTTAAACTTTCTGGTCACATGATTTACTTTTTATTAGTTGGTATATTTCGTCTATATTAACGTGTTTGTTAATTGCATTTTCGCTTGAGTACCAGGCTTCTAGGAATTCTCTGGCACTTTTCGTGTTTCCTCTGTCTAAGATTTTGATATGATCCCAATCAAATTGATGACCATAATTGTCTGTATGCATTGATACTAAAGAATACATATCGTGTCTTTTCACGGCTGATTTATGTTCTTGGATTCTGATTCGAAGGGGACGCCCACTTTGGCCGATGTAATGCTTGTTGCAGTTCATACAATTTATTTTGTAAATGGTATTAATTTTATCCCCTTTTTCTGTTGGATCTTTTGGTTTACATAATATCGAATTAAGCGATTTTACTGGTTTGTGTGCTATATCTATATCTAACGGTTTCTACTTGTAATTAAACCGAAAATCTGGATACGTTACGTTGATGATACATTTGTAATAATTAAGAGAAGTGATTTAGAATATACTCATAAATTAATAAACAACATATTTGAAGACATCAAATTCACAAGAGAAGAAGAATTAGATAACAAAATCCCATTTTTAGATGTCTTAATCAGGAGAACCAACACAGGAGATTTAGAGACACAAGTTTATAGAAAATCAACGCACACAGATCAAATACTCAACTATATTAGCAATAATCCAGTTACTCACAAACGAAACTGTGTGCAGACATTGTTTATTTATTATTATTTATTTAAACGCATTAAAACTTGGTACAATATGGCACCAAGAAGGATGCGCCACACAATAATAATAAAACAACGTAGATGAAAAAAAAAAGGAAGGCAGGGAAAGAAAAAATATATATATAAGTAGAGAACGAATAATGAACTTCATCTGGAAGAAAAACACTCATTCTTAACAGGTTCAAACAGTGTTCGTTAACTATCATCGGGAATGGAAGAAAGAAGGAAATCGCAACACATTCGCCATTGATTACGATTCTTGGCCATATCCGATAACGTTTCGAGTCATCGACTTGAGCTATCTCTCAGACCCCAACCAGGGAGTCGTGACACACCAACCGATGCTAATCTAGCACAAATATCCTTCATCCCACGACGCCACGTCATGGGCTGACCACCTCTCCGCCTTTTCCAACCCGTCCCAGGGCTGGCTAGCGAACAGAGACCTGTACGGAAGCCTCTGGGGTGACATTCGCAGCAGACATTGTTTAGAAGAGTTCAGACACATTGTAGCACTCTAGAGTTGACAATTATGGTCATCAATTTGATTGGGATCATGTCAAAATCTTAGACAGAGGAAACACGAAAAGTGCCCGAGAATTCCTAGAAGCCTGGTACTCAAGCGAAAATGCAATCAACAAACACGTTAATATAGACGAAATATACCAACTAATAAAAAGTAAATCATGTGACCAGAAAGTTTAAAATCCAAGTCAATAGAAAATGGTCAATACATATGTAAAGACAGTCACCAGGAGACGCAATTACATCACTCATGAAGAAATTTAAATCATTTCACTTTGTGCTAAATATAGCGCTGAAGATGTTGTCCAGAAGGACGACGAAAGCTTCGCAACTAAACCAACCAGCTCAGAGAACACTATTAATTGCAAATCATCCACCTGAGCTACAAATCTTCTCTATTATTTCAATTTTTTTGCTCTCCTTAACACCCTACAATTAAGCTTAATATTACAATCTATCATCATAGGACTCTCCGTTCCATCTCCCGTGTTATGTGGTAGTATAATAGGGCGAGTAATATTTAGGACTAGGACACGTGTTATGCATACACCATCGAGCAATCGCCTTCTTAGACAGGCAATGTTAGATGACACAGGATCAGGCTGGAAAAGGGTTAAAAGCAGCCAAACCACAACCTGCCATCACCCGGTTCATGAAATCTCTGATAGTTAGTGTTAGCCACGTGAGAGGGTACAGACTTGCTGATTGTGGTCGTCAGGAATCCAAGAATCAATGGCTGCAGACTATTGGCTGATATATCTCAAAATTGTCGTTGTCAATGGCTGGTGCAGATGCATTCACTCTTTGTAATCACCTCCTGTATATCCACTAAACCCTTATATTTTTCCATGTCACTATATGCCTTCTCCCTAACATTTCTGCTTATTACAGTACGTTCGAATCTTTTTTTCTTCTGTCCTTTGTCTTTCTTTTTGTGATACGTGCAGCGTTCTATGCTGAATCCAGTCAGACAGTAATAATGTAACGACGGAAGACAAGGCCCGCCAGGCAACAGATCGTTTATTGACAAAAAAATCAAGAGATTTTTATACACATTATTGTCAGCGGAGAAACAACGTGTTCTGACTGGTTTTTTTCCTTGCCAAAGGTTATTCTGTACTGCTCATGACAGTTTCTCAGAAAGTTAAGCTATATATCTGCGAATCCCTATTTGCACATATGAAGTCTGCTGTGATTGGTTGATTCCATGGTAACATCATCTCCTGGACAGTGGGTATCACACCTCAGTATTATTATTTTTATTATTATCATCATCATCATTACAGCTAATTGTACTTAAATTTTTATATTTTTGATTACAGCTTGATTCCACACCGTATTTCTCTCTTATTTTTTATTTTATAGTGAACTCCTTCTTAAAACATACTTAGCTACCTATATTATTAACATTGGTTTCCTTTTTTGTACTTTATTCCTTATTTTGTGTATCTACTGGTTCCCACTATATTAGCACTATGAGTAGTACAAAATTGTCCTGTCATTAACCATCATGTAGTTATTAGTTTTGTGATGGTTTTTTCTTATTTTTTATTTTTTTGTCGGCAATATTAACTGACAATCATTGGTTGTGAACGCCATTGTCACCACCTTAAAAAAATTTTGTATTATTCAGGATTACTCACACTACCACTACAAACACTGCATTAGACCTGACAATAAAAAACAAAACAACACTGAAATGTTATTTTATGATTGTTTAGAGTTGTTTCAACCAAATTAGTTGATCATCTTGGCGATAAAAACATTCTTAAATATCGTTTCATAACTTCTTGTATGACTATAGCTTTACCGTCACCATGCATAAACATATCATAGCTTTCACTACCCACTACTGAGATATTATCTATTATGTTGTTTATTTTCCTTTCTACTTCTTGATATTTTTTCACATTTTTTTTCATTATTTTGTGTTTTTCCTGTCTTTTTTTTGCTGTTGGTGTCTTTGTATTTATTTTTTTTGAAATACTCCTTTTAAATGTTTGATAAAATTAGATGCAAATATCGTAGATATGTGCTGAAAATTCCACACTGTACCACTAGTACCGTTTCTGGAATAAAGCAAATTATTATTATTATTTTTTTGGTACAGGTATGGAATTTTCAGCATGTGATATCGGTAGCCTAATTTCTGCAGGCCGACCATAGATATCAGGTGTGTGTCAGAAGGGGATCGAGCCCGGACCATGTGCATGATCGGAGAGAGTAATAACCACTGTGCCACCGACGCACAAATACAACACTCAGTCAAACACACAAAGTTGTTACTTCAGGTGAACATAGAGAAGACAGAGGTGATGAAGATTCCCGGGCAAAACCACCAACAGCAACAACGACAACAGACAACAATCACCATGAATGGGAGGAACCTGAAAGAAACAACCTCCTTTACCTACCTACCTGAGAAGCATCGTTTCAACTACAGGCTAGTGGAACTGACAAGGATATCAAAGCAAGACAAGCTTTCACTACTCTCAAGTCTGTGTGAAGGTCAACAGCACTCAGCATCAAAAATAAGATCCGGATTTTCAACTCCAATATGAAGTCAGTCAGTGCTACTATACGGATCAGAGACTTGGCGCATCATAAAGAGCGTCTCAAACAAACTACAGACCTTCATTAACAGCTAGCTGTCTTCGCTCAATACTCAAGATCAGATGGCCGGTCAGAAAAGATCAGCGACAGAGATCTCTGCCAATGAGCGAACCAACCAGGAACCGATTGTGAAACAAATAGGCAGGAATAAATGGAGATGGATTGGCTGGCCATACTCTGAGGAAACCATCAAGTGAGTGACATCACTAGACAAGCCATTGGTCGAGTGGAGCCCAGTGGAAAGGGAAGCGGCGAGTTGGTCGTCAGTGTGAGGGTGACTTGGAGGAGGTCATGTGAAGAGGAGATGAAAACGTGTGGGCAGACATGGAGCCAGGTGAAGACTCTAGCAGAGAACCGAACGCAATGGAGACGTTCGGCTAAAGCCCTATGTTTCTCTAGGAATTAAAGGAAATAATAATAATACTAAATATCCCATCCATTAAGGATAGAAGAGATCAATTTTCCACAAATGAAAAAAACAATACACAGGTCTAACCAACCTTTCGATTCAAATTGTATAATAAATGATTGAATAGAATATGTGGCTATAATTTGTATTCTCTGACTATTTGATGATATTATTGATTTGATTGAGTACTTTTCAACATGCTGATGATTGATGAGATGATTTGAAGATCGACATGACTTTGTTGTAGTAGTAGTAGTAGCCTGTTGAGAATTATCATGGATGGATTTATATATAGATGGTGTGCTTGTCGTGAAATTCATTTGATGAATATTTGAACAGCTCTGACTATGCTGCTGACTAGGATGACTTTGATCCCATTGACGTTGACATGCTTCTAGACATGAAAAGAAATCGGATATCTTTGTATTCGATAGTTGAATAACACATGACGGTTGACTTAAACTAATCCACAGGTAAGGAAGATGCGCTGTTGAAGTGGAATAAGAAGAAGAAGAGCTAGGCAGTTTTGAAATATGCTGTAGCGTGGGAACACGTCGACTGATTAGTAAGCGTAAATCGAATGGATTAATAAGGCATAAACGTGATACAAGCGCAGATTTACTCATACGTAGAACTGAATGACTGGCGTCTGATGAAGTTAAGGAGGTTGGGTGAAGAGGAGGCTTCTCTTTCTCATCTAAAAATATAACGAAAGAAGAGGAAACATTTATGCTTGTCAAGGCATGCAAAATTAACTATACAATAAATAATTAGTCAGGCTTTCAGAATAATCAATATGTAAAGAGAGTCATAGTTACTCCGGATTGCAGAAGCCATTGCTATCATCAAAAGACTCACTACCCTGGTAACCATAGCTGCTTTGTGTTCGTGTGCTTTTGTGTTTTTTATTCTGTTGCATAATGTTCCATTTAATCTTGATTTTGAACTTCACTCACTGAGTTGAACTTATCACTATAAAGGTTATAAATTTACTGAATTTAAATTATTTTTTAAATCATGCAAAATTCTCATTGTAACATATAGAAAATCAAAACAAGTGGTGATTCAGCGAAGAGACTCTTTTCAACGAATTTATCATCAAGCTGTACAATCGTATATATATGGTTTTTAAGAAGTTATATCCGGTGAGGGAATTGAAACATAGGTGTGAATGCATAAAATAATAATAACAAGAATATACATTCAAATCCTATAAAACGTGATTTGTCACCCGCACCCAAGAAAATACTGTACATGAGCTTGGAATTCAAAAGGGACTTAGCTTCCGATACCATGAAAAGAAGGATATCACAGTCCCTGAAAAGAACATTCCCTGCTGCATCCCTGAGAATAGCCTTTACCAGTCGACCATTATTGTTCAATAACCTGAAGGACAAGATCCCGCTGTTGACCAACTCCATGTGCGTTTATCAATTCACCTGCTCGTGTGGAGCTAGGTATATCGGTCGTTCGACTCGAGTTTTATCCAAGACGGTGCAAGAACACTATCCTGCATGGTTACGAAAAGGTGGAAGTGGAGCAATAAGAAGCGCGATCATTGAACATCTGGTCGATAATGATCACCCTATCTCTATAGCCTCCACCTTTAAAGTCATCTACAAGGCAAAAAGTAATTTACCGAAATCACTACGTACCTGACTCATCTGTATTGCTGAAGCTTTGGCTATCGAAACAGAAAAGCCAGATCTCTGTGTACAGAAAAAGTTCGTGCAACCCCTCCAACTTTCATGGTCTTAACCTCTCTATGCTAAAGTATGGTAATCCCCAATCATATTTTGGCTCTACCAATTTTTTTTCATTTTGTCTATTCAATTTGTATACTCTTCCTTTATTACATGTCAATTGTTACTATTACTATTCTCACTTTGAACTGTCCCCGGTATTATTTCACTTGTTCCACTTGTCATTCTAAATCAATTCTTTTTTACAACGTTAAATTCTATGTTATCAAATTTCACACAATATTATGTAACGTTTTTATTTTATTCGATTTGTCTACTAATCCTATAATTGCACACCCTTTCCAAGTTCTATACATCCTATGAATTATTCTATGTATGACAATAATTTGTTTTGCCACTTGACATTTAACTACGATTATAATCACAAACATTTTAGTTTTAATTGCATTTCTTACTACTATTATTATTATTTTATGCATTCACACTTATGATTCAATTCCCTCACCGGATATAACTCCTTAAAAACCATATATATACGATTACACAGCTTGATGATAAATTCGTTGAAAAGAGTCTCTTCGTTAAATTATTTTGCCTATTTTATAATTTTACTTCCCTATTCATTGTGCACTCTCCTGAACTCTCAACCATAATATGTATAAATTAATTCTGTTGTTCTGTCTTGTGTTTTGTCTTCTAGTCCATCCTTGTTTCCAAGACAAATCTGAATACACCCCCCCCCCACTTGTCTAATTATTAACTCTAAATAATTGTCTACTTACATCATCTTTGAATTTATGTTGCCTATACTTTTTATCTATAACTTGAAATAATTGCATAACACATAATTTATTTATTTAGGATGTGGGCAGCTGAAGAGGATCCACGAAATACAACGAACTAGTATTATGTTCGTTCTTTCTTTATTCAAACTAATAAAGACAACCAGCTGTATGAAATTTTAAAAAATAATACATATGGACTATTTGGCTTATTCGAGTCACTGCCTTTCTCAACGAGCCATGTTAGCTAATATACGATTAGGTTGGAAAAGAATTAGGAGAGGTCAAACCAAAACCTGTCATCAGTCAGTTCATAAAGTCTTCGACTGTTGGTTCGAGTCAGCTCCTCTGGTTACTAGTGTAACGACAGAAGACAAGGAACAGGCAACAGATCGTTTATTGGGATAATCAACAGATATTTATAGATTTTTATGTACATTATTATTCGTTATTGTTAGCAGAGAAGCAACGTCTTCTGATTGGTTGTTTCTCACTGAAAGTTAATCTTTCATCTCTTTGTGGCCGTTTCTTAAACAGTCTGTTGATATATATCTGCTAATCGTATCCGCCCACGCTAAGTCTGCCGTGATTGGTTGTTGAGTTCGTCAAGGTTAGGCTTTGTTATTGTTATTTTCTGATGACCAATAATATTGGGGACGTAAACATTGACGTCAACTGTTGTCTACCAATTTTGGCTAGCAAACAGCTCTCACTACCCTAGGAATCAATCAGTAGGTGAAGAATATTGTGAATACGGCTCAAAATCGTTCACAAAATGGATCAAATGCATCCACAAATTTTGTAATCTCACTTATATTTTTCCATGTCAGTATTCTTTCTCTCATACATTTCTGTACATTTATAATTCTCTCCAATCTCTTTTTTTTTTCATTGGCCTCATTGTGGTGGTATACGAGCTTTATCTAGCGACCTGAAGGTCCTGAGTTCACTCCCGGGCAGGGTTGCAGGTGCACACTGACGACGATTTCCAGACTAAGATGAAACAACTATCCAGCACTCCCTACCTACGATGTTGTTGTCTGGAGTTTCTAGCGAGAAGTCGTGATCAGTGTTAGAGTCCACCAGGTCCAATATGAGGTCAAGTACTCGCCACGGATGACATTGGCCGGTGCCAGTCGTTCTAAAATCTCGAATTCTTACAAGTTTGCATTCATCGGCTGGCCAGTGAATAGAGTCGCAGTGGCTGAGTGGTCTACTAGCTGAGCTTATATAACCGGAAGGTCCTCAGTTCCGACTCTGGGTTGGGTTCGTGCCTCTGATGAGTCCCAAACTAGGATGAAACACCTGGCTATCCACTACTCCCCTAGCTGGTTTCCAATGGTTCTCTATCTAACTGATGTCAATGCCTGATCGAACTTGCAGAAAAACTTTTACAAACAAACTCTTAATAATAATAATATAACACACACAGAATTCGATAAATTAAAAAAAACAGAGAACAACTTCTTACCTTGCAATTCTGTTGATATTTGTGCAGAATTAAACTGACTCCATAAACCAAGTGTCTCTAGCATATGGAAACTGCCAACCAGCACACGAATATTATCAATATTTATCATATATGAGGTATAAGCGTTATCAGCTGGTAAAGATTTTTCCGCTTCATTCCCTTTGCCATGATTTCCTATGGGAGGTTCATTTTGTCTAGCAAAATAAAAAAACAGAAATATTTAAAAGAGAAGATGAGATTATTATTATTACTATTATTCTTTTGAGTTCCATGTGGAACATACGACTTCAACAGAACACGTCCATGTTACTCTGAGCTGGCCCCATGATTGGCGGAGGTTTTATTTCCTTCTCCTCCGCCTCACACGATGCCCTCCATGTTACCCTCTAACTCTAGCGCCCGACACCACTCAACGACCTCCAATCCATCTCCATCTCTTTCAAGATGTAACTACGAGGCCATAGATTCTTAGTTAGTTTATTCCCAGAGTTTCTTGTTGCTAATTCCTTCTGGTCTGCCAGTCGGCCATTTGATCTTCAGTAGGGAGCCAGATAAGAGGGCAGCTGTTGATACAAGTATGCAGTAGACGCTTACGCAAAGTTTCTGACCCATATAGAAGAACTAACTGACTGACTTAAAATTGGTGTTGAAAATCTGGATTTTGTTGTTTACGCCAACTTCAGCGGATTTTCACACCGATTTCAAAGTGATAATGATCTTCCTTGCCTTTCCGATTCCGATTTTGACAGTCTGATCCGTTCTGAGTGTCTGGAGTTGAAACGATGGCGCCTAGATAAGTGAAGGAAGTGATCCCTTTCAGATTTCTCCCATTGAAAGTGATTGGTCATCTTTATTACCACTGTCTTCTCAATGTCCAATGGAAGTCCTATCTTTGCTATCTACTTCTTCTGCTAACTTCTTGGTTTTCGCCTGTAATTATTCGAATTTATATGGCATTGGACGTAAATCGTGTTACCAGGCGATACAAGCGATGAACACATTAATATTGGAATCTATAGGAACAACAAGTCACAGTGAATATCACTCCTGGAAAAGATACATATTTTTCATCGATAGAGAAATCCTAAAGTTTGTTTTAGACACATTGAAGTTACCGCTGAATACATAATTTCCAGAATAATAATAGTATTATTATTGTTTCTTTTAGTTCCTAGAGGAGCATAAGACTTCGTCGCACATCTCCATTGCGTTCGGTTCTTCGCCAACGTTTTCATCACCTAGCTCCACGTCCGCACACATGCTTTCATCTCCTTTTGAATGAAAATGAAAACTTGCCTTGCTTTCCCGATCCTCGCTGCTTTGATATCCTAATCAGAGAACAGAACAATGCTGGGAAGAATCACATACAACAATTCGTAGGTTGTTCACCTTCCTCATAGATGTACTAATTGGATGCAAGACTAATCGAATGACTTAGCGACTGTTATTATACGGGACAGTCTTATTGACTTACATTATATGGAAATGATAGATGTGTGTTTCCAGGTGGAGACGCTGATAAGATGCATACCGCTTCTGAACACCTTAGGAAGAAACCTTATTACATTTGGCATACGCGCCTCATTCTTGTTACATGCAAGATCTTGCTTGCTACACGACTGGTCTGCATTTGCCAACTTTCGCCATCTCTCGTGTAGACGTGATATCCAGCTGGCTATAGTTCAAAAGACGTGTGTACTACCCAGCTGCCCGCTCTGTCCTTCTTTAAGGCTGAAATATGGTTGTTAAATTCAAAGAGGCTAGGCGTCTCTGACCATACATATTTGTGTTTTATCTTTCGTCCTAAGTGGTATAATATGGTGAGTAGTAGGCAAAGAGGGAGAGGGCGTTGATGAAGTTGTCAAGCTATATAACTAAGAGGGATGAGATATGTGCCACGCATGCTAATCTATCGCTTCAGTGGTCGACCAACTTTAGATGATTCATGGTTAGTTTGGAAAAGGGTGAGAAGCAGCTAAACCAGAGTCTAGGATCAGTTCATAAAGTCTTTCTTTAACTGTCGGTCTTAGTCACCTAAGGAGGTGTAGAAGGCGTGCGTGAGAACCTTGAGACCCTAGGAATTAATGAATAGAGAATGTTAGTGACATGGTAGCACAAATGCACTTTTATGCAGAAAGTTTTCGGGTTAAAACCTCGGAAATGCATCCAGATGCATATCAAGTGATCACGCAAACTGGCTGATCCAAACAGTAGTAAGCAGATGAAAGGAGAAAGGGGTGTTCTGCCTAAATCAGAGAACCAGCACTTTTTCACCAAGTAGCGGCTTGAACCCAAAGGAAAAACAAACCCGCCGTCAGAGATTTAGATCCCTTAAAAATGAATCTATTGCTCACTAATAACTAACTACAGGTCAAAGTTGCTTAAAGTTTCCTAATGAGAAGTCATGATCAATGACCCCATTCTATTAAGTTGGGTGTGAGAACAAATACTCGTCAATAAGACTGATTGACAGTGATGCTATATATGGACCATTAAGATTCTGTCTCTCTGGCTAAATAGCCTCCAACCTCTCCTTGTAGCCTGGAGGATCTAGATCCGATCCCTGAAGATGGAGTCACGAAGGAGTACTACTGAAGAGTCCCACAATCGGATAAAACAGCTACCTAATACTCCCTGCTGATTTTCAATGATTCTCTAACTGTAGTCAGTTCATGATTAAACTTGAAACCAATCAAATCCCTTCAAACGGACACACTTGAAAAAAAGAAGAGCCAACATACATATACATTAATATAAACCATTCCACATAAAAAGTGCACACTTTAATTGACGAAAGACACCCTTAGCTCACCTTTGAGATGACTGCTCAACCTTATCAACATCACCACTACCATCTTCAATATTATTATTATTGTTGTTGTTCTCATTGTCGTCATTGTCAGATAATTCCCCTGGTGTACTGCACGGGGTTTTATATTCATCAGCGTCGTCATAGTCATCGTCATCATCATCACCACCGGCAGCGGTAGCAGCATCCAATGATTCCGCAGCTAAAAACTTTTCATTCTCCAATTTATTCAAGTTGTCCAATACACCACTACGTTGTTGCATAGAATTCATTTCTCCCTGAAATATACACATATGGAGGTAGCATAAAGAAATCAATAATATTAAAATAAAGGCTTTCTGTGTAGGAAACGGACCTCCAAGAAGCTTAGAGCTTTGAAGTTCTAGTTAACTAGTTGCGAACTTACCATTCATGTTAGTAAACTTGTGGTGAGAGCTGTCTGCTAACCGAAATTGGTAGACAGCAATTTACGTCAATGTGTACGTCCCAAATAGGGGTTATGGGATAAAAACAAGAACAAAGACTAACTCAACAAACAATCCCACCAGACTTTGCGTGGGCGGATACGACTAGCAGATATATGGTCTGACCTTCAAATAAGCGGCCACAAAGAGATGACAGAATAACTTCCAGTCAGGAAAACAACCAATCAGAACACTCTGTTTCTCTGTTAATAATAACGAATAATAATGTACATAAAAATCTATAAATATCTGTTGATTTCCTCAATAAACGGTCTGTTGCCTGGCCTTTGTCTTCTGTTGTTACATTTGATGTCGCTGTCTGCTGATAAATGGAAAACCTATGCCCTGCAGTTTTTGATGGAGACATATGGACCTTCAGGCAGGAATTCAAGACTGTTGCGCAGTTGAGTTACGTTCAAGATCCGTCAGCGATGAGGCTGTTACTTGGAACGCTGCTGGTAGGTCGGGCGAAGGCAGCATATGAAAGTGTGAGGCGAAACACCGACGGGTCACGTAGATACGATTACAAATGCAAACAAAGAGAAACAGGTGAACGTCAACGACCGCCGGAATTCCAGACAGCAATAATGTACATAAAAATCTATAAATATCTCTTGATTTTCTCAATAAACGATCTGTTGCCTGGCTCTTGTCTTCTGTCGTTACAAACTAAGCGAGGTATAAGGGTTGCGTCGGTCTCGAGTCGAACACGGACCACCTGAGTGTGACTGGAAAGCACTCACGTCACCATTGTATTGAGCCACCGAAATTGTCATTAAAATCTACTAATTAACTAATTCAGTAGTATATTAGTAGTGTTTTTGAACTTAGTTACTCAGAACAGCTTTCCTATACAGTATACCACACCGTAAGTTAAACCTGTTATCCTATGAGGGCTAATCACACTACCCAGTCAGTTGCTCAAGCTGAAGTAGGTAGAGTGGGGATCCGAACTGGGTGTGTATCAACCAATCCCTAGAATATTGAGGATCTACAACAGCACCCAGTGTGTTGTTCAAACCGATACGTCTATGACTTCTGACCAACAACTACAACTTTTTCTAAAACTCAAATCGTACTTCAGGTATTAACAGTCATCAAGCGTACGTCGTCAGTGAATCGCAGCATGCATAAAATGCATACCCGGACTTCACAATCTCGTTCACCGATCGATTTTACCAATTTAACTAACACACATCAATAATTTATTTTTAACTCGATATTGATTTTCCCGTTTATTGATTGGGCCGGAACATCCAGCCTCAGTTGACATGTCGGATCCTAGTTTAGTGGCAACGTTTCGACGATATGTATGAGAGAATGAAACTGAAGTATTGTGGTGAATGTTGACTGGCAGTGGAATCCAGGATGTGCATTTCAGCTTCCTATTCGGTACTCTCTAGTCAATGAGTGATGACGTTTCCACGAAGAAGTGAACCCAATAACTATCGTTTCAAACGCCAAAGCGTTATCTACTCTTGTGGCCCATATTGTTTAGTGGATGTTTGAAACGATGGGTACTGGGGTTCGAGCCTCAGTAGAATCACCATCACTGACCCACTCACTAGGGCATGCAGGTACATCCGGTTGACAACTCCCGAAGAGGACGAAATGTGCATGCTGGATTCTATAGCTAGTCACCATTGACCAAGTTAACACACATTATTTTTAACTTCATCATTACTAACCATTTTATACAAAAACCGATTATTTCAAGGAATTTCATGAAGACGCCTAGGGTTAACAGCACTCTTTAGTCTCCACATATATCCTACCTTCAGTTGCTATTCCTTAATAGTTATAAAGTAAGGGCTGGAACGTACTACTCCGTAGGCAGTACACTTTTTCTAATTCTAAAAACTTTAATTTCACCGAAAAATCGATATCATCAATAGTCTTAACTAAAGAAATCGAACAAGTGCATAGCATAAACTAGTATCTCAAAGCAAAGTATTACGAAATCATAATCAATACTGTTTGTTTTAAACTTTATACTTAGTCACTATTACTAATAGTACACTATTGATCGTGCTGTGAAACCGATCAATAAATAACTGATTTTGATCATTATTATTTCATTTTTAAAATCGATAGCAAAAACAACAATGACTGGATTATATTAGAACAAAGTTAGCTAATCATATGACCTAAAGCCTCGACACTTCATCCCTAATTCTGACGCCATTTCTGGCGTAGATGTGATACCCGGCTGGTTATCGATCAAAGGGTGTGACCACTGCCCAGCAGTTGGCTCCATCCTCCTTTATCGCTGTGAGTGTGAGACACCGCCATTAAAAGAAGAAGACATGAAAAGACCGTATTTGATCGCAGGTATTTACGTTCTGTCTCTGGCGTTAGGTGATATAATAGGGTGAGTAATATTTAGGTTAGGCGTCAAGTGCTAGGTGGGAAGGGGGAAAACAATCAACGAGGTTGTGCAGCCACTATATCGACTGAGATGGTTAAGATATGCGTTTCGCATTACGATCCTAGCCATCCCCTTATTCGACGGGCAGTGTTACATGACTGACTTAGGATCCATCGGGTTAGAAAAGAGCTAGCACATGGTGGTGGTGAAACCGAAACATGACTTCATCAGACAATCAAATCCATAAGTTAGTGTAAGCCAGATGTCCACCCACCCACGTAGAGAGGCCAACCAGTCATATGGGGAGGTGTAGACCTCCTCCTCACTGACTGACTGATTGGGGTCCTCGGAATGGCAAGAACCAATAAGGGTTGGAGACAATTAGTGATTTTGGAATCCAAAGTCAAACAAATCCGTAGACCTACAGACGAGAAACCAACAAGTTGGCAGAAGAAGCAAACAGCGAAGACACGATTTCAAGTGAACATATAGAAGACGAAGATGATGATAAAGATGCCTAACGAACAACAACAACAGGCATCAACCACAGACAGCGAAGGAAATTTGAGGGAAATCTTCACTTTCAGGAGGAACGGCTGGAAATGTTAAAACCAGGACCGGAAAGGCAAGTCAGACATTCATCATTGTCAAATCAGTATGGAAACCTTCTGCGCACCACAGCATTAAGAACAAAATTGCGATTTTCAACATCAGTGTTAAGTCAGTCGGTCAATTCTTCTATATGGGTCGGGAACTTTGTCTAAGTTTCACGAAAAGCATTTCAAACAGGTTATTGCAGACTTCCATCAACAGCTGCCTTCGTTCACTGAATATCAGATGGCTAAAGAGAATGAACAACAAGAAACTCTAGGAAGGAACCAATCAAGCATCTACCGACCAACAAATGTAATATCAGTTAGAGAACCATTGAAAATCAGCAGGGAGTACTGGACAGCTGTTTTATCAGCCTAGTTTGGGAGTCATCATTAGTACGCAACCACAGGGATTCCAACCCAGGACCTTCCAGTTACAAGACGAGCGAGCGCGTATACCATTCAGCCATTGGGACTCGATTCAATGGCCAGCCCATGAATTCTAACTTTTACCAATTCGTGATTTAGCGCGACCACCAACCAACCAAAATCATCGGTGGGAAATCCATCCTCACACTTGACTGGTTGCACCTCACTGGTCATTGAATCAGGTTCCAGTGGATGAATGGTATACGAGCTTGCCTCGTAACCAGAACGTCCTGGATTCGAACCCCAATGGGTGCATACTGCCAATGATTCCCGAACTAGGACGGAGGAAACAGCTGTCCAGTACTTCAGTGCTGGTTTCCAATAGTTCTCTAACTGATATCAATACGTGATCAAACTCGTAAAAACAAATTTAATCCTTACAAACCAACTCGTGAAAATGTAATATCGAAGGAAATGGAGATAGAACGGACATACGTTGAATGACATCAGCCACTAACCAAGCCCTAGAGTGGAACCCAAATTAGGAAACAACGAGTTGGACGTGAACCCGACAGCAACATGTAGGAGGTCGAGGAGCCAACTAAATAGGACTTCAGAGAACGGCGTAAAAGATGAAGACGTGGTGCCAGAGTCCAAGTTATGTTCCACTGGGAACCCAGAGGAATAATAATACTACTAATAATAATAACTTGCTTCATGAATATTTTTTGAAAAAACAATACACCAACTTACTGATAATACAACATTATTACATTTCTTCTGCCTCATAGATCTAATTTGTACTTCAGGCCAATTCGTTACACGTAAATGACCAAAATCACATAGAACACATGTAGTACACATTGAAAGTGAAGTACTCATCAAGGTATCCGCCTTCTTCTCCTGTTCTTCTTCATTATAAATATTATAACGATTAGGGAATAGTATTCTTGGTGCAGCTAAATCAAAATTTATTGCCCAACGATTTCTTGACTTAACTGACGATGCTCCTGCTGCTGCTGATGATGATGATGTGAATGTTATCGACTTCTTTGGAATTGGAATGTTCTTACTACCACCACAACCGCCGCCTATACTACTAGTGTCGTTATTATCAGTAGTATCGGCAGTAGCATCAGTATCTTTGATTAGTGAACTTAAATTTATGGATATGCCTTCTTTAACGGAATGATTCAATCTGGATTGTTTTGAAGCTGAAATAATAGTAGGGAGAGGAAAAAGATTTTAGTGATAAGAACAACAACAATAAATAATAATTAAACTTTCAAGCGCTTTCACATAAAAAACATTTTATAGATATTTCTATTGTTTGGTTTGTAAAGGTTAGTTTTGTTTTTTACGAGTTCATCACGGATTGATATCAGTTAGAGAACCATTGAAAACACTCCATGGAGTACTGGGAATCATCGGCCGCAAGCATCCACCGGTTGGAGTTCGAATCCAGGACCTTCCGGTTACAAGGCAGGCTGGCATACAATTCAGCCACTGGGACCCAACTCAATGGTCTATGACCATTGAGGTCCATCTAGTCCGCTCCATCCTCCTTTACGGCTGTGAGACCTGGCCATTGAGAGCAGAAGACATGAAAAGATTAGCTGTCTTCGATCATAGGTGTCTGCGTTCTATCTCCCGCGTGAAGTGGTATAATCAGGTGACCAATATTGAGGTTAGGCGTCGACTGCTAGGTAAGGCGGGGAAATCAATCGACGAGGCTGTGAAATTACATCGACTGAGATGGTTAGGACATGTGTTACGTATGCTTAGTCATCGCCTTCCTCGACTGACGGGCAATGTTAGCTGATATAGGGCCAGGCTGGAAAAGAAAACATGGCACCAGTCAATGAAATCCACAACAGTTAGTCTAAGCCAGCCACGTAGGAAGGTGTAGACTGCCTTTCTGGTTGGGGTCCTCGGGACAGTAAAAACCAATGCTTGGAAACAATTGGTGACATGGCTAGCTCAAAATCGTTCTCAATGGCTGGCTGGCGCAGATGCATCCACTCCTTGTGACTTATGATTTCCAATGAAAGTGTTTTGTTCTTCGTTATTACTATACCTTTGTCTCACACCTCTGTTTACTGTCTATATTATGCATTTCTCCTACTTTCTTCTCTTGCTTTGTGTGCTACATAGATTGTGGCGACTTGAACTGCCGCACATATGTGCAAAGTTCTATGTCGAAAACCGACCGACCGATCTAGTCAGCAGTGAGGATGGATTTCCCACTGATGGCATTGGTTGGTACCAGTCGCGCTATATCGCGAATTGGTAGAAGTTAAAATTCATTGGCTAGCCATTGAGGAGTCAGGTCCCAGTGGCTGAATGGTATACGAGCTTAAAAAGATGTGTTAGCGTCAATTTTATGTCCTGTTCTATATTGCGAAACATATTGTAGAGACAAGACATAAAAAACATTGTTGCACCACAGTGAATGCAAATCTGAAACTTTAGGCCTTAGAAATTATATTCTTATAGCATTATTATTATTCCTTTGGACTCCTAGTGGAACATGGTAGGACTTCAACAGGACACATCTCTACTTCACTCTCTTCCCCGCCTGAAGTCTACTTCAACTGGCCCCACGATAGACCATAGGCTTTCATCTTCTCCCCACACGCGGTCTCCTCCACGTCACCTTCAAAGTGATACCCGCCTAGTCATTTCCCATTCGAATTCCAATCGACCGATGACATGGCTAGCTCACGATTTCATCCAACGGTCTCCTCAGTGTGTGTGGGTGATCCATCTGCCAGCATTTTCTAAGGGATGTTGGTTGAGCATGAGGTTCTTAGTCGATTGATTCGTTCCCAGAGTTTATTGCTGTTAATTCCTTATGGTCGGTAGCTGTTGATAAAAGATTGCAGTAGCCTGTCGGGAATACTTTCCGTGTCACGAACGCTAAGTTTCTGACCCATATGGGAGAATTGACTGAATGACTTGAAATTGGAGTTGAAAATCCGAATTTTGTTCTTTATGCTGTGGAGTGCAAAAGATTTCTAAACTGAAATCATAGTGACAAAGGTCTGTCTTGCTTTTCTGATTCTTGTCTTGACATTCCTCATTCGTGCTGTCTGTCTGTCGTGGAAAGGATGCCGCCTGGATAAGTAACCTAAGAAATTACGATATTACTTTCTTTCTAATCGATTCTATCGGCCGCAATATAATGAGAACTTTAGTTGATGCATCCAACTAGAAGAGTAATGACGAATATTTGCACTAAGCAAAAGGTGATTGGTTGAAAAAGCGGTCAAGCTGGTCAAGCAATTTCCAGACTTCTGATTGGTTATCATCGGCGAATTACTCTCCACTAGCTTTACAATCGCATATTTTGCAAAACGGGATAGTTTCAATAATTAGATTTTTGTCCCGCGGCAAAACGAGTTAGAGAGATCATTGAAAACCAGTGAGTACTGGGCAGTTGTTTTGTCCTATCTTGAGACTCTTTAGCAGCACAAACTCATAACCCCACTAAGAATCGAAGATAGAACCTTTAGGTTGAGAGATCAGGCTCGTTGACCATTATTCAATCGTTTTAGCTAACATTGAGTGACCCCTGGATTTTTAACTTTGTCATTTCATGATATAACACGTTAAACGCCAACCAATGCCTTCCAATAAACATCCAATTCACCTTGACGACATGGTTGTCCCCACTGGTCACATCCCACTGCAGCTGTGAGAAATGTATGCAGTACTCAGATGATTACAGGATTTGTTGGGAGAGAAAATGAATTCCCTTCGGTAAAAAACCCCTATTCACTGAACACTAGTCATCTTGTGTGTGTGTGTGTGTTCGTGTATGTTTTTCATTAATGACTGGATGGGAATTATTCATGAACTCTCTCTTTCTCTAACACAAATTGAGTGGGGTCGTTAAATGCATTAATCTACCAAAGGCAAAATCCCGATTCTGACAACTTCAATGTACATTTACCAACTGACTTGCTCTTATGAAGCTAAGTACATAGGCCATAACAGCAGGACACTGTCTGAACGCGCCCATTAACAGTTCTGCCAACGTGGTTGGAAAAATGAGAAGGCAGAATAGCCAACAGGTCAATTCTAGAGTACTACTACTGTGGTGAGAGCTGGCGGCTAGTCAAAATTGGTAGATGGTAATTTACGGCAATGTTTACGCCCCCAATATTGGTCGTGAGAAAAATAAGAACAAAGACTGATTCAACAACCAATCACAGCAGACTTTGCGTAGGCGGATCCAATTTGCTGATAGATAATCTGAACTTCAATAAACGGCCACAAAGAGGAGATGAAAGATTAACGTTCAGCGAGAAACCACCAAACAGAAGATTGTGTTTGTTCGCTTACAATAATTTTTTTTTTATTACAGCTTGATGCCACACCGTCTTTTCAGTACAAGTATGGGATTTTCAGCATGGATATCGGTAGCCTAAATTTTCCAGGCCGACCATAGATATCGGGTGTGCGTCGGCAGGGGATCGAACCCCGGACCATGTGCATGGTCGGCGAGAGTCCTAACCACTGTGCCACCGACACACATGTACATGAAAATCTATAAATACCTGTTGATTTCGTAAATAAACGATCTGTTGCCTGGCCCTTGCCTTCTGTTGTTACACTACTACTATTACTTGTGGTCAGACATTAGCATTAGCAGAGACTGCCATTCAGAGTCATCTATAAAGTACAACTAAATCGTTCACAAAGGGTTTCCCTTACATCTCCTTAATGTAGCCAAAGAGATTTAACAATCCACCGAGGAAAAAACGTGTGTTCAGAAACATTCTCTCCAGTCTCTTTTACTACAATGGCCTTCCTTAGTGCTAATTTTTTCTTCCTGAAAAACCAACTGTATAATTATCAGCTCTATGTAGTCCGTTTTCTTTTTGTGTGTTTGCGACTATAACTCACCTAACTAGTTGTTAACCTTTTTTGAATTACGTGTGACCATTCTCAATTTTTTTTCAAATATAGTTATAACTCATCAACTTTGATTTGCTTTATTACTAAACGACAATGACCTATGACCTCTGTTGTCAATCTATATTGCATATATATATAAACCCAAAGCTAACTGTACAGCTTTGCAATCGCGCGTCAGGCCCTCAAGTGGAACCCACAAAGGGAAGCGGCGAGTGGGACGTCCAAGGATGACATGGAGGAGATCGTGTGAAGAAGAGTTGAAACAGTATGGACTAACATGGATGTAGGTGAAAAGTACAGCAGAAGACAGAAGCAGGTGGAGACGTTCAGTTGAAGCCCTATGTTCCACTAGGAACCCAAGGGAACAGTAATAATAATAGTAATTTGAAGTTACGCAAAATGAAGGGTATCTCTTTTCTGACTACTAATGCGTTCTTCATTACAGGAAACAGGAATTCTTCAAACATAAGAAAGCATTGAACTGTACTGTGTGTTCAGAGATCTCGAAAAAAGAGATCAAATCAGAATAAAATAATAATAATAAGCATAACTTACACTCACGTTTTGATGAATGTACAGCTGATTTGATAAAATTGATAATATGACGAAGTAATTCCGGTTGACAGATCACTTGAAGTGGATCGGTGTGTATTTCAAGACTGCATAAAAAGAAAAAGGAATATATGACAAGTAAATCACGCAAGTATATGTATCACAGATCAGTGTCACTTAGAGAAAACACATTGAAAACCATCAGGGAGAATTGGATAGTCAGCCGATTCGTCCCACTTTGGGGCTCTTCAGCAATACCCACCCACCACTGGGAGTTCGAAGTCAGGACCTTCTGGTTACAAATGAAGCCAGTAGATCATTCATCCACTGGGACCTGAACCAATCACCCATATATATATATATATATATATATATATATATATAGAGAGAGAGAGAGAGAGAGGGAGAGGTTAGTTGGCTGGAGGCAATCGATAGTCTGTCTGTCTGTTTTCGACACCGAACTTTGCACCGATGTGCGGCAGTTCAAGTCGCCACACTCCCTCCATGTAGCACACAAAGCAAGAGAAGAGAGTAGGAGAAATGCATATTAGTGACAGTAAACAAAGGTGTGAGATAAAGGAATAGTAATAACTAAAAATAAAACAGTTTCATTGGAAATCATAAGTCACAAGGAGTGGATGCATCTGCACCAGTCATTGAGAACGATTTTGAGCCATGTCACCAATTGTTTCCAACCATTGGTTTTTACCGTCCTGAGGACCCCAACCAGACAGAAGTCTACACCTTCCTACGTGGCCTGGTTTGACTAACTGTTGTAGATTTCATTGACTGGTGCCATGTTTTGGTTTGACCACCGCTAGCTCTTTTCCAGCCTGCCCTTATATCAGCTAACACTGCTCGTCGACGAAGGCGATGACTAGGCTAGGCATGCGTAACACATGTCCTAACCATCTCAGTCGATGGAATTTCACAGCCTCGTCAGTTGATTTCCCCTCCATACCTAGCACTCGACGCCTAACCTCAATATTGCTGACCTCATTATACCACTTCACACGGGAGATAGAACGTAGACACCTATGATCAAAGACAGCTAATCTTTACATGTCTTCCACTATCAATGGCCAGGTTTCACAGCCATAAAGGAGGACGGAGCGGATTGATGAGCAGTACACACGCCCTTTGGTGGATAGTCGGATATCACGTCTACGCCCTAACGATTTCGATGACTAGGCAATCGATAGGCATCCGTAGATCTAAGGTTTAGTGATAATACAGAAATTCGTCGGTCAGCAAGACGTATGTATCAGCCTCCTCCTCCTCCTCCTGCTTATCCTCCAAGGAACTTGAATCCAAAGGAAAAACAAGTGTTTTTCACTGAATAATATCAAGAGGCCATCATTTATTTCGTTGGATCCCCTTCTTCAGCTACTTACAAACTTAAAGTTGATTATGTAAGTGTGTACACTGAATTTTGTCATACAAGCAGTAAGGATCAACATGATTTTTGTTAATAGAGACAAATGTTAGTAAATAGTGATCAGAAATTCCATTCCAGCAGGGAGTACTCGACAGCTGTTACATCCTAATTTGGGACTCATCAGCAGTACCCACCCACCGCCAAGTTTCGAACCCAGGACCTTCCGAGTACAAGATGAGTGAGTGCGTATACCATTCAGCCACTGGGACCTGACTCCTCAATGGCCAACCCATGAATTTTAACTTTTACCAATTCGTGATATGTAGCGCGACTGGCACCAACCAATATCATCAGTGGGAAATCCATCCTCACACGTGACCTATGGATGGACCTCACCAATCATGACTTTTCATTAGAACTCCAGGAAACTCCGTCCTGAAGTCAGTCACTAGTGTGCATCAGATTAATTTTCAAGGGTTGATTTGTAAGGATTTGATTTGTTTTTCGAGTTTTAGTGAGAAGTCATGACCAGTGAGGTCCATCCAGATGTCACGTGTAAGGATGGATGTCCCTTCCGATAACATTGGTTGATGGTCGTGCTACATATCACGAATTGGTAGAAGTTAATAATACACATTTTTGAATTAAAACGGTTACATAACAAAGCATAACATGGAGTGTAACAATTTCGTCATCAGGGAAGAGAAATAAGCCAATCCTTCTAAAATTTGATTGGTTAATATGAGCTAGATTCGATTTTCCTCAAATCAAATAAAAGTTATCTCATTCGATTATTATTATGCATTATCTTACTCTGTGTAGGCGGCATGCTAACTTTTAAAAACCAATCAGCTTGATTATTAGCCTTTATCCATTATCACCCCAATTGTCATATTTGTCCACAGCCACACCTCAGTGTTGACCTAATTCTACTCAAGTTACCAAGTTACCTTCGCAATGCTAAACCAACCAAGAGACTCGACATCATGATGCTAACTTAACTAATAAAATTCAGCCAGTCCTGAAGATTGAACACATAACACTGAGGCGTAGTGGATAGATGGCTGGTAAGCTTGATATGTTAACAAAACAGAAAACCCCCTACCGATCGGACAACGGTGTAAATTGCGTCGCGGTAAATTACTAGCATAATGTCTACTTACGTACCTGTAGGCGAATTATGCGTTTTTTTCTTCTGACTAGTGGATATTTCGATAACTGCTACCTTGACGTGGTGGTCGGGCTTGCACATCGCAATGATCCAACAAGCTACACTGGCCGGAACTATTGTTCCTGCAGGTCTTATCATGCCAGGAAGGTTGTTAGGATAGCGATTAGACTGAAAGCAGTTACTGGCTTAGTGTAAGAATTTTTTCTTACACTATGCATGGAGTGCAATAATTTCCTCATCATATATACATAAATATATATATATATAACTTGATTTAAGCTCAACGCACTATTACTCATCATCAACTTATCCCTACTTTTGTCTTGGAACTCAATATTCAATGTATCTGACCCATAATTTCGCATGTTTCAACCTTGACCTCCTTTTAAGTTATGCAAGTGGAACTTCTGAACACTGGTTATTTAACGTGTGTGTCTGTGTTAACAAAAACCATATTGATCCATGCTGCAAGTATGACAAAATTCGATGTACATATTTACATAATCAACTTCTAGGCTGAAAGCAGCTGAAGAAGGCAATCCAACGCCGAAATAAATGATGATGGTCTCATATAATACTTCACAAACATTCGTTTTATTTTGCTGTGTTTAAATTCATAAAGGGGAATAAAATGTATGAACTTGAATCCACTCAGAGATTTGAATCCAAGGTATTCACTGTCGTAGGATAACAGCTGATTAGCTCTGATGCCATGAAAGTGAAATATCCACCGTCTTCGGGTAACTGAAACAGAATGAGGATTAGTATTGCGTAACCGCAGAGCCCAGGGAACAACTGTCTGAGGCCGGTCACACGCAGTTTGTATGAACTGGTTTATTGGTTTGGTTCCGTAGTAGTAAACATATCGCCGGTTACGGAGAGCGAAGACAGCTGTTGATGAAGGACTGTAGTTTGTGCGAAGTGCCCTTCATGACGCGCCAAGTCTCTGATTCGTATAGTAAGTAGCACTGATTGATTTCTCATTGAAGTTGAAAATCTGGATCTTAATTTTCATGCTGAGTGCTGTTGACCTCCACACACACTTGAGAGTAATGAAAGCTTACCTTGCTTTCCCTATCCCTGCTTTGATATCCTCCTCAGTTCCGTCTGCCTGTAGTTGAAACGACGCTTCCCAGGTACGTAAAGGAGTTTGTTTCTTTCAGATTAGATGTAAGCTTACTACATTACTTTGATGCACCACAGATGTATTCTATAGTTGAATTAGGTTAAAGAAAGATATTTCTGAAACACAACTACTAGTTTGAGATGAAGAACAACCATCGCAAGAAAGTAGTCAGGAATTGGCACATACTACCGAAGTTCCATTTGCAGTAGTTTAAATACGACTGAGTTAGCAGAAGGAGCAGCAAAGATACGACTTCAAGCGAGGATGATACTCAGGGAGGCTTTGTGCGCTCTTGGAGATGTGTGGGCGGTTGTTAGTTCCCGGCTGCCCACACTGTGGAAGTTGGTTGATTCTTCGAGTACCTGAAACAGAAATAGGGTTAGTGTTGTGTGACTGCAGAGCCCGGAGGACAACTGCTTGAGGCCGGTCACACACGGCATGTATGAACTGGTTTATTGGTTTGGTTCCGTATCAGTAAACTTACCACCAGTTACGGATCACCGTAGGGTAAGTCGGGATGTACAATTGTTGGGGTCGACCTTTTCTAACCCCATCTCTTCAAAGTGGAGAGGCAGCATAGCTGGCTGGAATGCTGGTCATCTGAGGGAAACACCTCAATGCTGTTATATCCCTGTTCCCCAGCAGTACGACTTCGCCCACAGACCCCCAGCATAGTGTAAAATAATTCTTACGCTATGCTGGTAGCTGCTTTTAGTCTAATCGCTATCCTAATAACCTTCCTGGCATGGTGAGAACTGCAGGAACAATAGTTTCAGCCAGTGTAGTTTGTTAAGTCATTGCGATGTGCAAGCCCGGCGACCACCACTTCAAGGTAGCAGCTATCGAAATATCCACTAGTCAGAAGAAAAAACGCATAAGTCGCCTACAGGTACGTAAGTAGGCATTATGCTGGTAATCTACTGCGACGCAATTTACACCGTTGTCCGATTGGTAGGTAGATTTCAGTTTTGTTGATACATCAAGCTTACCAGCCATCTATCTACTGCGCCTCAGTGTCATCTGTTTAACCTTCAGGGCTGGCTGAATTTTATCAGTCAAGTTTGAATCATGATGGCAAGTCTCTTGGTTGGCTTAGCATTCCAAAGATTATTGGTAACTTGAGTAGGATTTGGTCGACACTGAGGTGTGTGTGTGGACACATGACAACTGGGGTAATAATGGATGAAGGCTAATAATCAAGCTGACTGGTTTTTAAAAGTCAGCTTGCCGCCTACACAAAGTAAGATAATGCATAATAATAATCGAATGAGATAACTTTTATTTGATTTGAGGAAAATCGAATCTAGCTCATATTAACCAATCAAATTTTAGAAGGATTGGTTTATTTCTCTTCCCTGATGACGAAATTATTACACTCCATGTTATGCTTTGTTATGTAACTGTTATAATTTTAAAAGTGTTTATTATTAACTTCTAATCAATGGCGAACGTGTTGCAATTTCCTTCTTTCTCCCCTTCCTGATGACAGTTAACGAATACTGTTTGAACTTGTTAATCATGACTGTTTTCCTTCAAGATGAAGTTCTTTATCCGTTTTCTACTTATCTTTTTACTTTTAATCTATGTTGTTTTATTATTATTGTGTGGCGCATCTTTCTTGGTGCCACAGTGTACCAAGTTTTTCTGCGTTTAAATAAATAAATAATTAACTTCTACCAATTCGTGATTTTCAGCGCGACCACCAACCAATGTCATCGGAGGAGAAATCCATCCTCGCTCAAGACTGGATGCACCTCACTGGTCATGACTTCTCACTAGAACAAATCAACCCTTACAAATTAATCTGATGCTCACTAGTGACTCGCTTCAGGATGGAGTTTCCTGGAGTTCGAATGATAAGTCGTAACCGGCGAGGTCCATCCAGTCGGGAGTGAAGATGGATTTCCCACCGACGACATTGATTTGTGCCAGTCGCGCTTAATATCACGAATTGGTAGAAGTTAGAATTCATGAGGTAGGCATTGGATCGGGTCCCAGTGGCTGAATGTCATACGCTATCGCTCGTCTCGTAACCGGAAGGTCCTGGGGTTCGAACCCCGGTGGGTGGGTATTGCCGAAGAGTTCCAAACTAGGACAAAATAGCTATCCAGCGCTCCCAGGTTTTCCAATGGTTCTCTAACTAATGTCAGCTCATGATGAAATCCTGTAACCAATCAAATCCCCACAAACCAACACTTGAAAAGCATTTTAATTTTAAACATAATAAATAGATTAACAAACTCGCTAAATTCCAGGCAGAAAGCGCTACATTCAAATTTTACACGAACACTTGAGAATGCATCAATTCATTCAGCAATACTCATTATCCGAAGAGAGGTGATGTGTGTATGGCTTTTACTGAACTACTATTATTAATTTATAATGAAGAAAAAAAATTCTAATCCGTCAACCAGTAATCGATTATTGTGTTGTACTGTACAGAAAAAAGCCCTAACTTGTCACATCGCTGTCTCCATTTCTGTTTAATTTCATCAAAGATGCATTAATGGAATTGACACTAACTAAATTCACTGATATAGGGACTGACTTGTTACCAGGAAATAGTCTTGTTGATTTCGATTATGCGGACGATAAAGTCCTCCTGATAAAACGTAGTAATCTGAACACCTTCACTAGAAATCTTCGAATGTTTGGCATCCGATCTACTCTTGTTAAATATAAAATGATGATAGAGACATCGAATACACCGACACCTAACTTAAAAAAATAAGGAGTAAAGTGGTGAAGCGTGTTGACCATTTCACGTATTTGGGAAGTTGCATCAGACCACCTCCCAACCCGCCTATTGAACTGATTCCTGCTGACGAAGTCTCACCACGGAGAAAAAAGGCTCATGTGAGATTAGACAACTTACGTCATCTCTGACAGATATACACGTGATATCAGACTGGCTATCAATCAATAGACATGTGAACTGTACAGCACCACTTCGCCCCGTCCTCCTTTATCACTGTGAGTGAGACGTAGACATTGAAATTGGAAGATATGAAAAGGTGAACTGTCTTTCATCATACATGTCTTCGTTCTATCTCCCGTGTTAGATGGTACGATAAGGTGAGTGATATTGAGGTTAGGCAAGTGAGGAAAGTCAAAGGATAAGGTTGTGGAGCTACATATCGATTGAGATGGCTAGGATCTGTGTTACACACGACTAGCCATCACCTTGCTCGACAGTGAGTACGTTTCAACAAAGAGCCATGCACACAAGTGCAGCAGTTCAACTTGACACACACACCCCATATGTCACACAAAAATAGGAGAAAGAAAGGAAAAGGAGATTTAAAAAAACGACAGTAAGCAGGAATGTGAGGGGAAGAGAAGGAATAGTAACATGGAAAATCAACAGGACTTCTGTGGATATGGAAGACCACTAACAGTGAGTGTCACTTGGACATTTAAGGACGATTTTGAGCCATATCCCTAACTACTGGTCCTTGCCCCCCCCCAAAGACCCTTCCTCTACCTCAACCGGGCGGTCTAAACATCCACAAGTGACTGGCTAAAACCAATTGTCAAAGAATTCATGGAGTGACCACAGGTAGGGTTTGGTCCCACGACTTCTAACTCTTTCCAACCTAACCCCCTACTATGTCAGCTAACATTAAGCATGGGAGATAGGATAAAAAACATCGGTGGTCAAAGATAGTCAATCTTTCTCGTATCTTCCATTTTCAATAATCATGTCTCATGTACTGCTGGACAGTGCACATATCTTTTGATCAACAGCCAATCGGATGTCATGTAAGGTGGCGAATCCCAGACGAGACTTTTGTATCCTGCGTTGAGATTTCAAACGACAATAACAATAAAAAGAGTAGGATAACTTACAGATAATCCGCATTTATCTTCACAGGATTCACTTCATAAATCAATGAAAAGACTCGTCTTTCCTGAGCGTCATCAGCAATAACAGTAGTAGCAGCAGTGGTCATATCAGATTCTAAATGATAACCATGATGATAACGTGGATAAACAACAACGGGGAATAGCGGTGTCGTCAATTGGGACGAAGAATCCCTTTCATGACTACTACTGCTACTACTATTACTCTGTTGTGCAGATGACCATCTTTCATCATGTACAGTAAATGATTGAATATAAGTTGATATACGATATGAATTACACTTTGGTCGAATTGCCAGACTAAAATTCATTTGCTGTCCAGATATACTCACAAATGCGGGATGCTGAAACATGAGAATTGGAAGAGAGAGAAAGATAGATAGAACGACACAGACTAATCAGAAATATGCATAAATATCACATTCATATTAAAAATTTATATTTCAACACCAAAATAATATCCTTTAGATAATTATAAAAATGTTTCGTCCCAACACTGGACTCTTCAGCGTTGCGCAGCCTAGACCCCATATACTTGATAGCGGATAACAGTAATGCATTCAGGATCGATGTTTTGATCACATTTGAAAACTGAAAACATCTTTTTCCCGATACGAATTAAAAGCAAGCAACAAATTGTTCTTATAAAGCAGGACTTCAAAAGACTACTCTTCGTTGGTACTAGATGGTTGGAGACAATCGGCACGAAGCCTTGACAGGATCTAGGTTTCGTGCTAGTTGGCACTCATCAGCAAGGCGTACCTGCAACCTTGAAGGAACTGATGTCCCTTCTGAGATTCGAACTAGCACGAAACCTAGGTCCAAGGCTTCCTGTGGCCGATTGCCTCCAACCATCTAGTACCAACAATTCACAGTGCACCGTAATGGCGAGCCACCTAGCATGGTGGCCACATTGTAAATATGACTGATAGAATTCAGTCTGCACCGAAGATAGGACTAGACACATTACACTAGTTACTGACTAGTGTTCAATCAAAAAGACTACTCTTCATTTTACTGTATCCTCTACAGAAACTTCAAGTCTCCATCTTGAAACCACCCTATGTTCCACTGGGAACGTTAAGGAAAACAAACAAAAAGCTAGTTTCCAATAAAGTCGATCCGATAGGAGGTCAATCTCGAGTCCGAATAGCCTTGTATTAACACCTCTGACTGCACTAGTGGGTGGTGACAGGGGTTCGAATGCCAAACAGGGAGATATGAGTTCCTTCAAGATCTCAGATAAACCTTGATAACTAGTGAATGCCACTCAACAAGCACGAAATCTGAGTCCACTCAAGACCTCCTTCCAATTAATAACAATAATTCACAGTTCACTGTGAAGTTGTTGATAAGTTTTTGTATCTGGGTAGTTGTGTGAGTGCTGGCGGAGGAGTGACGGATGAGATTTCCAACCGTATAAAGAAGGCTAGGGTGGCATATATCAACTTCAGCCACCTCTGGCACAGTCGCGACGTTAGCCTGGCTGTAAAAGGTCAGGTATACAATGCTTCGGTGCAGGCTGTCTCGCTTTACGCCTGTGAAACCTGGTCTCTCCGAGCTGAGGATGTGAGGCGACTCTGCGTGTTCGACCACCGCTGTCTCCGCAGGATTGCTTGCGTTCGATGGCATCATCGCGTGAGTAATTCTGAGGTTCGGTGGCGTATTTTTGAACACAGTGGTGGAGATCACCATTCATTGAGTGTCATCATCTGGAAACAACAGCTCCGGTGGCTTGGACATGTGCTGCGAATGTCATCCCAGAGGCTTCCGTACAGGTCTCTGTTCGCTAGCCAGCCCTAGGACCGGATGGAAAAGGCGGAGGGGTGGTCAGTCCATGACGCGTGGCGTCGTGAAATGAAGGATGTTTGTGCTAGATTAGCATCGGTTGGTGAGACACGACTCCCTGGTTGGGGTCCGCTCGAATCAATGGCTCGAAACGTTATCGGATATGGCCGAGAATCGTAATCAATCTTCCCTTCCCAATGATAGTTGACGAATACTGTTTGAATGAACTTGTTAAGTATGACTGTTTTCCTTCCAGATGAAGTTCTTTATCCGTTCTCTACACTTATATTTTTTTTACTTTTAACCTATCTTGTTTTATTATTATTATTGTGTGGTGCATCTTTCTTGGTGCTATATTGTACCAAGTATTTTCCGTGATGGCAACCCATCTAGTGTCATGGTGGCCAGACATTACAGACTTAACTGACAACAGAATTCAATCATAACACCGGTTAGATAAAATGACAATCAACTCAGAAACAACAAAAATGTTCACTACAATAGACACCTACCACCATGTATGCATGCATAGCCTCTTCTTCTTGTTGACTGTCAATCAGCCGTAGACTGCATCCATCAATAGTACAAATAAATTGTAGAAATACAGGATAATTTATACTTGTATAATCAATATTATTATTTGTATGTTCAGCAAATTCATCCAGTAATTCAAAGATTGTATCAGCAATAATAATCGATGTAGAAGATGTTGGCGGTGATGAAGATGTTGAATGATTGAAACTAGAATCATCAGCTGATTCCCCTCCTTCTTCTTCATCTTGTTGTTGTTTTTGTATCTCATCAGCTGTTTGATCTGTTATACTACTGTCAACGTTATTGACAGTAGTAGTAGTAGTATTTGACGAGAAAAAAGATGATGTTGTCAAGCCTAACCATGAAGAATATCTCCACCAACTATTATAATAGGATTGATTTGGTGTCGTGGTGGTGGAAGCTGTAGATGTCGATGTAGATGTACTGTCGACAACTGAAGAAGCAGGAGGAGGAGGAAAGGGTAGAGGTGTAGCAGAAGATTGTCCTGAATCAACTGATGAACGTTTACTTCCATGCTTGACGTTTTTATCACATTTCTAAGATTCAGCGGGGAGGGGGAGGAGTGAAATCAAAGATAAAAAAAAGAAAATCAGGAATAAACACAGCCGAAATTAATAATAAAAGTGCAAAGTTGGTACATTATGGGCACCAACAGATGCATTGCACAAAAGTCTAATAGTCGGTGCGATGGATAGGATACTGCCTCTATATAAAGCAGGACTTGAAGCCTAATAACCCACAAGGTATTGGGGGCAGGAGCTGCATTCCTCTGATTTCTGGTGACTGTTTTAAGTCATTGATTACCCTGATATACAAGAAGGGAGACAAGTCTTTCTGTGATAATCACATAGGGATTAGCTTGACCAATACGATATCTAGTCATGCGTTGACTAAGCAGTGCACGCCTCCTGCTTCAAAGTAATCTACAGAGTCAGGAATAACCTACCAAAGGCAATACGGTTTCGTCTTCTTTGTATCGCTGAAGCTCTGGCCATTCACATAGAAAAACCGGAGCTGTGCATACAAAAGAGGATTACTCAACCACTTCTACTGTCATGGTAACAAAATTTTTTTGATTTTGATGACTTAATTCTGTTTGTTTGCCTGTTTCTTTAATTGCTTATAATTTTTGTATTCATTTAGAACTCTTACGTAATTTCGTATTATCTACTTTGTTCCCATATGTATCCTGAGTAAAACTCACTCATCAAACTATTCATATTATTACATAACTTCTTTTTACAGCTGTTTGTGACAACTCATCACCTTTGTTACTACCCTAATTTCACTAACACCTAATTTTCTTGACTGATTTTGTATTACGTGACTCCAATTACCATTCTTCACCTGTTCAGTTTAAATAACTATAACCAATTGTATTTTTGTTTGATAAACTTTTTGTACACATACATCCACAATAACACATAAGAAAATGAATCCGCCGTAAAGAGACTCTTCGCTAATCTACGTGTTTTGTTTTCATTAATGCCTGGAAGGGGATTATCCATGAATTTAACTCTAGCTTAAAAGACAGATGGGAGTGAAATGGTGAAGACCATTGACCACTTCACTTATTTGGGAAGTTACATCAACCCCAATGAACTGAATGGTGACGAAATCTCACCACGGATACAGAATGCTCGCGTGGCGTAGACGTGATATCCAGACATTTGTACTACATAGCACCAGTTCGCTCCATCCTATTTTTTCAATGTGAATCATGACTCTTGAAAGTGGAAGGTAGGAAAAGGCCGATTCTCTTCGATCACAAGTGTCTTCGTTTTATCTTCCGCATCCCAAGCCCTCGCTTTCCTTGACAGTTAATGTCAGCTGACATAGGATTATGTTGGAAAAGGGCTAGTGACTGTCAAACCAAAACTTTACGTCAATCAGTGCTAAGTTCCATCCTGGGAACAACAACCAGGCAGTTTTTACCTTCCTACATGGCTCAAAACAACTGTCTTTGATTTGAACAACACTACACTTTACTCTTTTCTAACCGAATCCTTTGTCACTAAACACACTACTCGCCGAGGATGAAGGTAGCTCGACATGCACACCATGTGTTGGGTTACAAAATAGTTTTACAATATCAGTGTGTGATAACAAGAAAATGGAACTGATTATCACCTGGATAAAGGGGGAGATCGATAGGTGAAACGAGACTTTAATTGAAGCACCCCCAGAATCCTCAGTCCAATTAATACAAACCACAAGAGTCGTATGTTAGACAAATTAGAACAAATACAGAGAAATCAACAGCAAAAAGTCGAATAAACTGAACTTTCATATCAAGAAGGAAGAGTTCACAACTGATCACGAACTTGACTTCAGATAGACAACCATTGTGAAACAAAGCAGGGAGTATTGAACACCTTTTTCGTCCTTGTTTGAAACTCTTTAGTACTACGCACCCATGACTTCATCAGCGATAAACTCTCAACGAAGACAATGACTGACGGTGGCGCTGAATATTCCGAATCGGCGGAAATTAGAATTCCTGGACAGTCGGGTTCCATTCCAGTGGCTCAATGGTTGTCTGTGAGGTCAGTCAGTCATCAAGAGTCTTTAATCATCGGTTCTGACCATCTTGAGAGCAGCCTACACCCCCTTCCCATCCCGACTCAAACGTGACTGTAACCAAAAGTCAAGAAAACAAGCGTAAATATATGCGTGACCCTATATACTACTGAATACCGCACATGAGTAGTTGTCTGATACCAGCCACATCCACCAGACACTAGTGAATCCTAGAAGACCGGTCACAGGGATCGAAACACTGGACAGTCGGCTGTATCGCTCGTTTGCTGGGGTGGGGTGGACTCAACGGCAATGTATCCAGTTTGACTCAGGCCAAACCGCCACCACCACCACCAGCACTGGTCGACGTGCGTGGTTTGCTACTACTACTCATATCAGTAAATAAGTAGCATATAACGTGAGTCATCGATTTTAATTCGATTACGTCACACCTTAACAAAAAAATAATAGTAAAGTCTAAAACATGACAATATCCACCTCCCCACCCTCCTTCTCATTATAAACAGAACCGTAAAAAATCGATAGGAGAGGAGACAAAACAACAAAAAAATAGCCTGAGGTATTATACTCACTAATAATTTATGCAGTATCACAGTAGCACGTCTCATAGCAATCAGACGGAGAATAGCAATTCTTTGTATTGACCATATCTCATCATGTTTTAATCGTTCACTGTCCATTTCCGGCGTATAATTTAAACTTTTGCATATAACGCTGACTTGATCAATTGTAATTAAACACTTTGTAGAAGTTGACGTCAACGTCTCCCCAGAAGATGATGATGATGAGAGTCCTTTAATCAAATAAGCTGTATAGGCTTTCACATAGATAATGTTCAACTTGGCTTCATTAGCTAAAGATGATAGTGTGACATGTCGAAATGTTGAATTCAGATATAATCGAAGTGGTGGATGAACTTCGCCAGCTGCATAACGCCACCAATCGGCATATCTGTAAGGCAAATATATATACATGTGAGGAATAATTTTTACAATTCCCATAAAATCTCGGAATATACAGATTAGATGATGGGAAATATTAAAAAAAGACGGTTGCAGCAAAGAAAATTTCCTTCCCGACAAAGTCAACATCAACTAGGCTGTACATTCGTGTATTCATATTAAATGTGATTTATTTTGACTTTTTGTGTATTTCGGGATTAAAAATGTTGTAATAACCAAATAGACAGAAGTTGGGATCAAAAACGGTAATGCATCTACGGATTAAAAGCGTAGAAATCACAGAAATAAATAGAAAATTTCGATAAAAGGACCTCTGGTGAACTTAGAATATTCAGTGTGATTTGAAAAGTTCTTCAAAGTTACTCCCAACTAACTACTAATTGAGTGCGTCTATACCATTGATCCTGAATGGTCCAATGAGATTTATTCATGTGATCGTGGAAAACACTCATAAGAACATTAGAAAGAAGAGAACACAAAGTTCAGAAAATCGGAGGTGTGCCCTTCTTTCTCTTCTTCTGTTCTTTCTGAACATGTACCGAAAAGCCTACGTCTCAAGGGAACAAACTCTTATAATAGCACCATTACCAGACATCTCCTCGGTGCGGGTCATGAGGTAGAAATCGCGAAATCCTTTAAAATTATCAGCAGACAAAGGAGTTCAATTCTCCTCAAGTTTGCCGAAGCAATTCCTATCAAACTCTTGAAACCAGATTAATGTGTTCAGAAAGAAGCAGTTATTAGTCTTTCCTTACCCTGGTAACCGGATGTCTTTATTCTTTCTTTCATCTGATTACGCAATCTTTGGCTTTAACCTCACCCCTTTGATACAGTGTAATTTTTGCTTGTCTCTTGTCTCTATGATTTGAGTTGAACTCAGTACATTGTTACCCAATTCATTAGTCACTCATCATCTTACGCATCTCTCGTCTTTCAGTTACGTAACTCCTTTACCATTCTATTCATACATTTATTTTGTTTAAACTTGAACTGCCTGTGTATAAACTATATAAGTGCAATTTTCTGAGCACTGTTCACTAATTGCGGGACATTCGGCCAACTGACATCATGAAGAAAAAAATTTGCACGTATGTTAAAACTTTTCTGTACATAAACCTCTTAATTCATTTAGGTTGTAAGCAGCACTTGAGCTGATGAGAAGCCAACGAATTCAGCAATGATGGTACCATTTTCTTATTCTGCACAAACCGCCACTGTTGTTCTTGCTTTATTCAAACCCTCCTCACATCAATCAATTAATCAATCAGTAGTGTATATACAGTTTCATGCAAACAATGCCTCACCTTTTCACTGTAGTACTACTGCTACAAGGTCGACGTTTCAATTGTTCAGTACGTTCATACTGGCACTTCAACACTTCGGATAGATGTAACAAGCTACGACATAATTCTTGTGATATTTGTATATCTAATTGACTCAAGTTTACGGTTAACTCAATTTGTGCTTCACTCGAGTGATATTCTGACTGGTATTTTCTGTTTATCAGTGGTCCAGTAAGAAGAGTAGAGTTAGTAGAAGGAGTAATAGTATTACTGTTATTGGTGGTGCTATTCATTGAAATATTCGTTTGTTTACGTTTTAAACGTCCAGTTAGATGGCATGGTGGTAGGATATGCAGAATATTTTGATTCGACAGTTCCTCTGCTTCACTAGATGCTTCCTTTAACAGAAAGAAAAAAGAGATAATAACGACAATCATTATGATTTAATAACAGTATAAATTCATGTTAAAATAAGGCTGTTTGCCATGGCTAATTTTATTACTGGACAGAAACAAATTGACCTCCACAAGAAGTGACGCAGAATCATGCTCTTGTCCATGCCGAGGAAAATGCTAAGTCGCATCATCCTGGAGTGAATAGAGGATGCACTGGATACAGAACTCCTCCAGCCGGAGCAAGCTGGATTCAGGAAAGGCAAACCGTGTGCTGATCAAATTGTAACTCTACGCATCATCATCGAACTGAGAGTAGAATGCCAGTTAAATCTCTTCCTACCTTCACTTCGTTGACTCTGAAAGGGCCTTTGTCTTCTTGTTGGTATTAGATGGTTGGAGGCAATCGGCAGAAAGCCTTGGACCTAGGTTTCGTGCTAGTTGGCACTCATCAGCAAGGCGTATCTGCAACCTTGAAGGAACTCATGTCCTTCTGAGATTCGAACCTGCGTCACCCAGTGTTGCAGTCAGAGACGTTACCACTGAGCTATTCAGGCTCGCGATTGACCTCCTGTAGGACTGTATTGGATATTTTTGATTGAACACTAGTCAGTAACTAGTGTAATGTGTCTAGTCCTATCTTCGGTGCAGACTGAATTCTATCAGTCATGTTTGCAATGTGGCCACCTTGCTAGGTGGCTCGCCATTACGGTGCACTGTGAATTGTTGGCAGTAGATGGTTGCAGGCAATCGGCTCAGTGGTAACGTCTCTGACTGCAACACTGGGTGACGCGGGTTCGAATCTCAGAAGGGACATGAGTTCCTTCAAGGTTGCAGATATGCCTTGCTGATGAGTGACAACTATCACGAAACCTAGGTCTAAGGCTTCCTATGGCCGATTGCCTCCAACCATCTAATACCAACAATTCACAGTGCACCTAGCACAGTGGCCACATTGCAAACATGACTGATAGAATTCAGTCTGCACCGAAGATAGGACTAGACACATTACACTAGTTACTGACTAGTGTGCAATCAAAAATACCTTTGTCTGTCTGTCTGGATTCAACGTAAAACTTGGCACCGAAGTGCACCAGTTCGAGTTGCCACGTTCCAAATAGCACACAAAAGTAGACAAGAAAATGAGTGAAGAGAACCAATAGAGTTTTGACAAGCATAAGAGTGAGTGAAACAGAATGAGTAATGGTAAAAAGGAATATGAACGATTACAGAGACTGAATACATCTGCGTAAGCCATTGACAACGATTTTGAGCCATGTCACCTATTTTCTCCAGCCATTGATTCTTAGAGTCCCGAGGGCGGGCCCCAACCCGGAAGTATGCATCTCCCTCCCTACCTGACTCAGTTTAACTGTCAAGGATTTCATGGATTGATGAGGCCATGTTTTTGTTTCGCAACCACTTACTCTTTTCCAGCCTGCACCTACTTATATCAGCTAGTAATGCCCGTCCGTCGGGGGATGGGGCGATGGTTAGGCATGCGCAGCACGTGACCTAGCCATCTCAATCTATGTAACTTTATAGAAAGGACCTTTGGGACAGCATTGACGGCGAAGTAGTTTGGAAAGTACTTTCAACACACTATAAAGTGCACTAAATCATTATCAACATCATTCAATAGCACGGCTAATATGACAATGCCATATGCCTAGCCGTTTGAGGTGAAGACGGAAGTAAAACAGAGGAGTTGAACATTATCACCGATGACATTCCTAATTTTGGCAGTCTGGGTTACCCGAAAGACTGTGAAATGGGAGACAGAAGACGGGAGAACATTGGACTTATAAGAAGACTCTAGAATATCTGATCTTCATGAACAATTTGAGAAGGCCTTCGACAGCGTTGACCGCGAAGTAATTTGGAAACTACTCGAGTACTACGGCGTACCCCAAATATTCATCAACCTTATTCAACAGCTGTACGACAACGGCACATGTCAAGTGATCCACAACGGAAAATTCAGCGAGGCGTTTGAAGTGAACACAGGAGTCAGACAAGGGTGCTTATTATCACCAATGATATTGATTCCTAATTGTGGTGTACTGGATTATGCGTCAGACAGTGGGAAACGAGAAGACAGGGATATCCTGGACCAATGTGAAGAACCTAGAAGACCTGGATTTCGCGCGTGGATGATTTATGTTTGATGTCACACAAAATCGAAGACTTACAAGCGAAAACCGACAAACTGGTCGAAGAAGCAGCCGGAGAAGACAGCACTCCAGGTGAACATAGACAAGACGGAGGTTATGAAAATAACCAACCAACAACAAGAACAACAGCAGCAACATCCAGCGCCAATCACCATCAACAAGGGGGATTTGAAACAGGTTACTTCATTCACTTATCTAGGGAGCATTGTCTCAACTACAGGAGGAACAAACGAGGATGTCAAATCGAGAATCGGGAAGGCAAGAAACACATTCATCAACCTGAAACCAATCTGGAAATCTTCGTCACTCAGCAACACTCAACAACAAAATTCGGATTTTCAATACAAACGTCAAGTCAGTCAGTTCTTCTATACGGATCAGAAACTTGGCGGGTCACAAAGAATATTCCCAACAGCCTGTTGCAGACCTCTATCAACAACTGTCTTCGTTCTATACTGAAGACCAGATGGCTGGAAAGAACGAGAAACTATGGGAACAAACAAAACAAGATCCAATCACCCATCAAATATGCAGGAGAAAGTGGAGATGGATTGGACACTCGCTGAAGAGGCCGTTGGGTGACATCGTGCGTCAGGCCATAGCTCGAGTGGAAACCGAAAGGGAAGCAGCGAGTGGGACGTCCAGGGGTGACATGGAGGAGATCGTGTGAAGAGGAACTGAAACAGTATGGAATAACATGGATGCAAGTGAAAAGTACAGCAGAGGAGAGAAGCAAGTGGAGACGTGTAGTTGAAGCCCTATGTTCCACTAGGAACCCAAGGGAACAATAATAAATAATCATGAACAATCTGCATCTAATGTCACATAGTCTCGAACATCTAACGGTAAAAACCAAAAAGTTGGGAGAACAAGCATCGAACAAAGACTCGACTCCAAGTGAACATAGAAAACACGAAGGTGATGAAGATAACTATACAACCAATGATAAGTACCAGTCATTATTGACGGGAGAAATTTGAAAGAGTCCACTTCCTTCACTTATCTAGACAGTGTCATTTCAACTACAAGCGGTCTAGACGGATGAAGATGTCAAAACCAGTCAGAATCGGAAAGTTAAGACAAGCACCTTTATCACATTGAGATCAATTTGAAAATCTTCTGCACTCAACATGAAGAACAACATTCGGATTCTGAACACCAATATTCAATCAGTCGCGACAAGCATTTTGAACAGCCAGGTAGAGACTTTTATCAACAGCTGCCTCCCTCACTCCATATTAAAGATCAAATAACTAGAAAGGCTTAGCAACAAGAGATTCTGGGAACAAATTAATCAATAACCTGTTGGTGGTCGACAAATATCCATAAGAAAATGAAGGTGGGTCGGACATACGCCAAGGAGACCGTTAGGCTACATCACGCCGAAGGCTCTCGAGTGGAATACGAATGCGAAAAGTGACAAATGGTCACAGGGATGATATCGTGTGAGAATGAGGTGGTGACCTTATTATTATTGTCTCCTTTAATTCTTAGAGGAACATAGGGCTTCAGCCGCACTTCTCCATTGCACTCAGTTCTCTGCTAGAGTCTTCACCTGGCTCCAAGTCTGCCCACACGCCTTCATCTCCTCTTCACATGACCTCCTCCAAGTCACCCTTGCATTGACGACCAACTCGCCCGCTTCCCGTTCGGGTTCCACTCGAGCAATGGCTTGTCTAGTGATGTCACTTGATGGTTTCCTCAGAGTATGGCCAGTCAATCCATCTCCATTTCTTCCTGCATATTTGTTGCACAAACGGTTCCTGATTGGTTCGCTCATTGCCAGAAATTCCTGTTGGTGATCTTTACTGGCCGGCCATCTGATCTTGAGTATTGAGCGAGGACAACTGTTAATGAAGGTCTGTAGTTTGTTTTTGAGATGCTCTTTATGATGCGCAGTACAAGTCTCTGGTCCGTATAGTAGCACTGACTAACTTCACATTGGAGTTGGAAATCCGGATCTTATTTTTGATGCTGAGCAGTGCTGTTGACCTCCACAGATACTTGAGAGTAATGAAAGCTTGTCTTGCTTTTCCGATTCTTGCTTTGATATCCTCGTCAGCTCCGTCCGCCTGTAGTTGAAATGATGCTTCCCAGGTAGGTAAAAGAGGTTGTTTCTTTCAGGTTCCTCCTATTTATGCTGATCGTTGTCTGTTGTTGTTGTTCTTGTCCAGGAATCTTCATAACCTCTGTTTTCTCTATGTTCACCTGAAGTCCTATCTTCGATGCTTCTTCTATCAGCAACTTGTTGCTTTTCGCTTGCATATCTTCCAGTTCGTGGGAAATCAGACATGTATCATCGGCGAAGTCTAGATCCTCCAAGTTTTTTGTGTGAATCCATTTTATGCCTGTTTCCTCATTGCCCGCCGCTGTTTGTCGCATTATCCAGTCTACTGCAATCAGGAAAATCATTGGCGATAGTAGGCAGCCAGCTTGTCTTACTCCTGTCCTCATTTCGAAGGATTCCGTAAGTTTCCCGTTGTCGATTACTTGACAAGTAGCATTGTCGTTGGATGAGATATATAATTGTCGGTGGCACCCCGTAGTAGCGAAGTAGTTGCCAAAGCACCTGTCGATCGACACTGTCCAAGGAGGTGACAGCCTATAGGCAATCATGGAGCCAACTACAGAGAGGACTACACAGAACAGGGTGAAATGGACATGTGTTGTGGAAGCCCTATTAATGTTCCACTCGAAACTCAAGGGGATAACAAAAATATATAAAAATATGTACAACCCCCCCCCAAAAAAAGAAATACGTGAATAAACAAAATTCCCTTCTCCCACTGTTATAATATATAAACACTCACCTCGGTTGCCTTCTCATCAATTGTACAATCGATTGAATGTATTGATGACTTTGATATATCTGGATGCCATGTGATATTTAATCCACGAACATTAATCAGTTTATATTCAACAGGTTCTTCAGATGTTGAAGTAGTCCGTTTCTACATGGGGAAGAAGATGAGGAGGAAAATGACATAATAACTAAATATATATGACACTAATTGAGATATATCACAAAGGACTACAGTATGACCTATTACTAATTAGCCATTGTGCATCGGTGGCTTAGCGGTAGAATGCTCGCCGACCACGCATGTGGTCCAGGGTTCGATCTCCGGCCGCCAACGCACTCCTCTATCTCGTTAAGCCGGTAATAAGACCGGTAAAGAGGAAAGGCTGGACATGAGGATATCAACCTCCACCCCCTTAAAGTAAACACTGCCACCGGAACTTCGAAGTTCTAGTTTTAAACCCTATGTTCGACTAGGAAAGTATTGTTGTCATTATTTAAACGCAGAAAAAACTTGATATAATATGGCACCAAGAAAGATGCGCCACACAATAATAATAAAACAACATAGATCAAAAGTAAAAAATATAAGTTGAGAACGGATAAGAACTTCATCTGGAAGGAAAACAGTCATACTTAACAAGTTCAAACAGTATTCGTCAACTATCATCGGGAAGGAAAGAAAGAAGGAAATTGCAACTCGTCCGTTCCACATTGATGGTACACTCTCAGTTTCGGTATGACCATCACCTAGTTGTATGTCAGCTAACATTGACCGTTGTGGAAGGCGATAGCTTGAGATGGGCAACATATGTCATAGTCATTTCAATCGATGCAGTCTGACAACTTCATCGATTGAATTTTCCTCTCCCTACCTAACATTCACTCGACGCATAATCCCAATATTACTCACCCTATTATACCATCACCTAACACGGAAGGTAGAATGCAGGCATCTATGGACAAAGACAGTCTTCCTAAACGTTCCACTTCCAATGGTGGCGGCTATGTCTCACAGCCAGAAGACAGACAGAAGGTGAACACAGCGAACGTCTACGTGCCATTAACCAACAGATGTCTTAACAACCCCAAAAGGAATTACAACAAATGCTGCTCAAAGAAAAACATGGTGAGTATAAGCAGAAACTTGGCGGGTTACAAAGAATATTTCCAACAGGTTGCAGAGCTTTATCAACAGCTGTCTTCGCTGGCTCTATACTCAAGATCAGATGGCCGGAAAGAATCACCAACAAGAAACTATGGGAAGAAACAAAACAAGAACCAATTGCCCAACAAATATGCAGGAGAAAGTGGAGATGGATTGGACACTCGCTGAGGAGGCCACTGGGTGACATCGCGCGTCAGGCCGACGCTCGAGTGGAACCCGAAAGGGAAGTGGCGAGTGGAACGTCCAAGGGTGACATGGAGGATATCGTGTGAAGAGGAGTTGAAACAGTATGGATTAACATGGATGCAGGTGAAAAGTACAGCAGAAGACAGAAGCAAGTGGAGACGTGTAGTTGAAGCCCTATGTTCCACTAGGAACCGAAGGGAACAATAATAATAATAACAGTAGTCACAATAATGACAATAATATTAATATTGATAATAATTCTTGTGCTATTTTATTATTCACAAATATTCACTCAACACTGAGACATTCACACACACACACACACAAACACCTCAGGCCTTTATATACACAATCAAAGACACACACTCACGGACACATGCTGCCAAATACCAGAAATATTTCAATAATAGTAATAATTAACAATGGTAACCTACCCAACAGGAATCTGTAGTCTCCATTGTCAAGTGTTCTAAGGTAATGGTGAATATTCCAAAACTTGGACAATCATCATGAAAGAAGGTATGTTCACCGCCACTTTCTGAACTGTTATTGCCACCCATAGTGCTACTACTATTTGGATCGATAAGTGAGATACGCACCTGACGAATCTCAATCTATGCATCAACATGAGAAATGCAAAGGAGGTGAGAAAAGTAAAATTATTTTTAAATTAATAATAAATACTTGTAAAGTTATACACATCATAGTATTCATTAGGTAACCCAAAATATTCAAATAATGATAATAATGATAAAAGTCACCATAAACTGTGTCAACATGTCAAAATAAAAGAAGAAGAAGGATGCATGGTATATACTACTATTGGCTGAAAAAGAGTAGTATAAAAAATCAATCTCACAATAACTAACTATTCATACTCATTGTCCTTAATGACGATTCAACCGGAGTGATACAGATTGATAGGAAGTGGCTAAAAGGTGAAATCAATATTTTCAGTCAACGGTTGGTTGCAGAGGTGTAGAAGTGTTCGTTCCTCATTGGACAGCTTATTTGACCTTGTGCCATTTACCAACCAATCAGAATAATTTATTCTCCTCTGACCTAGCTGAATTTTAATGTGGCTAAGAAAGTATAAGTGTGACGTGCTTTTCTTTAATAAAGGTCCGTTACTAATTCTCTTATCTTTTGCAGCATGTTCGCTATTGATTGCGATTCTTCGACATATTCGATAACGTTTCGAGCCACCGATTCCAACTATCTCTCGGACCCCAACCAGGGAGTTGTGACGCACAAACCGATGCTAACCTAACACAAATATGCTTCATCCCACAACACTAAGCTAACCAACTCTCCGCTTTTACCAGCCAGTCCCAGTGCTAGAGAACAGAGACCTGTACAGAAGCCTCTGGCATGGTATTCGCAGTATATGTCCAAGCCACTGAAGCCGGTGTTTCCAGATGTGTCCAAACAGACACTGCTCAACCTCAGAATTGCTTAAGCCATGTTGCTAACGAACGTAAACAATTCTAGAGAAACAGAGATGATTGAATACGCAGAGTCGCCACACATCTTCAGCTTGGAGAGGTTAGGTTTCACAGGAGTAGAGAAAGAATGCACACACACTGGGACATTGTAAATCCAACCTATGACAGCCAGGCTGACGTCAAGACAGCATGAGAGATGGCTCAAATTGGTGTATACCACCCTGGCTCTCACTATATACAAATCACGATAGATACTTCAAAAGTACATAGTCTAAAGTGGGATTACACCACCACAGATGGATAGTTATAAAAGAACATAAACACAAAATGAAACCAGTATATTTAAACATCACACTATCAGACTTGATACCAACTTCATCTTTTTACTTTATGGTGACGATATAGCTCATCGGTCAAATAGGGGAGTAAATCTCACCCTACGCCTACTTCTGCCGAGATAACCAAGCAATATTGGTCACCCTCACAAATCGAGAGTGGAGTATAGCTAGCTTATAAATAAATCTTTAGAGAGAGACACTGAGTTGCATTCTCCTACTTTCTTTTCGATAAACACTCAGTTAGTAAGGTCATTTCCCAATGAATGAAACGATGCAAGTTCTACTCATCTTTCATACTAGATTTATTTTCTCAATAGAAAAGAAGAGGATCGTGTTAACAGATCTTGGATTTTTACAGTTTTATTGATTTTTACAGTACCTTTTTGTTTTAAATTGGTCTTACATTAAATCCCTCTGAATGTCAGATAGTTAACTTCGCCTTCAGAAGTACACGTAACTGTTGTGGATTTCAACGAAAACATGGCACCAGTCAATGAAATCCACAACAGTTAGTCTAAGCCAGCCACGTAGGAAGGTGTAGACTTTCTGTCTGGTTGGGGTCCTCGGGATGGTAAAAACCAATGGTTGGAAACAATTGGTGACATGACTCAAAATCGTTCTCAGTGACAGCGCAGATGCATCCACTCCTTGTGACTTATGGTTTCCAATTAAACTGTTTTGCTCTCCGTTATTACTATTCCTTTGTGTCACACCTCTGTTTACTGTCTATATTATGCATTTCTTCTACTTTCTTCTCTTGCTTTGTGTGCTACATGGAGTGTGGCGACTTGAACTGCTGCACATATGTGCAAAGTTCTATGTCGAAAACCGACCGACCGACCGAGTACACGTAATTTAAACAAACTATTCGTCCACATAATGTTTGTAGCATAGTGGATGCCGAAACAGAAACTAATTCAAACATTAAACACCTTGGAATAGTTCTATCATCTGACCTTCCTTGGTCAGTCTCCGATATCTTGTCAGTTCCTACGAAAATATTACGTCTAACCTTCTACATTAGGAAGTTAAGACAATCTGGAATCACTCAACCCGTACTTTTACAATTTGTTAACTCTTGCACCTTATCTATTATTCTTTATAGCTCCCCCATCCTTAGTCTTTCCTGGGCTACTCAAAAAGGACTATGTCATACTGAGAAGGGTATTAAAGGTTGTTAGTAGGGCAAGTAGTCTGCCAGTAAGTCAGATGGTTACTGCTGTAGTCGACGCACATCCGAAATCATGCAAGAAATTGTCTAAATCCATATTTTCTGACTCTCATAAACACCCTCTCTATTCACAACTCTCACCTTGCATCTCATCAGGTAGGACGAGAAATCATTATACAAAGAGTATATGCCCGTACAACCAAGTACAGAAACACAACGACACCCTATTTGGCCCGACGGCATTCTATGTGACAGAGTAGGCGTTAAGTGTGAAACTTACAGCTCACTATGTAATAAGTAAAATAACTGGCTCTTTTATCTTCTGCTATTTGTAATTTATGATCCTGGGTTCGAACCCCGGTGGATGCGTACTGACGAATAGTCCCAAACTAGGACGAAACAGCTGTCTAGTACTCCCAGGTGGTGTTCCAATGGTTCTCTAACTGATGTCAGTTCATAATGAAACCCTGTAACCAATCAAACAAAAAATTCCCTACAATTTTCGCCATTAACATTATTATGTTCATTTTATACTTTTTGTACATTTTTGACTTTATTGTCAATGCTAATACCAAAAAAACGATACCATTATGAATCCCGTAATATTATATCTCATATTTTTTCCTGTTGTCGAGTAAATTAGATGCAATATCATTGTCTATAGTTTGGTTTGTAAGGGTTAGTTAGCATTGAAAACACTCCAGGGAGTACTGGACAGCTGTTTCATCCTAGTTCGAGAATCATCGGCAGTACGCACCCACTGGGATTCCAACCCAGGACCTTCCGCTTACATAACTAACCCTTACAAACAAGACTATAGAAGAAAATTAATCTGATGCTCGCTAGTGACTTGCTACAGGATGGAGTTTTCTGGAGTCAGTTCTAGTGAGAAGTCATGACCAGTGAGGTCCATCCAGTCAAGTGTGAGGATGGATGTCCCACCGACGACATTGGTTGGGGTGGCGCTGAACGACGAATTGGTAGAAGTTAGCAATATCATTGTACCAAATGCTGAGAATTCCACGGCGCATGAGATAAATACTGTTTTGGAATAAACCAAATCATTCAGATTATAGTTACTATTAAACAATACTTTGCAAATGAATAAACATCCACTTACTTGAAGACTACGGATAATGCCATAACCAACTGACGATATATAAGACCACCAAGAAGAATTATCGCCTCTATTATCCATAGCAACTAGTTCAGCGATAGCAGCTGTATCACTGAGTACAACTCCATTAATAGTCTGAAATAAAAAACAACCAATAAAAACAAAACATTTAAAGTAACAGTTAATAATAATAAGGGGATATTATTTTCCTTTCACCTCTTGTGTTCTGAGTGGAACATAAGGCCTCAAGCGCGAACTTTAAAGACTCAGAAGCAGGTGGTGTCATCTTCAAAGAGTGGGGCTACTAGTTATCTCAACAGCCAGTCTTTCTTTTTTATCCGGACTTACTACAGGATAGATATCGGCTGTCAACGAAACTTGGACCATGTGGGCAGCTGTTGGGGGCATTCTGCTATTGAACCACCAACGCCAAAGGGGCTATTATAATACTGACAGCTTTTGCTTACAAGACAATTTCCATTTCGCCTAAAATTTCACTGGGGGAAAGATAGTAAATCCTGGTGCCTTACATACTCAACCAAATCAATTTATTTATCTTTTCAAACATTTTTCAAGATTATCACTTAAATTATTTAAAAGATTGTAAGCGTCAGGGGTTCAGCTCGGTGAAAGGCTCAGTAACCATACACGCAGGGTCAGGGGTTTGATACCTGGCCGATGCACACCTTTACCTCCTTTAGCCGGTTGTAAGCCTAACAAAGAGCGAAGGTTAGGCGTGAGGCGAGCAACCTCACTCTGTAAAAACAGACACTGTTATCGAAACTTCAAAGCTCAAAAACTTGGAGCCCTCGCTATGTTCCACTCCGAACTCAAATAAGTACAAATACACTGTTAGTGTCTTCATTCAAAATGACCATAATTTCTACGTACTGACGTGTGTCTAGAAAAAAAAAACCTGATGGACATATCATTAATCTAGCTAATTGTTCATGTCCTCCGATTGTGGAATTCACCGAGGGATTTCATAGTTATACAACTTGATTTAATTTGCTTTTCATTGGCATAAGACCATTTCCCGTCTTTAATTAAGACTAGAAGGAAGAATAAGTTAGTTCATTGAGGTGAAAATACATGAGAAGGTTAGCTGTCTTTAATCATAGCCATCTGCGTTCTACTTCCTATGCTAGGTGGTATGATAAGGTAAGTGTGAGTGAGTTAAGCATCAAGTGAATGTTAGGTAAGGAGGGAAAGCCAATCGATGAAGTTGTGAAAATATATCAGTTGAGATGGCTAGGACACGTGTTGCGCATGATGCGCCAACGCCTTCCTCGACGGTCAATGTTAGCTGACATAGGATGGATCAGGTTGGGAAAGAGTTGTTGGTGGTCAAACCAAACCTTCCCATCAGTCCATGAAATCTTTGACAGTTACTTTGAGCCAGGCACAAAGAGAGTTGTAGGCTTCTTGGTTTGGATTCTAAGAACCAATGACTGGAGACAATTGGTGATATAGCTGAAAACCATTCCCAGTGGTGCAGACACATTCACTCTTTGTCATCTGGAATGTTTTTCTATGTTACTATTCTATTTCCTTGACATTTCTGCTTACTAGACGTTCTTTTGAGTCTCAGGTTTCCCTCTTTTGTCTTCTTATGTGTGGCAAGTTGAAGTGGTGCACTTCTGTGCAAAGTTCTGCGTTGAAAGCAGTCAGTCATACCTCACGAATAACCACACTTAAACTCTTACAATGATGGCTCATCGAGACTTACTGCCTATTTTTGTATTACTTTAGTTGTTCTACATTCACAAAGCTGGAAATCTCACGTCACAGTACTATATACACTATGACCAAAATAACAGACAACTACAGATTAACTGCAGGGAACAGGTGAAGGCTAAACCTAAAGGTTTTCTCCAACCACTAGGGTTATTTATTCAATATTTAGAGAAATGACTAATCTTTCTCAGTTTCAAGACGCTGAGATTCATTGGGTTAGACTCTTCATCTGTCTCTGTCTGGATTCAACATAGAACTTGGCACCGAAGTGCAGCAGTTCCAGTTGCCACGTTCCAAATAGCACACAAAGGTAGACAAGAAAATCAGTGAAGAGAATCAATAGAGTTTTGACAAGTATAAGAGTGAAACAGAATGAGTAATGGTAGAAAGGAGTATGAAGGTTAAAGAGACTGAATACATCTGCGCCATTGACAACGATTTTGAGCCATGTCACCTATTGTCTCCAGCCATTGATTCTTAGAGTCCCGAGGGCGGGCCCCAACCCGGAAGTCTGCATCTGCCTACCTGACCCAGTTTAACTGTCAGGGATTTCATGGATTGATGCCATGTTTTTGTTTGGCCACCACTTACTCTTTTCCAGCCTGCACCTATATCAGCTAGTAATGCCCGTCGGGGGAGACGATGGTCAGGCATGCGCAGCACGTGGCCTAACCATCTCAGACTCTTCATCATCAGATGGCGAGTCAGACGTTAGAACATCAGTTCGCTTTCGAAGGTTTGGACAGTTTGGTGATTTTATTAGTCGTCACACTATAATAGGCAATGATTTATTGCTCAGAGAATTAACACTGAGGGTGGTTGTTGAACGTTTTCTTCTCCGCAATAGCCACACTATGCATGTCGACTGTTTAACAACATATTCGTCAACTACTCACCTACACAACAGTCTGACAATATCCTTCTAATCTAAAGCTGATGAATATTAAGTATAAAAATTGTCAGTATACATATCAGTTAATATCATTACCCTGAAATATGCTCCTGTACATCTGCCCGCAACACAATTGACGGTGGTGAATCTAGTATTATGTGAATAAATGAGGTAAATGAATTCACAATAAACACAGCATAATATTATAACAGTACAACATCTAATAAGGTAGTTAGTCAGTCTATGAGCTTGCCTTGTAAACCAGAAGGTCCTGGGTTCCGATCCCGGTGGGTGCGTACTGCCAACGAGTCATAAACCAGGATGAAACGGCCGCCCAGAATTCCCTCACTGGCTTTCAATGGTTTTCTAACCGATATCGATCTGTAGTCGAAATTAAAACAACTCAAATCCCTGCAAACTAACTTTTGACAGCCTCCAAAGCCTCCTGAGGAAGTCCTACTCATCGCCTTCACGTGGCGGAGGTGTTTTTCACCAAAGTGAGAGGGCGAAAGCGGATGCCCGGTGCTCTTCACCGGGTTGACTGTCCATTGGATGACAGTCTAGGGGAGATGGCTAAACCCTGATTCCAAACCTCCAACGACTGGCGTATGAAGCTCATTGGAGCTCACCGGCAGACGTATGGACAAAGGGCTTGTTGGATGTCCTGGATGTCTGGCCCCATTCCAAAAGGCGTATGAACCGAACTCCGGCCACCGGCTGCCAATGGGTAGTAGACTCCCTACTCCACTCCTACTGTCTTGTAGGTCACACTTGGTTGTGTAAAGGCTAGAGCTGCACTCTCAAACAAAAGGCCGAGCGATTCTGGGGACATCACTCGTACCAAATTCCCACGAAACTTCATGAACTCTCTTACAAACGACTCTCACCATGCTACGGCTCATCTTCCAGTGGGAGATAGCCGAAGTAAAAAAAAGTAAAAAGTAAGACAACACCTTCAAATGTCATATGAACAGTATAAACTTATAAAAACCAGTAGTGATGATATGGATATTTAATGTACAGTTTAAAACATCAACCCTGAATTGATTTTATTTAATTTTATCACTTTAAGAAGTTTGAAAACCGAAAGTTCGATAAATTTTATCAAGATCGATGAGTATTAACTAAAAGAAACAAACCTGAAACCATTTCTTCTCCATTTTATCCAAACTATACTTTCCATGAATAGATGTTTCAGTAGGGGATAAGTTGTCTCTTTGGCTTTGTTGACCACTCTCATTATTGACTAATGAATCTTTCGAGGTTTCGTTTCGAATTGAAGATGTTTGACTGTCACTTGGGGAATTATTTGGATTCAACTTATCCCATAGGTCATCAGCTGAAGCATAGGCAATTAAGTCAACATTTTCTAGAGATAGTTGCCATGCTTGACTCCATGGATGAGTATAAGGCACGAATATAGACACATTGCCAACTGTACCTAGAAGAGAAGAAGAGTATACAACGAATTTGACACTTATAAGATCTTTTTAATGCATATGTAAACAGACGTTTAAAAGTAACAAACGAAATTATCAGGTAGACAAACAGTCAGAAGTAAAATCAGTTGCATAAGACCCTTTGCAAATACATTTATCCAGTGATTTAATATTCTGTACACTTTTAAATTGTAGTGAAACGGAATTAGATCTAGTGTATTTTGAAATGAATAGTGCCAACATAGGGACATGGTTTTTAAACACCGGTAAAAATAAGTGGCTGACCTACTTTGAAATAACTCTTAATTCTAGGAAAATGACAGGTTAATTGATTTGATAAGCAATTAAATAGCCTTGATTTGGACATATACATGTTGTTAGCTGTGAAAATGCACTTAACAGAATCAGGAGGAGATAAAAGTAGTGAAAGGTGGTCGGACGAGATATTTCCGGAAATTCCATTCACTGAACTGTACAATTTTAATGCCGCAAAGTAAAAATATACGATACATCAGGCACCACAATAATAGAAACAAACTACCAAGATAGTTAGAATACCCACCGCTTTGGAATGAAAAAGACTAATGACGGCCAGAGGAGGTGATATATTACTATGGAATATTTGGAGAATCAGATGTGACTAGAAAGACTATATTGAAAAATCAGGAGTGAATATTACACATTGAAATGAACAAAATAAATGGACAGAATGAACGCAAGCACAAATTTTCAGGGATATTTCCAGAAATAATATTGAGTACACAGAGAATTAAGTGGATAAGAACTAAATAAAAGTGGTTGGGCATGTTACTTCGTACTGGTAAAGTTCTTTACACGGGAGATTAAGCATTCGGTGATGAAAATGTGTTAATCAGAAGACATCTATTTATGTTGTAAATAAGTTGGAATAAATTCTCTCTTGTTCGGTCATAACCTGCGGATAAACCATAACTACATAACAAGGCCTCTGTCTACTTCGTTTATCCCTTCCTTTAAAAACAGGTTATTTTTATACGTGTAGAATAACAGCACAAAATGTGACATATGAACTAACAGTCTAAACGCCCACAACGGGAAAGCTCATTTCTGATTATTATGAATACAAATTTCTCAATAAGGTAGCTAAATTCAGGTTTAATTACTACTTTACACAATAACTTAAATTTAAACCTTCAGCTTAAATAAATAATTCCCTGAACACAAAATAATTATTTAACAATATCAATGGTTAGATTCATCACTTACCTGATTGCAAAGTTAGAGGGATATTAAAAAGACTATTTAATGTGTCTTTCTTGAGAGTCAAATTGCTCAGAGTAATATTTCCTAAGAAATACTCATGATAATGCAAAATACCTTACCATTTAGAAGACCATAAGATAAATTTTCACCATTGAAATTTTCTACATACTTTCCAATTATGTAGTCAGTGATGCTAGCAAGAAACTTCTTGAACATGGGACAGGCAATGAAATCCTAGGAAACCGAGAGATATACTCAGAATCCCAGTTTTAGCTGAAAGCTAGCAGACAAAGAAGCGATTCAGGGTAAAATAACATAGATGCGTCAAACTTCTGGACTTTATTACAATTTGCTGAAATCAACAGCTGTGCCGCAAGACTAAAAAAGTTGCGTTGTCCTTGAAATTTTGTTCAATACCCAATTCCCTCTCTACCACTTGGCGTGGTTTCCTGAGCTGTAGAGTCTGGAACATCATGATTGTGAAGTTTTTTGTAAAATAAAAAAATGGAAAAATTGTACGTAACTTTTGTTTAAAAGGATTCACCGTAAAATATGAATAACTTTGTAGTGATATCAAAAATACAGTGTGCTGCTCGACATGTAGTACCCCTATACCAACTATAAACATACGCTTTTTAATCTAATTTGCATACTTATATTGTATGTTTACAGAGACCGATTTTATATGTACTTCGCAAACATTTGTCAATTCACTGTTGAACATTACCTAGACACAAATTTTGAAAATCTGACTACTGCTTTGATACGCGATCGTACTCTTCGCAAGTGCCTCTTGGTTTTACGTTGTAGGCGTCGAGTAGCCACAATATCTATGCACATTGACAAACGTGAAGAAGTACTAGGAAATACTTGTACGCTAATTTAGTCAAATAAAGCACGCAACAAATTCGTGAGCCCTACGTGATCTTGTTGACCCCGACGCATCGTCACACATGCTGGATTAATAAAACTATAACTTTCGCGAATCTATCTATATTAGACATTTCGAACTCATTCTTGTGCTTTCTCATCGCACAGCCTGCAGTAATTTGCGGTAAGCATCTGCATTGCATGTTTTTCTGTTTTGCCATATTCTTAGTGTGCATAATTTTTGCTATTTAGCTGCTCTTCAAACCATTTCTTGTAACATGTCTTCCGATAACTCTGATAACTTAGAACTGGGATCTGTTAGTACCATTTCCCTTACTGTATCAGATTTTAAGCCCAGAGACCCCCATCTTTGGTTTGGACGACTGGAGCATTATTTCACTGCCAATAAGCTCACGTCACAGACGACTAAATCCGACGTTTTGAGTACAGTACTACCAGATGAAGTTGCCGAGCAGGTACGACAATACATCGTTCAACCCAGCACAGAAGCACCTTACGACAAGTTGAAGGAAGAGTTACTTCGATGCACTTCGCTTTCGGATAGGCAAGCACTCAATCCTTTGTTAAGCAATGTTGAGCTAAGTGATAAAACCCCATCGCAACCCATAAGGCGTATGCAAGGCCTAGTTGCAGGAAGAAAAATCGATAAACGTCTATTTAACCAAATCTGGCTGCGACGACTTCCTGCAAACATCCAGCAAGTTCTTGCTTTCGGAGACGACGACATTGACATAGACAGACTCACCGAAATTGCTGATCGCATGTACGATAGGTCAACACCCTAATCTGTAGCTTCCACTAGCAGAGTACCAGACACTCACGACAGGATACAGACTCTAGAACACAAAGTCGACTCCTTACTGAGTCAGTTAGCAACACTGACAACACGTACACGACCAAGCCGTTCTAGAAGCTCGTCTCATCGACGTCTTTTTCGGTCACCTAGCACATCACGAGATCGCGATAATATTTGCCGGAATCACCGTAGTTATGGAAGCAACGCACGATGGTGCCGTTCACCTTGCAACTTTTAGGCTAAACCAAAAGATATATCGTCATGTGTGAAAACTTCTGCTGTCGGCAATCTACGATCAAACGGTCGTTTGTTTTATGTAACAGATAGCAATACCGGTACAACATTGTTAGTCGACACGGGAGCAGAGGTGAGTGTTCTCCCTCCGTCTACGCAGGAACGTCAACATCCTGACCCAACAGTCACGCTCCAAGCCGATAATAAGTCCAGTATTGTTACATATGGAAATAAACGAATTACTCTGGATTTTGGTCTGCATAAAAACTACACCTGGTCTTCCTTCATTGCAGACATTCCATCCCCAATCCTCGGCATCGATTTTCTACAGCAACACAAACTGCTACTTGATCCGATAAGCCCTAGGCTAATAGACCCACTAAATAAAAAGTATATCGTTGGTACGATTAGCCACACATCATCGTTGAACTTGATGGTCACACGCACACCACATCTCCATATACTGACTTGGTAAATCAGTTTCCTGATCTCCTACAACCTTCTTTTCGAGGAACAGAACCAAAGCATCACGTGGTTCATCATATTAAAACCACTGGACCACCAGTTTTTGCACGTCCCCGACGCCTTGATCCATATAGATTTAAAATCGCAAAAGCAGAGTCCGATAAATTGCTAGAGCTTGGTATTATTCGACCATCCAACAGCTCTTGGTCTTCACCGCTTCACATGTTGCCCAAAATGTCTTCTGGTGAGACACGGCCGTGTGGTAATCGTCGAGCCTTAAACAAGCAAACGGTAGCTGATGGATACCCAATACTGCGCATCCACGATTTCACTAGCAACTTGCCAGATACTAACGTTTTCTCCAAAATCGATCCTGTCAGAGCCTATCATTATGTCTCCATCCACCGGGATGACGTTCCGAAAACCGCCATTACCACACCATTCGGCTTATATGAATTTGTACGCATGCCTTTCGGACTAATGAACGCCGCTCAGACATTTCAACGCCTAATCGACCAAGTATTACGTGGTCTCCCTTTCGTCTACGCATACATCGACGACTTACTAATTGCCATTGCCGACGAAGCCAAGCATTTGAAACATGTGAAGACTGTTTGAAAGACTTCACCAATTTGACATGACTATAAACTTAGACAAATGCGAATTCGGTAAGACATCACTGAAATTCCTCGGTCATTTAATCGATAGCCATGGGATCAGACCAGTCCATGATGACGTATAAACTATTAAAGATTATCTATTACCAGATTCTTTTAAGGAATTACGGCGATTTTTGGGTCTCGTTAATTTTTACCGGCGTTTTATCCCGAACTGTGGTAAAGCTTTGCAAGCATTAACCGACTGCTTACGTGGACATAGTCGCTCGTTCCATTTGCCCAGAGAAGCTGTTAAAGCATTCGAAACTGTTAAACAATCGTTAAATGACAGGACGCTCTTAGTCAGACGCCAACACGACGCCCCCTGTCCCTCATGACAGACGCTTCAGACGTTGCCATTGAGGCAGTTTTACAACATCAGGTACACGGCGAATGGTGACCCCTTGCATTCTTTTCGAAACAACTAAATCCTACGCAATGTTGCTATAGCACCTTTGGTAGAGAGTTATTAGTTGTTTATTTGGCAATCAAGCACTTTCGACGTATAATAATAATAGTATATTCTCATTTTTTACATGAGGGACGCCAGTTTACAGGCATCATCAATTCGATAAATTACACATACGATTAGTAAGTATAGTTAGTAATGATAATATAATAGGGTACATATTTATTCATACAAATATAGGACACAAAAGTTGTGTAGGAATGGATAAGAATCATTTAGGTTACATATTTAAATTACATGGATTACGGTTAAATAACATGGTTGTTGTCATTTTATCTTTAGTTTGTGGGGAAAATCGGATAACTGGTGATTCAATGGAACACACCAAGAAATATAGAGATATTGACTTCGCATTAACAAAAAAACCCAAGTATGCGTTGGATGGATTACATATACTTGGGAAAATAAATAAAGCTTGAAGTCAGTTCCCTCATAAAACAATAAAATGCGTCTTACAATAATATATTCCCACTTTATGCACTTGAGGGACTCCAGTTGACAGGCATCATCAATATCATAATAATGGACACATGGAGTAAACATGTTTAAAATTTTTCACTAACACAAAATATATATACAAGGGAAGATAATGAAATATTGACCGTAAGTACACTCTGCATAAGTTAAAACAGTTTATATGGCATAATCCTAGGCACAATTATTGTTTGAATTGGTTGAACATGAGCGTAACAACTGAGTGTTGCGTTACATTCGGTCGATATGGTGGGCTAGTCACAAAAGTATAAAAATGGCTTATAAAACGTTACTTAGTTTACCGTAAACGATGTTTTAAGCAATATAATCTGCAAGAGGCTCACCACAGCAGTTATTATCCAGTTAAACATGCAGAGAAGTAATCATAATTGAGCAACTGGTGAATTTTTTATTCTTTTCGGTCTGGAACCTGAGTAACTGCGAATCAATCCATACAAAAATGTCGGAAGAGGCATGCGGGAGCAGAATTTTGCTATGCTGGAAGTTACATCTGTTACTGTCTTTACAGACCATGTAGCTCTAACGAAAGCCTTATCAGAAAAACAGGATAACTAATCTCCGCGCGAACAACGACATCTCGAGTTTACATCCCAGTTCACTTCCGATCTGCGACATGTAAAGGGTAAACACGATGAAGTGGTAGACGCTTTATCACGTATGCACACTGACAACATTGCATGCCCAGACATCGACTACGAACATCTCTCAAACTTACAACGACATGACGCCGAACTAAAAGATATCATGTCTTCTAAAACAACATCTTTAAAAGTCGATGCAATTCATTTTGGCACGACAAAAGTAATCTGCGACACCTCTCCTGGTAAATATCGGCCCTTCGTTCCAGCAGCTATGAGACATACAATATTCGAGAAGTTACGTAACTTCTTGCATCCCCATATCAGCGCTACTATCAAACTACTAAGAGAAAGATTCATATGGCCGATCATTGACAGCGATGTTAAGAAGTGGACACGAAATTGCTTGTCCTGTCAAAGAGTCAAAATCAAAAATCGCAGCAATGCACCACTTGGTCTCTTTCCTAAACCCGACTCTGGATTTGACCATATAAATGTAGACATAGCTGGTCCACTGCCTCCTTCCAATGGTTTCAACAACATTCTAACCTGCATCAGTAGATTCACTCGTTGGTCAGTAGCAGTTCTATTAGCCAACATCTCCGCTGAAACGGTAGCTAAAGCTTTGGTCA